GTTATTTTGTTGAGTTATCTATACCCTTACCCTCTATACATGGAATCTCGCCACAATACATTAAAGACTCACTACACTCCTACAATCCAACTCGTACCTTAAGATCTGGAAGTGATAATTTGCTGCAAATTCGCCGTACCCGTCATTCATGGGGAGACCATGCTTTTTCGCATGCAGCAGCCAAATTATGGAATAAGCTTCCCTCATCACTTCGCTGTATTGCAACATACTCTGCCTTTAAAACTCGTCTTAAGACTTACCTATTCCATTTGTAACCCAGTATTTCCTTAAGTTGTATAAGTTTATTTTAATAAATCCATAATTGATATGTTATTTGTATATACATTTGAAATTAATTAGTTATCACCCTTTAGTCTCATTGGCTGCCTGTGTGGGGCCTGTTGGCCTCAGATGCTAGAGCTTCTGTGAATAATGTGCTGACTGGGCTAGTCCCTTAAATTGTCAGTGAACGGAGCAGCTGGAGGGCACTGGGCCCCACCAGGCAGAGCTGAGGATTGAAATGGGTTATAACAAAATATCGCAAAAATATTGCAAAATTATTTACTTTACTTGTATCAAAGAGAACTGTTGCTGAGCTAGCGCCATGAGCGTCCCTGGACGGTGTGTGCGCTCTATAAGTTTACACTATTATTATTATTATACGACCTACTGTCATGCAAGAGCCGAGCTATAGCTAGGGCAGCTAGTGGCGGATCCACCCGGTGGCAGGATGGGGGAGGGGGCCAATCCGTGAGAAAATATTTAGTTGCTACTCAGCCAGCGGTGAATAAGCGGGGCGGGGGGGGGGGGGAAGCACTTTTTTTGTTTTTGCTGTTGCCTAATTCGTGAGAATGTTTTCCCCCTTTTTCCCCCTCCCCCCCCCCCCCCCCGTGGATCCGCGCCTGATCTAGGGTCCTAGATGTCTTTAAATTTATCATGAGGCTTATTCAATTACAATTAGCCCCTCCTAATTCACATGCCGTAATGCTGACAAGCAAGATAAGCCATTGTGAAAGAAGACAAAAAAGAAGGATAAGTAATTTCAATATTACAGGAGCAATTCATACAGGGAAGCAAAACCGTCCTCCTGACGGTCTTTATATTTATATATGGCCGCCCCCCTCCCGTAATGCAGCCTCTTTTTTTTTTTTTTTTTTTTTTCAATTTCAATTCAATTCATTTATTTTTCCTCTTTCGATTGTTCACATTTACAATGATGGTACACAATTCATATACATAATATACATGTACATATCAGTTTGCACAATACAATACATTTAAAAGAAAATTGAAGGGGAAGGAGCGCTGACTAAAAAGCAGAGCTGGTAGGGTGTAAGCCCCCCTGTAAAAGTAATTATTATGGATTATTATTTTATGATAAGAAAACAAAAAAATAATAACTGATTCAGTAATACGAAAATCACTATTAAACGCAAAACATTGATAAATATATACATGATTATATAAAGAAACAATCAATTTGCATAAAGTCACACTACTAATTATATTTAATTGTGGAATGCAATAGCCTAGTAACTATTCAGAAGAAAGCTTTGAAGTCTCCTTTTGAAAATTTGTATCGAAATACACTGTATAATATCATTTGAAAGAGAATTCCACAGTTTTGGACCTGTAAAAACAAATGTCTTTTGTGCAAAAGATGTTCTATTTAATGGTAGATGAAAAGAGCTCCGAGCCTGGTGAGTGAAGTAACTATGAATTGAATCATTTCTTACAAACATATCATTAAAAGGCAAAGGTAATTGTTTAGTGTTGAGCTCAATTTTCAAAATGTTATTATTCAGAAAAAGATTATTCGTGTGTGCCCGGAAATCTGCATTATTAATAATACAAATCGCTCTTTTTTGTAATATAAAAAGTCTATTAATTTGGGAAGTTGTTGCACTGCCCCAGGCGAGAAAACCGTAATTCAAGTAAGGAAGAATACGCGTAGAATACAAGGATAACATAATATAATGGGGTAGGAAGTGTCTTTAATTTGCTAAGGATGCCAGTGTTGCGAGCAATGATTTTGCAGTTAATGTCAATGTGCGCTTTCCAAGATAGTTTTTCATCAATGACTAGCCCCCAAAATTTATTGGCCCCCACAATTTATTTGATCGGTCCCTTTGAATGACGGTACCATCAAATATTATACAATTAGGCAAAGTTGCAACCTTATTTCTAAATAGCATGTAACTAGTTTTGTCTAAGTTAAGTGACAGTTTGTTTGCTTTTATCCTATTTGCCACACTTTTAAGTTCTTTATTTAATATTTGCGTCAATTTCTCTGGATCGCGATGTGACAAAAAAATATTCAAGTCGTCAGCAAAAAGTATGCAGACAAGATGACTTCTCAATGTCGATCATATAAATAATAAACAAAAGTGGGCCAAGAATACTGCATCGCGGAAATCCGCAGTGGCGGATCCAGGGGGGGGGGCCCGGGCCCCCCCCCCCCCTTGAGAAAAAAAATCATGTAAAATCACGTGATTTTTACCTTTTTTGGGGGGTTGGGCCCCCCCCCCCTGGCGCTCAAGGGGGGGGGGTGCAAATTGAATTTTTTTTTGAGGATCAAAAAAAAAAAAAATGTGCTCACTACCCCCCTCCCCCCCTCCCCCCCCCCCCCCCCCCCCCCCCCCCCCACTGAGCGAATTTTTGGCCGGCGCGTTTTTCAAATTTTCGGGAGGAAAAAAAAAAGTTGGGCCCCCTCCCCTAAGAAATCCTGGATCCGCGCCTGGAACTCCGTAAAGGACAGGTTTACTTTCAGAGAAATTACCGTTCAGCGAAACAAACTGGGAGCGCCCTTTAAAATAATTCTTGAACCACGTCAACGGTTTTCCCCTAATTCCATAGTGAGAAAAATTGTAAAGAAGGACACCATGGTCAACAGTATCAAAAACTGTAGAAAAATCTATGAACAAACCAACCGTATTAGAAGACTGATCGATAGCTTTGGCAACTGTTTGAACTAAAGAAAGTATTGCATGTATATGTAGTGTTACTCTTTTAACGGAAGCCAAATTGAGTATCAGAGGTCGAAAAAACAGTTGAAACCAGTTGGATTTTCAACTGGTATCTACTGGAATCAACTGGTAGCAGTTGAATCCAGTTGACGGAACTGGAATATGTGCCAGTTTATTCTACTGGTTGCAAATGGATACAACTGGTACCAGTTGAAACCAGTTGACACAACTGGTAAACTTCACATGCACCAATATATCCCATGCAGTTGAAACCCATTGACCTTATACTGGCACGTGCTGAAAATAAACCAGTTGATTCTAGTTGAAACCAATTAACCATACTGGTCCATTATTACACCAGTTGATACCAGTTAAAAACAATAGGCCTTGCTACATCTGCCAGTTGATTCCAGTTTAAAACCCATAAAACCAAAGTGGACAATTTGAGACCAGTTGTTTCCTGTTGGAACATATTGAAACCCAATGGGTGTAGTTTACAAGTTGATTCCAATTTTGAAAGCCATTAACTATAGGCGTATATTTATAATTGGTATATTATTAGACCAGTTGATACCAGTTAAAACCAATGGGCTTAACTGGTAATTCATAACTTCATTCCAGTACAATGGCCAAACTGAACCATTATTTTAGTACCAGCTGATTTCAGTTGGAATCCAGCTAGTAGATGCATAATTACCGGTTGCTTTACCATTTGAAAACCAATAGATGATTACCACTTGAATTACTAGTTAAAACCCGTATATGATTACCAGATGATTTACCAGTTGAAAACCAGTAGATGATTGCCAGTTGATTTACCAGTTGAAACCAGTATAATACCAGTTGAAAAACCAGTTCAATGTATCTAATGCATATTCATGATTAATTTGCATGTTTTCGTAGAAAACGTTATTATCATGATCTGTCAAGCAAATGTGACAATTAATTAATGGACATTAATTGTGTGATTTATATTTCCTTAGTCATTCATTGACAAATATGTCTGATCATGTTTTGCATCCAATTTAAGACGTAAACATAGATATATTGATTTATGTAATTGATAACCAGTAAAAACATGTATAGTTTTTGTATAATCTATGTAGGATCTCGCAAGTATTTAATTAATCTTGTACTCAAATGTAATGCGCCTACATGTGATGGGGTACTAGCAAGAGTCTAAGTAAATGTGGTCTAGTTGGTTGCCAGATGCTAAGCAATATTGATTATTGATTATCAGCTGATTGCTGGTCGCTACTGCATGGTAATCAACTGGTTCTTCAACTGTTCCCAGTTAGCGTTGTTTCCAATATGGAAATTGGTAAACTGGATAAAACTGGTACCAGTTGGCAACTGGTATTCCATCTGGAATCAACTGGTAGTTGATTCCAGTATTCCAAAATCCATATTGGAACCAGTTCTCGTTCTCGACTCTTAATCCTCGTCTGAAATCAGTCCCCCCCCCCCTCCCGCGCAAGCTTTCACGTTTCATTAAGTCATTAGAGAAACAAGACGATTCGTTGTTCAGTTCTCGACTCTTAATCCTCGTCTGAATTCATTCCCCCCCCCCCCCCCCCCCCCCCGGCGAGAAGCGCGGAAGCTTTTATGGTTCATTAAATCATTAGAGAAGGAAGACGTTGTACAGTCCTCGAAAATAATCCTCGACTGAATTCAGTTTCGCCCCCCCCCCCCCCGTTCTTTACCCTTAATTCTTGTCTGAATTTCAAAGATGTTCTTTGTCTGCTTTGCTCAAGGATCATATTTCTTGCCTGGCTGTTAATTTAAGAATATGTCATTTTCCAACAAACGCATAAAAAGTATAATTTACTAAAAAGTGAGGAAAAATCTCGGAAATTATGTCATTTTAGCATTATTTGTATGGTTTTTCCCTTTCCCTTCGTTTCCCTTCTTGTATTTTTTTTGCGGGGGGGGGGGGGTGCCAAGGCCCGCCCCCCCCCCCCCCTGGATCCGCGCCTGCAACTGGTATCTAACTGTTTTTTTTTTTCGACCTGGGAGGATGTTCAGGCCATTTGGGACGATGCCTCCGCCCTAAACTAAAATACCAGTAACGTTTGTTTTGAATGGCAGGGATACTTACCGACTTTAACGAACTCGTCCGTCTTCATTGAGATACACAGCATGGATTGACCGTAATCACATGCGTTATCAGGCCAGACGTAACTATTCTTTGCGAAATCGGGGAACTTGGGGACGCTATGAACAAGCCAAAACCCAGACTCGTTGTCAAATGCGATTGTCCCTGCAAAAAAAATAATAACGAACACAAAATAATGGGCCTACATAATTGCCCATAAAGTTGGAATGATTTTTTTCTGACATCTTTTCATGAAATGATTGTGAGAATATAATTCATTGTTGATAGATTATCTCCTAAGAACTTTATAAACGTATCTAAATAGTTATAAAGATTGATCAACAAAAGTTATAAGCAGATATTCTTTATAAAAATATCGGGAAAATAGACCAATCATATTCTCACAATCACTACATGAAGAGAGCAGAGAAAAACTAGTCCAACTTTATGGACAGCGTATATAATATGTTGGCTATTTTTTAACAGAAACAAGATTGTCTATATAAGCCGCTGATACATTACACTTTTTAAAATATTTTATTTCCTTCATCTTTAGTATTCATTTATCACAATGCACTACTGCATGGGGTTTCATTATTTTGGGAGGGGGTCGAGATAGAGGCGTCGTGCAATATCGAATTGGACATAATTACAATATATAGATAATATATCAATAGTATTCTTACGAGAAAGCACATCTATACATTTAACAAAAATCTGCACTGTGACATAAACGAAATTCATTAAATAGATGAATTTTCTTTCTGTGAGATTTATATGAAATCATTTTTTACCCGATATTTAAGGGAAATTTCGAAGACAAGAAAAACAAAATGATACCTTTTGTATGTCCTTCGGAGAGTTATAAACATAATCTTTCGAAAAGCATATCTACATTTAAAACTAATTCAATAATGGTTTAGAGTGTTAGAGTGGTTTTCACTAAATCTGCACTATGACATATTAAACAAAATTCATTAAATAGATGAATTTTCTTTCTGTAAGATTTATATGAAATCATTTTTTACCCAATATTAAAGGGAAATTTCGAAGACAAAAAAAAACAAAATGATACCTTTTGTATGTCCTTCGGGGAGTTTCTCCGTTCCGTTCGGAAATGCATCGTTATACATCATGTATAAAACATTCTATATTATACAGATAAAACGTAGAGAGAAATCAGAGAATACAGTGTTAATGCATTGATTTAACGAACTGGACCAAAGATGTGAATTGCACGAGTCTCTCCGGTGTTAGAGTCGTTTTCATTCAACCCAAATGTTTAAAAAAAGACTCAACATTTTTTTTATTTGACAATTTGTCTTCATTCCACTGATTAGTTTCCGTCATACACAGAACAGAACTTTTTTTTTAATTGCTGTGATGATGATAAAAGTTGAATTTATTACCCCATTTTGTCTGTTTTATGTCCTTTCTCTTTGAGTTTTGTTGTTGTTGTTGATGTTGCTCTCGAACTCTTCTTTTTTATGCAAGTTTTTCAAATTGTCTGATATTTTCTACCCCACGCATATACCGATCCGCAATTAGATCACAATTCCAAATTTCTTAATAACATTGTCTTATAATCTACCTGGCTTTCGTAGTTTTTATAGATCTGTTGCAAGGTATATCCCACTGCTTGGTTACTGTCGTTCAGAGAGACGTCGGAAAGAGAGAAAGATGAACTGTGGACGTCCATGTACAGATGGGCGACGCCATCATGAATCAAGGGATTGCTGCTTTCGTGGTTCTGTGGCAGCTTCTGGACTATGAACCTGTCATTGGTGAATAAGGAGAATAACAATGTGAAAATACATGTACTAATAGTGTTTGATTTTATACAGCCATCGCAGGGGCGGCAGAGCGTTTTTCAAAGTGGGGGCACAAACAAAGAAGAGCACTGTCTACAAAAAGGGCACACACAAAGGGTAACCTCAAATGGAAAAAAGAACATTCTAGCCATAAAGGGGAAGTCCACCCTGATAATAAATTTGTTTTGATATAAGGAGAAAATGACAAGAACAGATCTGTAAAGGTTTGAGAAAAATCGGACAATGAATCAGAAACTCAGAAAGTTATGGATTTTTTTTAAATAGGGCCATAACTTTTCATGAAATCCTTCAAATCAGTGAGACAAATTGCCAACGCGGTCCGATCTAAAATAATATGATGTCACCCCCTCACATTATATAGCTCAGTGCTTGTTGAATGCAAGAAATGTCATAAAATTCCATTTTGATAAAAATATATATTTTCTTCATGCCTATCTCGATGATACACTGTTGGTCATAATGGTGGAATAATTATTTTTACCCCAGTTTAGGGAAGGATTTAAAAAAATTATTTGTTTCTAATAGATCTAGATAATGGCATACATTCTCAGATTTTATTGAAAATTAATTTGCAAGTGTTTGTTTTGCGTGACTGCTAAATCATATGTGTGCTACTATGCTAATCAGCTAGGGAACCTACGTCCTTAAATCATAATTGACAGAAATGAGGATTAATGCCTCACAAAAGGGCACTAATATAGCTGATCGACACGATTTTTATCCTGGAGCCTCACAGTAACGAGGCCATTGCTCAGCCCCTGAACCATGACTGTACGCAGTGTTTGCTAGGGTACGCGGCCCCTTCCACAAATCCCCCAAAACGAAGAAAATGGAATAAATTGTCAAAAATTCATTGCATTTCCCCCCGGCCCCCAACAGGAAAAACTCTTCTGTGTGGCCATGCCTTGAACCATAATGCATGGCCCTACAGAGGAATTTTTCCTGTTGGGGGCCGGGGGGAAATGCAATGAATTTTTGACAATTTATCGCATTTTCTTCGTTTTGGGGGATTTGTGGAAGGGGCCGCGTACCCTAGCAAACACTGCGTACAGTCACGATTCAGGGGCTAAGCAATGGCCTCATTACTGTGAGGTCCCAGGATAAAAATCGTGTGGATCAGCTATATATTAGTGCCCTTTTGTGAGGCATTAATCCTCATTACTGTCAATTATGACTTAAGGACGTAGGTCCCTTACCTGATTAGCATAGTAGCACACATAATGATTAAGCAGTCACGAAAAACAAACACTTGCAAATTAATTTTCAATAAAATCTGAGAATGTACGCCATTATCTAGATCTATTAGAAATAAATATTGTTTTAAAATCCTTCCCTAAACTGGGGTAAAATAAATATTCCACCATTATGACCAACAGTGTATATCACGGATAAGATGTTTTTCATGCACCCCGTCTACGATTCCATTAACATTCAGAGAAATGGAGATTTGGGGTCATTCTGTCATTATCAGATAAGTAGTGAATTGCGGAGGGGATGACATCACAATTTCTGACCACATTGCAAATTTGTCTCAAAGATTCCATGATTTTCATGATTTTCATGATTAATAACTTTATTATTAAATGTTGTTGTCCGATTTTTCTCAAACTTTCACTGAATTTATTGTTCCTCTAATGTTCTGCTCCTATTAAAATCAATTTAATATCAAGATGAACTTCTCCTTTAATTGTTATATACCTCTATACAGTGCGTCCCAGAAAAAACGAAACCGAGAATTATCGATGTTTTATCATAACTTAAGCACAATTATAATTAATAAATGACACATATTTCGAAAGCTTAGATCCTCCTCTTTCATTTGATGCAACTCATATAGTGCATATTTTACTCATGAGTGATTAAAATCAATTTGAAGAGAGGAAACCAAAAAGTCATTTGGCGGACGGTATCTGAATTTCAAAGGGAAAATCACATTTCAAAAAAGTTGGGTTTCTGCCCTTTCATATGACACCTCAATCAGGAAAAATGAAAAAAGGGGCACTTTTCCTACGTAAAAAGTAGCACCGCCTTTGAACCAAACAAGATGAGAAATCATATATTACTAAATAAGTGAAGATATGAGAGATATATATAGAGAGAGAGAGAGGGAGAGAGAGAGAGAGCCTGAGAGATATATATATATATAATATATTATAGAGAGAGAGAGAGACGAGAGAGAGTGAAAGAGAAAGAGAGAGAGGGGGGGGGGGGGAGAAATGAGACAGATGATGAGATAGAGGAGGTGGTGAGAGAAAAAGAGAGAGCATGGACGGAAAGAAATAAAAAGGGAGGTCGAAGGTAAAACTCAAAAAAGATGGGGTGATCAGATGAAAAAGGATATTTTGCCAAGAATCAACGGAGATAAGTAGGAGAGAGAGAGGGGAGAGGGGAGAGAGAGAGAGAGGGGAGGGGGTGGGGAGAGAGAGAGGGGAGAGGGGAGAGAGAGAGAGGGAGAGGGGGTGGAGAGAGAGAGAGGGGGAGAGGGGAGAGGGAGAGAGAGGGGGTGGGGAGAGAGAGAGAGGGGAGAGGGGAGAGAGAGAGAGAGGGGGTGGGGAGAGAGAGGGGGGAGAGGGAGAGAGAGGGGTGGGGAGAGAGAGAGGGGAGAGGGGAGATAGAGAGAGGGGTGGGGAGAGAGAGAGAGAGAGAGAGAGAGAGAGAGAGAGAGAGAGAGTCGAAATACGCCTTTACACAGAATATATAAATGTGCATTGATATAAATTGTAAATAATATTATCGACTCGAGTTTAGCCGTTGACCCTGGCTCATCGGGTTTCTCCAATCCCATCAGGGTCTCATAATAATTATGGAGGCGCGGCTAAGAGATTTTTTTTCTTAATTTTTACGATTTTTTAAAAATATTATTCTCTCTAAAAGGTAATAAGTATCATAGCTTGCAGTTATCAATGAGAATGCGGCTATCGCTCTTATATCGACTAGCTGTACACACGGAAGAATATGCGCTGGTTAATCCAAGCCAGAGTTCACTTTGATTAACTTGAATTAACATTATATCATACTAAGTTCTGTACTTACCAATCTACATTGTTTCCATTAGGATCTTTGCAAGACAGCTGACACGACACGAGGCACAAAGATGTCAGGGAAAACAACAGAATACCTATCACATATTTTTTCACCGCCATAATCACTGCAGAGAATCCTGGGCCCGGCTATATTATGTTGCAAATAATATACCGCGAACAAGAAGAGTACATGTATATTCAAACAATGCACGCCAAGAAATGAGAGACGGTTCGTGGCCGTGGCTCCAATAAAGGAAGAAATTCCCTGGAAATTCCCCACAAAAGATAACAATAGCCCCCCAATGAAATGTTCGGCTGTTTTATAGCTGATTTGATTACTTAGTTTTCATACCAAGTACCGATACCGCAACTGATCATAATGATATTCAAGTGCTATTTTTTTAGAATATGATTGATTGCCCTTATTTATCATGACATATCTTTCACTTTCGATCCATGACCGTTGTTATTTTCTAGCTCCTCTCTGCGTGACCTCACCCCCGTCTCTCTCTCTCTCTCTCTCTCTCTCTCTCTCTCTCTCTCTCTCTCTCTCTATCTCTCTCTTTCTCTCTCCCTCCCTCTCTTTAGCGTGTCCTTCCCACTAATTATATCACACTTATATCATTTTCAAGTAACAGGAAGGAAATCGTATACTGTAGTGGTTTCAATGGGCACGCATTATATATGACACTTCATTTAATAACAGATCAAACAGACTGGGCAAGGTTCCTTTCCTATCGCAACTTTGCGCTCTCTATAGCACCATTGCACATGTATTTTGTGTACATCATGCACATGCGATCAATTCTAACCTGCATCATGTGATCTGCAGAACAGCAGCTGATCGAGAGCAAACTTCCTGTACTCCCTGATTGTAATATGCCATTTATATTTTATCAAGAGGAGATCCAAACTTTATGAAAAGGATTGGTTGGGATATCTATTATAACATCCTGTTCCCGCTCTTTTGTCACGTTTGCCTCGTGAGAAATTTGAACAGGATGACTCCGGAAATTATAAAGCCAGAGGGGCAAATGATAGTAGTGGTGATAGGAGAGAGGGGGTCTGGTGTGCAGGCACGTAGCCACGGGGGGGGGGGGGGGAGGGGCACGTGCCCCCCAAAATTTCCAAGATCGGTAGATTTTTTTTAGACCCCTTTTTTGACCTCGATCGATTACATGTATGTGCCCCCCCCCCCCCAAACATTAAACTCTGGCTACGTGCCTGCTGGTGTGGTGATGATGGTGGGAGAGAAAGAGGGGGGCCGGTGATCGATGGTGGTGGTAAGATTAGGGTCGATGATGGTGGTGGTGGTATAAGCATGAACCGATATTATGATGGCAGAATATGAAATTAGGGGCTGCTGCTGGTAGAGAGAGAGGGGTGGTGGTAGAGAGAGTGGCTGGTGATGATTATGGTGGTGGTAAAGTGAGGGCCTGGGTGGGGTGGTGAGGAAGGGGGTGCTGATGATGGTGGTGGTGGTAGAGAGAGGTGTAGTGGTAGAGGGAGTGTTTGATGATGCTTAAGGTGGGGGTAAAGAGAGGGCCTGAGGTGGTGGGGTAGAGGAAAGGGGATGTGATGACGGTGGTGGTAGAGGAGGGGGGGCTGGTGATGGAGGGACAAGGGAGAGGATTGTGGTAGTGGTGGTGGAAGAGATAGTGAGGAGCTGGTGATGGTGGTGTGAGAAGAGGGTTGGTGATGGTGGTGGAAGCTGGGGGCGGACCTTGTAATGGTGTTGGTAAAGGGAAGGACTGGTGATGGTGGTGGGAGAGGAGGGGGCTGGTAGTGGTGGTAGTAGAGGGGGGGGGGGGGCTTGGGATGGTGGTGGAGGCTGGGGGAGAACCTTGTGATTGTGGTAGAGGGGTTGGTGATGGTGGTGGTAAAAGGGGGGGGGGGCATGAGATTGTATATGGAGGGGAGGGGGCAGGATTTGGCCAAGGAAAACTAAATACTGAACGTTCTTGAATCTCAACATTATTTTATCTCCTCCAGACAATTGCTCATTGTTTACTTGTATTATTATGATTCTATATAGTGTATTTCTACCATGTAAATACTTTTGTAAAATTATCATAAAATTCAGCCCCTGGGCTAAATTCTGTAGATTATGCTGTACTTCCTGAAGATTGTTATTCTAACTTAGTCTGAGCACAGGAAGTTCCTACTACAGGAAATAAATTTGTTATATTCTCACAGCATGTATTTATTTATTCTATCAGCAAGCTTTGAAACAGAAAGCTGTAACCATATTTAGACAGCAAAAAAAAGATACAAGTTTGTTGAATGAAGACAAGAACACAGGTAATTTGTCTCATGTGATGAATGACTCAAGTTTTATTCATTTGCAGGCAATTGACCTTGTGAAAAATAAGATAATTAATAAACTTTTACAAGAGTGTAAGCTCTTTTACAAATGAAAATATATGATCACTTTCATTTCCATCTTATAAAAATCTATAAGTATAAATGCAGAAAAGGTAATAGATTGCACGAATATGAACAGTAGGCTCCAACTGTGAGAACTAAAATAAATTAAAATAGACTGCATGAAAGGAACAAATGTCAGTCACCCTCAAAACATACCTTAATACTTTCAAAATAGTTTTGGTTTTTCTTTCATGTTTAACAAGCCTTTGTTCGCTTGGAGAGACTACTTAGGAAGTACTTTGCCTCGTCCTTTTGCTCACATTCACATGTGACACAGTAACCCATGGCATTTTTTTCAAATCGCCGTGTACTTAAAGGTAAGACCAGTTCTGGTCATGCGCTTGCATTGTGAAAGAAACGTTGTGGAATCAATCAGAAAGGGTTGATCATCTAGCATATAAGTATTGGTGTGTACTGCAAGGTTCTGGAATCATCAAAATGATAAGAAATTTGGCCCAGTCTTGGTAAAGTTACAAGCACTGTACACAGAAAGATGTACATGGGACTACCCTATATCTATCGAGTCCATATTGATATAATAATAATTGCGCGACACGTGCGTTTATCTCTCACACACCAATAGATATAATAATATACCAAATATATCAATTAGTAGGCGGTTTCCTGGCAAAATTTGTATCATCACATATTAGTCATAACATATTCTTTCACTTGATTGGTAATAAGAGCTTCCATTTTATTTTTTAGAGGGGGCGTTTTCAAAACTGGTCTTTACCTTTAACATTTCTGTATAACAAACGGAGTACACTAGAATCTTCTTCATGAAGCATGCTTTTGTCATCTCCATTCGCTATTCACTTCCATGTCTCAAAAAGAAAGATTCCCATGTCATTTGTGAACATGTGTGACATTTAATTTCAAAACGCTATTCTCTTACACAAAACATTGAGGTGTAATACCTTTCAAGGCCAAATAAATATCAAGTATCTCATTGTTGGGCAAGCAGCATAACAAGTTCATACTCTGTGCATGGGTAAGAGAAAGGAATCTGCTTCTTTGTTCATTTACCAGTACATTTGAGCGTTGGTCAATACAATAGGAAATTTGACACCATACATAGAGAATTATCTTTCTTTAATGTCAATTCCAGTTAATTCTGGGGAAATTGAATCTGTTGGGACCACAACAAAAATTGTTTGACTTATGGAAATTCAACTTAGATATTGTAAATAACATGTTTTGCGTACTAAAAAACTTGAATCGACTGAGGAAAATTTGACTCTGAATTTGTAACTATAAGTTATGCAGAGTTAAATGTACCTTACATCCTTGATCAATTCCCTCCCTGGGTGTATGAGTGAACAGTATGAGAAGTCTTTTAAACAAACATGATGTCTCATTTATACCATAACATCTACTACCATTGTAAAATAATGTAGTTGCAATTTACTTAGTATAATGCAAACAAATATGTTAGGGGTACAAATTCAAGTTCAATTCGAATTGTATTTATTTCAATCCAAACAAATAGGATACATGTAGATAGATCTGGGAATCTGAGGGGGGGGGGGGGGGGGGGGTGGGGGGGGGGGGGGGGGGGGGGGGGGGGGGGGGGAGGTCCCCCCCCCCCCCTTTCTCCCCCCCCCCCCCCCCCCCCCACTCAGAAAATAATTCAAATATCTAAAATGCCACACCCCCCCCCCCCCCCCTCCCCCTACTTCATTTCTTGTTTAACGGGCAGCATTGCCAGCGAGTTCGAATGTTGGAAATGTTTTTATCCAAATTTCTCACAATACTGCATCTGCCTGTAGATATATATGCTTTGGCACAGGAATCTGTACTTGCAGCCCATCACAAAAAGACATCGGATGGAATAAAATCATGTTTTTTCAGTCCTTTGTCTCTTTTTCGTCTTCTTTCCAGTTACTCCATTCTGGGATTCCTGTGTGGCTTGAGTTTTAGCAATCTTTCTTCTTCCTCCTTTCTTTGACTTTTTCTATGAAATTAAATCAAATTGGAAGAAAAACAAAAATTGAGAATTTGTTGGACATACCTAATCCTACTGAATCTTAACCCGACATCTGAACCTTTAAAGATACTATGTCCCTTTTGCAGCCAACCTCAAATTATATAGAACTTTGCAGGAATTATGAATATGTCATGTATGTCCTATCTGTGAAATTTAAACGTTAGCAGTGTCCTTATATATTTCAAATATGTGCAAGGAAACCCGTTTACTTGCTAGACTTCACTGTCAGACACTATTGTCAGTATTGAGTGACTGACTGGCTTTTTCTTCTTCTTTGGTAATAACTTAGATAAAATGAGCTGTAAAGGATTTGTCTACATCAATAACCCACTTCTTGTAATGACCAAAATTAAACTGATTGAATCTTTGCGCAGCATAAAACGTATGACCATGCAGTACAAGGGTCTGAAAATCAAGACTATTACTTATTGGCTCTATAGCTCCTAAGTCGATTTGACAACTAATAGTCGTTATTTTCCCACTTAAAGACGTTTTCAAGCCCCCTTTTTTAAGGGGAGTTCTGAATTAGTATTATCTTTCAAATGCCATTGGAATTAATAACCTTTTCATTTTTTGGGCCTGCAAAAGGGACATATGGTAGTACCTTTAATACACTGCAAATACACTGCAAGAGTAGATTAACTAATGATTCAAACTATAGGCAGGTGTTATAACATGGAGCCCTTGTCCTAAAAAAGAGCAGCCCACCGTCTATGAAAAACAAACATTGCACCAAAACCAAAACCACTTTACATGTAAATAAATGACGAAGGGCAATCATAGTATAAGGTTTATAAATATACATAAGCTGCATGCAATAAAAGTCCCAACATATTGATTTATGTTATTCATGAGGTGCATTTCCATTAGCCCTAGTTGATAATATTGTAGTTCTGGTCATGCAATTGCATTGTTAGAGAAACTGTGTGGAGTGGAAGCGTTTGGAAAACACTGATTATGTAGCACATATTAAGCATTAGTGTATAATGTGTGGTTTTGGAATCATCTAAATGATAGTCACATGCACAGAAGTGTTTTTATGGGACTACACAAACATGTGGCATGAAAGTATGGTCCACAACCTTTTACTGTTACTTGTCATATTTCGAATATGAGGGCATTGGAAAAGCCATCCTTATTAGGAGAATGTTGTTGTTGTTGTGTTTTGAGTTATTGGCGATTAGTCAGTGATTTGACTATTGTCGCCAAAATACTTTACGGCACGTGTTATATCTCTCAATTTTGGATTTTTTAAAAAATATATTTATTTCGTTTTATATTTATCTATCTTTTAGGAAATTTTCTATGGTATCCTTCAAACTTAAATAAAAAGATTTTTTTTTTTTTTAAATTACCAGTATGTTTCCCTTTTCCAAGAACTCAACCCTAGTAAACTTGACTACAATCGATTTGACCTAAAGCAAGTACAGAGAGCTAAAAAGCTCAATTTGAATTACTGGGCTGAAGACCAAAGTCGTACAGATTTGAGTCACACATCATGCTCATCTCCTTTGGCCGGCTAACCACTGCATGTGGGAATAGAGCTGAGATATAGAGACTAGAGAGAACTGTATTTATTGGAAACTCATCTCCCCCCCCCCCCCAACCCCTCCAAATTAAAAATGGAGTACATGACATTAGGCCTGAGTCGAAACGGGTCCCCGCCCGGGCCCCGACCGTCGAGCTGAAACCCGGTTTTGGGTTTTCGGGTTTCGGGTTTTTCAAAATTAAATTTTTACACTGATATTTTGAAATATAGAACTAAAAATATGCAATTCACAAACTTATATTTTGTTTCAGTTGACGGTAGGTGTTTTTACCACTCTAAAATTGAGGCTGCAAGAAAGGAATCACGCTTCGAGGTACCGATCGAGTGCGTTCAGAAACGGAAATGGAAATCGATGTATGACCCACTGAAGACTGAGCAAGTTAAGAAAGCCCCACACACAAGACTAAAATGTTGATCAGACTATTACAATTAAATCGTAATACTAATAGGCATTAATTAATTGTCAAAATATGTCCACAAAATAATGGTTTACGATCCTTGATAATTTAATGAAGGAAAATAATTTAAAGCCCTTGAAATAACATCGAAGTGCCTTCCGTTCGTTCTAAAAATGCGTGTATAAAATTAACGGCAAGCAGAAGTTACGAGTCAAGCTTGATATGCATGTTTACATCCCTACACCGTCATCCGACTTGATCGGAACAATAAGCATTAAACCAATTAAAAAACATAACGTAAGACTGTAAGGGACACCAATTCAACAAAATAACCGTAAAATGATTATTTGCTTTGACAAATACTATAGATATTCATAATATCTTACAGAAATAATGATATTTCATGAGCTACGTACTCGATATCGAGTTCAGCTAGCCATCATTTTGAAATGAGACGTAGTTGTCATGCAGAGAATGCGGCAGCTTGCAGAGAGGAAAAAAAATCACGTAATAGGCACGTGAATATCACGTGATCTCAGGCCCGCGCTTTTCCTCTTTCTGCTGCATTACCGCCCTCTACAGTCTACTGCATGACAACTACGTCTCATTTCAAAATGATGGCTAGCTGAACTCGATATCGAGTACGTAGCTCATAAAATATCATTATTTCTGTAAGATAATATGAATATCTATAGTATTATTTGTCAAAGCAAATAATTATTTTACGGTAATTTTGTTGAATTAGAGTCCCTGAAAGCCTTACGTGATTTTTTTAAAATTGGTTTAATGCTTATTGTTCCGATTAGCTCTCATGACGGTGTAGGGATGTAAAGACGCATATCAAGCTTGTCTCGTAACTTCAGCTTGCCGTTTATACACGCATTTTTAGAACGAACGGAAGGCACTTCGATGTTATTTCAAGGGCTTTAAATTATTTTCCTTCATTAAATTATCAAGGATCGTAAACCATTATTTTGTGGACATATTTTGACAATTAATTAATGCCTATTAGTATTACGATTTAATTGTAATAGTCTGATCAACATTTTAGTCTTGTGTGTGGGGCTTTCTTAACTTGCTCAGTCTTCAGTGGGTATTTCTACTTCCGTTTCTGAACGCACTACGTACCACGTACGAAGCGTAATTCATTTCTTGCAGCCCCAATTTTGAGCGATAAAAACACCTACCATCAACTGAAACGATATCCATTTATTTTTTAAAGCATCTTGATTTAATTCAATGGATTATTTTATTGTTTTGAAAGCAGTAAATGTCTTTTCCGTCGCATTATTAGAACAGCAACTTAGTCTAACTCCCGCCGTTGCATGCACACGATTTTTAGTGTCAGTGCAGTGGTGAAAATTTCGGGTACCCGGTCCCCGCCCGAAATTTTCAAGTCAAACCCGGGTTCGGCAAAACCCGTGATGACTCAGGCCTACATGACATCCAGTACTACTCCTGCTCTTACTTGCAAAAATAAGAATTGTAGATTTTTAAACTGCACTGCTCTTACCTTTCGTTTTGATGGACTACCGGGTGTAGGGTTGGATTCATTCGGGGCATGAGATCCACAGTCCATGTTCTCAATTTCAAAATCAGAGTCATCATCGTCTTCTTCACTCTCTGCTGCTGCTGCTGCTGTTGCTCCTTCTCCTCCTCCTTCTTGTAATCTCTCAAAATCTTCTCCTGATGCAGACAAGGAAAAGAAAATCACATAGGTTAAATGAAAAAGAAATATCAATACCAATTCCCACATCCTCCTCCTAAGCTATGGCATACCGGCCAAAATTTGAAAATGAGAATTAAGAATTTTTAGCACGGTATGTCTTCGAAATTAAGAAATCTGTACCCTTAACAGGCGTTCGCACATGCAGCGGCAGTGCAACTGGCAATATGCGGTAAATCTGTGCAAAAAAGCGAATACAAATTCGCTGCTCAATCACGCAGCCATTCAACGCACGCACTACGTGAACTCTCACATCGCGGCATATGATAAAATAAGCTTAATTTGGCTTAAGCAACACAACAACAACAAACAAAACAAAACAACAACAAACAACAAAAAAAAAAACAACAACAACAACAAAAAATCAAAATTTTGAAAATCCGGGATATCTCGCATTTTTGGGTCCTAAAAATCCAGAAAAACAGGATATTCCAGATTACTCGGGAGGGTTGGCAGGTACGCTATGGGCTTGTAAATTCACACTCCAACTACTAATGGTAGCAAGACTAACCATCCCTGGTGTGCAGGCAGACTCTAATGTTAATTGACACTTTACCACAATTCCTAGATCCTTGAGCAGAGCCTAACTATGTCAGTCTCTGGCTGTGTCAAATAACATGTCAGGAGCAGATAAAGTACATAGCGTCTACAAATGATGTTAGCCTAGTTCTCACTGTGCAGACACTGTTAGGCAAAGCAACTGAATCAGCTCGAGATTGCCAAATATCCCGCTATTTGAACTATCCCAATCGCAAATTATCCAGTTAATTTGTGTCTTCATCAGCCCGAAGTTGCAATTAGCGGGATATTTGGTCGAGATAATCATTATACAAATAACGCACGGCCCAGAGTGCAATAGCGGTGAATGCAGTACGCGCGAGGTTTCTTTAGATTGGTGCCGCTCTGTGCAACGAGCCGCTTGCGGCGAGTTGACAGTGCGAACCATCTGAAGAAACCGAGCATTTACTGCATTTACGTTTTGCACAACAGGGTCAAGTGCGTTATTTGTTTTATAAAATAGCGACACAAATAGCAACAAACGAAACTTTAGATCTAATAAGTTAGAGTCTACGAGAGTTCGATCTAGATCTAGATCTAGAGTTATGTTGGTTCTACTTCTAGACTAAGACCTTGCAGGCTTACCAAAAAGTCAATGGGATTCATTGCCTTGATTAAAAATAAAATCCATACAGTGGGTCTAGAGACGAGTCTACATCAGACAGCTGAAATTCCTGGCTTCATTATAAAATCCAAAAGTCAAAACAGGCCTAAATCCAAGGCAAAAGTAAAATAAAAATTTGCTTTTTAATAATACCCCGCTGGCGCTGGCCGCTCTGATCTACCTAGTTAGCTAGAGCTAAGCTACGCGTACGTTGCGCTGGGGATCATGGTGGAGCGTACAATTTTAGCTACGCGTAGCCTACAATAATTGCAATGCAACTCGAGGGAGCGCGTACTACACGTACGCGCGCGCACTGGATCTCCATGGTCACGCATACGCACCGTGCAATATAACTTTTTACTGCGCTTTTTCTGCACTCATTTCTGCAAAATCGTGCTTGCATCAAATTTTTTTCAATGTCATGTGACGCGTATTGACCAATCACGATGCTTAAAATACTAGAGCCATTTTATAATCCAAGATATCTTGGGCTAGTTTGCAAAATATCCCACTATTTGTCCGGTGTGTCTTCACCAGCCCGAAGACTTGTATATCTCGAGCTCGAGTTTCAAGTTTCGAGGTCAAGTCTCGAGCTGATGAAGACGTGATTTTTTACTTCGGAATTATTTCACAAATCAGAAATAGTGGGCTATTTGGCAATATTGAGCTGATGAAAACAGGCCGAATGATCTGTGAAGACTCTGAAGACATTGACTTACGTGGGTAGAGATCGCTCATGCTGTCGTCCGACTCGGCCTCCGACTCACTCGTATCACTGTTAGCATGATGGCTGTATTTCTTCACTTCTTGAGAATCAGAGTCTTCCGCTCTCTTCTTGCTTCTTGCCAGAGGCTTGAATTTGGTCCCTAGTCTCTGGCATTCTTCATCTAAAACAGGATTACAGGAAATTATCTTCATAATCATATTTCATTTTGATATAAAGGTACCTTAAACAAGTTTTCACATGGAGATAAATATATTACTTCACGATGCATTTCTAAAGTGCATTTTAAAATCTTATTTTAAGCAATACCCAGTATTATAATTATTTACTATACCGGTATATGAAGAGAATGTAATGATTTTTTTAAACTTTGGGGGTCTTTGAGTGTTTCATCAAATGTCTTTTCTCTTTATATTTGCATATGATGAAAAATGTTGAAAACCAACTTACTGAGCAATCCTTGAATAGACATGATGAGACAATTCTTGGTAAATCATATTTGAGAATAAAATTACCTTGATTATTCTTGGATACCCATATTTCAGAATTAATACACGTAGCTATAAATAATAAATACAATCAACATATATCACCAATTTGGGCCTTTTTTTTTTTTAATATAAGTATGTAATGTTCAATACAATACATATTACTTATGTACAATAATCATCCTACCTAAAACTCCCAAGCATTACCCATCTACTCACATTTTGCCAAAGCTTTCTTGTATCTCCTCCCATTGACATGTCGTTCTACATGAGCTGGTACACGGTTGATGTGACGTACAGTAAGGGTGCAGAAGATTTGATTCCTGGATTTAAAAAATATATATATCACAATATCATTGTCTGATAATATAAGGAAAGTGTAAAGCTGTAAGGAGGTAATGGAACTCAGCTACACAGTAATTATAGAAAGTTATGAAACTTGAGAAACAGAATTTTAAGAGAAAAACAAAACCTACATATATTTTTCGGAATCATCACTAATCATCTACTTAGTGATTAGACTTAGATATTCATTCTTAACAATTCTGAATTCTGTGAAATTATGAGTCTTGATTCTACAAAAAGAATAAAGGTCAAAATCAAAATATATTCTCCATCAAAAGAGAATTTTTCTCCCTAAAACTCCCCCCCCCCCCTCCCCTTCCAAATTTTTTTTTGTTTACACTTTAAATTTTTATTCTCCAAAGTTTTGCTTAATACTGTACATGAACTTCTTCAAAATAACTCACTCTCTTCCTCTCTTGGTACTAGGAACGATATGTGGCTTGTACTTCTCAAACTTGTCGTTGTCCCTATCCTGTGCGACCTTGAACCTCCTACCCTTGGTGTACGTCTCAAGTTCAGTAAGTCTGCAAGGCAACTCATGGCCAGTCAAGCAGCATTTCACCTTTCAGATGCAAAACAAATAGTAAATATGAGATATTTCAAAGTGCTCAGCATTATGTGCATCATCTACAAGACATTGTCTTACTAAGGAGCCCGAGTGTTGGCTCAGTCAGTAGAGCATCCGCCTCACAACCGGGAGGTCGTGGGTTCGAACCCCGGCCGCGTCATACCAAAAGACGTTAAAAGATGGGAGTTGTTGCTACCTTGTTTGGCGTTCAACAATAAGGGATAGAGCAACGTCGATCTGGCGCTGCTCAGTGGCTGCCGGGCTCACGATCAATTGGGCCTAAAGAATTTCCGTTTCGGTTTAATAAAATTTGGAGTGGACTATTAGGCTATTATTATTATTATTATTATTATTATAAAAGACAGGTGGATACACTTTGAATTTGTTTTATAAACATCTATATAACATTGTGCGTGCGTGAAGATACTAGATAGCAACCGAAAAATGGTCATCATCGTCATAATGTGGGCTACTTACATGAATTTAATTAGGATCTGAGATTACAGTCAATAACTTCTAGCACGCTTAGGCGCCCGCACCCCTTTGGCTTTGTCAGTACGGCTTGCAATTGTATTGAAATTGTGCAGCGGTTTGCCGTGAAACATGTGAGATAGTGTATAGACTATAGACCTAGTCTAGATCTATTAATTATATTTGTTTTATAGGAAAAATACTCCAAAAAAGATATAAAAATTGACACGAAAAGGGTAAGAAATATAACAAATTTCTATAATGACCATTATTTGAACAATTGATGAGGATTAATTTCATTTGTTGGTATGTTTTTGTAGGGTATCTCCACGCCGGAGTTACGGGTCAAAAATGGATACGGAAGTACACTAGCGCCAGCGCCAGTAGCGGCTAGTTGCGCCGGTTTCTTAGTGTCTAGAATCTACTCATTATAATTTCCCAAAATATCAAATCATAGTCTCTATACTATAGTTACCTTTCTAATTTTGCTGTAATCATCGTCAACTATTTGAAGAGACGGGAAAATCTTGATAAAATCAATCACTTCTGTAGAAACAACGTCCTTACTTGGAGTTGTCGAATCCATTTCTCTCGATATCTTCTCACATGCACATGGAGCTCGCACTAGTTGAGTAAGCTTTCGAAAGACGAGTAACTCAGATCAAAACTGTACGTAAGTGAATGAGGCGACCATATCGATTGACAAAGCTAGTCGTCTTGTGCAGCACACTCTTTGGTTGCTTCGAACGTTAAGATCGTCGGTGGTGGATGCACATGTATGTTCTTGGCCAGGCGCCAGTGTTATATTTTGCCACTGGCTCGGCGGCCACACCCAAATGCCACACCCATATGGGTGGGTCTTCTCTCTAATAATTACGAAGACAATTGTAATGTCGTTGCAGGGAATTGGGTCAAGGCATTAGTGCTATCATGTGGACTAGACTATGGTCGTTGAAATAATATCAATCTTGAGAAATATTTTTTTTCAAGTAATAATTGTAAAACAAGAAAATCATAACTTTGATCTGAAACTAGATCTATGGTAAAGTAGAATACTATATACTAGATCCGGGTGGCCGCTGTATCCCATTCAATTATTACTTGAAATGCCTAAGCGGTACCCGTTGGTCCCCAATGATCCCCTTTTTCTTATATTAATTGAGAGCTGATTTGATGATACATGTATAACCCCCTGTCAGTGACCAAGCAGGGAGGTATAATCCCTCCTGGCCAAACTAGTGCAGAAAGGCATTAAAAAACCCGAATCAATTACCAGCTTGCATGAACAGCACCTACTACGAAAGTATTGAAAGGCATCATGTCTGAAAAATATAAGCTCTCTGGTACGTACATGTTACGCGCTCACACCAAAGACGCTTTACTGACAAAGATATCTATCTCAACCGTATCGTATACCAGTAGCATCCGCATATCGCCTTGTACGCATAATCATAGGCTAGGCCGTTGGAGTAAACTCTGATGGACAAGAAGTGGACTCCCTGAGAATCAGGTTCGTTCATCCAGAATATAATACAGGAGGTAAGATTTAGGAAGTGAAAATATTTTGTGATCTCAACACCAATACACAAATTGCCAAAGACATAGACAGAGACAGAGCAGGGATGTCAAGTCAGACTCAGAGCTCGAGCTACGAGATTGCGACAAGCAAGCGGCCCTAGCCCTAGGCCGCCCCGAGAGCAGAGGTCGCGCCGCGCCGCAGCGTTGTCTGGCGGGGTGCCCACTCAGTGTACGACCAATTACTTCTTATTAGTATATGCCTACGACTAGCACTCTATATCATCTGCAAGAATCTTCAAACCTGAAGGAGGCAGATGTAACCCGAAAAAGAAGAAGAAGAAGAATTGAGTTTTAAGTCAGAATAGATGGAGGTGCTGCATGCTGGCATCTCGGCGCGTATCACCATTTATCAGTACTTCCCACTCTCTAAGTCTAAACATGAAAAGAAACAATGAAAGCTCAAGAGTCAAAAGCACCGGTACTTGGTAGCTGTAGTGACTAGTGGTACATTCATTTATACTCTTTATTATTAATTTAGTAGATCTTGGATCTTGTATTGCTGTCCTCCAGAAGATTTTGCGAGGGAATATAAACTGGAGTGGAGGTGTGGCTTATAGAGTGGTCCTTTAGCTAGGCTATACTCCTATCTTATTTATTAGATTTAATTTTTGATTTTGTAGGTGGAGGATCAGGAATCGGAGGGCGTGTCATTGCGGCCTTGAAGGATTTAATTCTTTTTTGTTCTTGGGAAGATTGTGTTCAGTTTGCAAGTACTTCAGTTCTGGTGTACTAGTAGGTCTATAGGTAGTCTGGAATTGGAATTTGTGACATCTTGTTTGATTTGACTTTGGGATGATGTATTTCTGGTGATCAATGTCGAGGGATCCATTTAGCATCTTGAAAAAGCAGGTGACTCAATGATTACCCCCATCCCCCCCCCCCCAATTTAAAAAAGGGGTACCGGTAACTCATCATTAGCGGAGTAAAAAATGACTCCCTTTAGATGATATGTTGACCTAACATAACACTTTCCACAAAAAATGTCACACCTTTTTGAATAAAAACAGTTACAAATTGAGCTCTGAATATATATAATAGCACTAGTACCAAAATACCATATTTTCTCACAATTTTCCTTAAAACTTGGAGGTTCTCTTTGAAATACATGTGACCCTGTTTGTGAAATGTCCTGCTCTTTGAAACAAAAAATTGCTACTTTTTACAAATCCATGAAAATTGAATTGTTCATCCCCCCCCCCCCCCTCCCAATTTCTGCCTTTTTTATATCGAAATTTCTAGCTAGTTAGTGTGTATGAATTCAATATTAAATAACACCACCATCACCTGCACCAGAAGTTCAGAATTTATTGATGTTGTATTTTGAATTTCCTCTTTTTTTTTCTAAGAAATTGAGTGAAAAGTGAAGAAAAAAATGAAACGGCTATAAAATACTGAATTTTCCTTTCATATTGTAGCTTTTATTAAAAAATGCCTGGTACAGAGGGTGAGGTTGTGATGGTGACCGGAGCATCAGGTTTCCTGGGTCAGCACATCCTCAAACAGCTGTTAGAACAAGGAGAGTTTCTCATCAAGGAGGTCAGGACCTTTGACCTACAACCTTTCACCTGGTGTCCCGAACTAGAAGGTAAACTTTCTAGTAATAAGCGGTTGGATTAGGCTTAGGGTTCCAACAAACTCAGAAAGAAACTAGAACTACATGAATTTCTTAGTAATCATATTTTATGTACTTGTAAATTAAGTACCAGTACATGCCAGACCAATAAGCATAGATCCAGTGGTCCAATCCATCCTAAAACCAGCATTAGACATAATTTGTTGAAACTTGTGCCATTGTAAAAAGACCCCAAAATAATGATATGACCTCCATTAAATATTTTACACTGTTATCTTGACAAGCATACATTTAAACAACAAAAATTGTATAACAGCATCATGGCTACTGACGGTTCAAATCTTACATAAGTCAGGGCTCATGTATACAGAATCTGGGGGCGTTTCACAAAACTTGTCATCAGTGACAAATGACAGTTTTTGTTATAAGCTACTGAAATCCTTGCTTCTGATTGGTTAACAACAGATTTGTCACTGATTTTGTCATTTGTCATTGAAAAAAGGTTTTGTGAAACGGGTCCCAGGATCCGCTTCCAAATTATTTAGTGTAGAGATCTGCATAAGTGTATCCTAGAACATGCACCAAATTTAATGGATATACAAGGTTCAACCTCCCTCTCTCTCCCTTTTTCTCCCTCTTTCATATTCTGCAAATTCACCCATAATCCAAACTCTCCTCTATTCTGCCCCATTGATTTCCTTTTGCCTACTAGTCCACAACCCCACTACTCAGCTCTCGCACATTAAGGGTGACCTGCTGTGCATGGAGGAGGTGCGGAGGGCCTTCAAGGGTGTCACTGTTGTTATACATACTGCTGGTGTGATTGATGTGTCTCCAGTGCCAGACGCAGAGCTTCTCCGATCCGTCAACATTCAAGGTATGTTATTTTAGCTTTGATAAATGTTCAAACGGTAGTGGGGTACGAGTGTAACCCTCCCCTCCCCCTCAACAAAATTTCTGTCAGCTAATTTGAAAACTATACAAACTATGTTGGAAAATGAGAGCGTTTTCACCTTGTTTTTCCTTTTGCTGGTTGAAAAAATTGAAATAATTGTCAGGAAATTAGGTAACACCTCGCCCTCTTCTCTCCCATATTGGTCTAGCAATCCCTTTTTTTCCTTTTTTAATATTCTAAATATTTTGTTGAGTTGGCCTTGGTAGTAATTCTTTTCTTAAGAATGTATTTGCTCTGTCCTGATCAAAGTATGAGCAATGACTTCTTCACAAAATCTGTCTGAAATTTCTTTTCAATCTTTTTACTTGGATCATGAATTTGGGATTTCCAATTTCGTATTATCCCACTAATTGTAAATGTTAGGATATAACATACACATGCAAGTGAACCTCCATTAATACAGATGTACATAATTGTGTATTCACTCATCTACAAGGTTACTGATCAAACTCTTCTCCCGTATTGAACAGGTTCTGAGAATGTACTTCAGGCCTGCATTCACCACAACATACAGTATTTAGTATACACCAGCACAGTTGATGTGGTTATCGGCCAGGAGCCTATAACAGCAGGTACAGAGACTATCCTAGGCATTCCTCAGCATCATCACTTTGGCCTCTATGCAACCACCAAGTATGAAGCAGAAAAGATCGTCCTCAAGGCAAGTAATCTCATCCTGAAGAATGGGAAGCGCCTGCAGACGTGCGCGCTTCGCCCAACACCGGTGTACGGCGAGGGCGACACGTACAACCGTGATGTCCTGCGACAAGCGTGCCACTACAAGATGATGGTTCGCATGGGGAGCGAATCCTCGCGTTACCAGTGCACCTACGCAGGAAACATTGCTTGGGGACATGTCCTAGCCGTTAAGGAACTCTTGAAACCCACGACCAATGAATCACCTGCAGGACAGGCCTTCTTCCTCACCGACGAAACCCCGGTGTCAAAAGTCAGCGACTTCTTCACACCGTTCGTCATCGGCGTCGACGCCAAGATGTCCAGCTTTTCTCTTCCATTTTGGTTGCTCTACTCCATTGCTGTCGTGATAGAGATATGTGCCTGGCTTCTCCAGCCAATCTACAAGGTCAAGTTCTTCTTGACCACTGCTACTGTGACCTATGCCTACGGAGTGTATTATTTTCAGTGCGAAGGAGCGGAGAGATGCCTTGGATATGAGCCTCTCTACACCTATGATGATGCTGTTGAGAGGAGTCTGGTTTACTACAGAAGGGAGTGTGGCTTATCCTGACCAACAGTATCAAATGATACTTTTCCACTCTAATAAATGCAATGTATATAATACTATAGATATTATAATGAACCTTTTATTCCACTTCCACAGCAATAATTTGCCTAAATGTATATATTGTCCAAAAGGACATCAACGCTATGACAAAAACATACCAGCAACCGGTATGTGACAGATGATATGAGCACCCTCCTGGCTTTCAGCAAATGATATGAAGTAATAATTGTGTTCAGTTGCTCAGGAAATTGTCTTTTTTATAATTACAGGTACTATTTGTTTATGTTAGAAAAATAGAAAGTCACTCACAAATACTCAAATCAGGCATGAAATATTATATGTTGACCAAGAAAAGGAAAATTATCTGATGTGCAATACAACTTGATTCCCCCCCCCCCTTTGCTTTACTGTATCGAAAGAGAATATGATTAATTTGTGTAATTGTATTTGCATAACAAAATTATCTTTGTTGATAGAAGATATGAAGTCAATATTGTGGAGCAAGTGGCCTTTATACATATTTTCAATTAAAAGGTCATTGTATTTCATATACTTTTGAATTAATATATTATCCCTCAGTACAAGAAGAAAAATTGTCAAACAACACTATATTCTACTGTGTAAAAGAAAAGTCATTTATGACAAATAAGTGGTCTACTTCTATAGTATTTTATTCAACCTCCAAGTGTTTATCCTATATAAGCTTATTTTGAATCACAGTTCTAGTAGATATTTCTTATCAATTTTTTATGAATATACTACTTTACTTGTACATATAGGTAAGGCTGTCATTGCTAAAGCCTGTTGCATAAAATGCTTCAATCAAATGAGAGTTACAACTTGCGATGAAAAATAGATTATTCAGCATTTATTTTTAGGGGGCCAAAGATCATGTTTCTATTGTTATTACTATTTTTCAACATAGAACTATGGCTCATGTCAAGTTCGAGTTGTAATTTCGTAATGTATTGTCATGCATAACATGCTGAAATCCAAGTCAAGGCAAGTGAAATATACTTTATGCATCAATGTGGGAAATATATATGAATTTAGCTTTATTGACAATCAGACATGCGGTGACTCCATGCTTACGCATCATTCACATATGATGCGCTAAACTGTTGGAGCAAAGCTAGAACGTACTTTGCACTTCTGAAATTATGCAAGCTTGTACTAAACAAAAGGACAGTTCAAACCAGCAAAGGCCACTACACAGTCGCTTATCTGTTTGGTATCAGATACAGAAATTTTAAGTGCACTATTATTTTGTCGAGGCAGTCATGTGAATGAGGTACCGATATGTTTATCCATCTATTACACAGTACTTCTGTTCCTTTCATTATCTTTGCATGATGTGATACATCAAGCCAATGCCCTACAGAGTACAAAGAGTTCATTTTCAGCTCAATGTGTAGCCTGTATATATAAACCTATGCTAAATGCAGTACTTACTTCTACATTTATATTTTCTTTTTTTATCATGTTATAACCATGCAGTGGCCTTTCTTTGTGTGAACTTAATGAATATTAACAGAATGACAATCTTGCCATGCAAATATGAAATACCGGTAGATTATTACAGGGTAAAGGTTGAAAGGTACAATGATATAAGAACTTGATTTGAAAGGGTATGTCAGTTGGATGTCCAGCTCACACCCTGGACCAACACCACGAGGGGTGGGGGGGGGGGGAGTGGTGGGGTAGACATCCAGGACTAGGGATCAGGTGTCCAATAACCATTATATGAGCCTTATGGTCTGTCTTAAAGACTCCTGCTTTCATGGGAGTTATGAAAAGAGAATTTGTAAATTTGAATGCCTTAAGTAAATCGTGCAATTGAATGTTTTTAAACAGAAATATGGCTTTTGTTCAGCATCAGTCATTTTTGAAAAGTAATAGGTTGTCATTTGTACAGACTAAAGACTTTCAGAAGAAGTCCTTTGTGCATTAACCTTGCTGACATTTTTTTTCAAGCACTGAAGTCAATAAGGATGATAGCATTCATCATTTATGTGGTTTTAAAGATATGAAATATGCTCATGTAGTCCAAGCCTGAGTGGAGTAACTAAGTTTTTTTGGACCAGTAAAAAGTACTAGTTGTGGTGAGATGAATAAACCCGATGACACACCTCGCTACAATACACAAAAATGTACTGAATGTGTAACTACAGGGAACTACCAAAGTACATGTTTTGATGAAATTACATATCACAGTGGCTTGTCTATAATTATGAGAAGGGGGAACAAATTGACAAAAGAGTCAAGCCTGCAAATCATGTGAATGGCTAATTTTGTGTAATCATAAAGGACTATCTGGAAAGGTTTCATACATTACTTCTTAGGGGTACTGGTATCATGAAAGTGTATAACAAAATACCATCACTGTGACCAGTATTTTCATCAAACACTATGACTAGCTGAAAATTGAAAGTAGCCGACACTCTCTATTGCAAATGGCATTCTCTTGTATTTCTACTGTACATTACATCCTTTCAGTGTGATGTAATTTTATGCATGGAATGCAGGTTGATTAGTTGATGATGTAATTCATTAGTTACCAGAAAAAATATATAAATACACATTCCATTCATGTTCCTTGCATTAAATGATTCTTCTGGACGTACTTAACTTAAACCCAGTTACGTAGTTGATGACAATGCAGTTTGATGTAATAAATGATCACTATCAGGGTATGAAACAATGAAATATATTATTAAATTGTATTGAAATGAAGGAATATTGTTGTTTTTCTTAGTGTTTATTATCTCGATCGTGTCATTCATTATCTTTTAAAGGTACTACATGTATTACATATTTAATACATGGTCAGAAAGGAGTTGGAACTGTTTATCAAAGTTTCAAGTTGTTCTGTGTAAATTTGGATGGTCCATTATTTTCAAGTATGATACATGTAATTTGTATGTATATGCATGAACCTAATAGTATATGTAACATATTTTCTTCTTCTTCTAATTTTGCTCTCATAAATTGTGTCAAAATGTATAAACTACAATGTGTCACCAATAATTATGTTAGAATTTCAAAATTTCTTAAGATAATTTCTGCAGATTCCTTGCATTAACTTCAGTACTTCAAATTGTGACAAGACAAGACAAGACACGACAAGACAGGTAATCACAAATACCTGTAGTAACCAGTAGCATTATTCTTTTCAGTTTATTTCACAATTCAACTAAAAATGGAAAATAGGAAACTTGATCAAACATATCCATGTTCATTGTCTTTATTACATAACATCTCTCCCAGCACATGTCACTCTGTTAATCTTCAGTTTCCACATTACACAAAATTTATTCTAAAAATTTCTAATCATACCTCCTTTTTGCAAAGTATTAATTTCTCTTATACTTAACCAAAACAAACTTCTCTTACACCTACTGTAATGTTATTGTTATTAAAGTTACAGAAAACATTTACCCTAGACACATTTTAGGGTGAAAAGAAAATTTACTTTCGAACTTGAATATCAATGATCAATCAACCTGAAATACAAATCAATGGGAAGTGAATTACATTGTCATTCTTACAAATATACCATCAAAATATTACAAAATGCAAGAAGTAGACTTTCAGTATATACATGTAATATACAGATATCGCAAGATTAGTTTCCTGAACAATTATGACATTATACTTCCATCTGGACGGAGTATCACACTGATTGAAAATAATTATAGAATATAGAATTTCAGTTTAATTATTAATTAGTTCCATCACACTCTAAAGCACATATGTACATCACAATACTATACATCTAGCTACAGTTCTGCTCACTAGACAGATCAGAGAAAGAGGTACCGGTACTCTATACAGTTTGTATAATACAACTTTTGTTTCTCTTATTAACAAAATGCTTACTGGTATACATATCTTCTTTGTATATTAAGGAATGTCTAGAAAATGTCTATATTGTTTGGCTAGTGGTATTGTTCTTTTAAGTATCAATCATTTCTCTGAAAACTTGTTCACAAGAAGGACATTTCAAAGAATGATTAGTACAATTCATGATGGAACATGTACAGGAATTATGCCAATTATATATTGTTTACATATGTTATTTACGGCAATGCAAAGTTTAACTCAACTTTAATGAAGAATATCAACGCATAAAGACAATATTATAGAATAAAATAGAGCTATAGTTGCATGCTCGAGGCAATTAAAACAATTGGACTACTCTGTGCAAATAAATCATATTAACAAAAATATTGCTATCTTCTATATATAATTTACATAAAATATATGATCTTAGTTCATTTTTTGGCAACTTATCTGTGAAAACTCGATTTGTGCGCAAATAGTACAAGTGTGAGTTTAGAATGACCTTTGACTCAAGTGTTGTTGCAATAACAGGACTATCTTTAATGCCAAAATAAAAAGGTGTTCTTAGGGCCCTAAGGTATTGAAGAGAATCAGGATGAACAGAAATTTCTATGCACATCCTCACATTTTTGGAGAGTGCGTTTTCACAAATATATGATCATTAGCACACATATGTAAACTAACATTGTGATATTCTCACGTGGAGAATACTGAGGGGCCATTATAACGTTGATACAGGATGGTTTCTAGTCCCAAACAACCAGTCTAGGGCTAACACAGTCTTATGTGCAATGGTACATGGAGGTCAAAACATATTGGCTGTAGTGCAAGCAAATTACCACTGAATTATGACAACGTTATTTACAAATGACTTTTCTAGTAACAAGCAACTGACAAAAGCAATTTATAATGTGTTAGTGTTCTATCAATTCCGTTAACCAACTGCAGACAAAATTTTAAAGACAAAGAAATCAAAATATTTACATTAATCAGTAAAAAAAAAAAATACAATATGAATTAATTATATGCCCTCACTCCATTCAACACTGCTTTATATATTGTCAGTCATACTGGTGGTCAATCACCCATGCATTTGCGAAACTTTGTCATTATGTCTCACTCGCAAAATAACCCTTAATTCCAAAAACAAGGCAGCCATATGTTGATTAAATTGACATTTGTATCTTTACAAGATGAACATTCATATATTTTATCCCAATCAAACACAAATGCAAACAAGCACATGTAAAAGCAGCATTAAGTTAGAAAAGCACTGGCCTTAGAATGACGGAGAAGGACTTTGACTGCTATACATTTATCGATCAGCAGAGAAAGCTGCCGAATTACAGACTTCGCTGTCAAAGGTAGTTGTGAGTTTTAGCAATGATGCAGAGTAAAATTCTCAATCCAACAAATGCAACAAAAATTAGTATTGAATGTCAACAACAACAAATAGACTATATTATTATTGGATTTTGATTAAAAGTCGATAAGAGCCAAGTGATAGGCATATCAAAGGATAATAATTGAATATGTAGTCCCAGATATCCTTTACTGGTGATCCAAAAAAGCCACATAATATTTGATTTGTCAACTTTTACAGAGGAGTAATTTACACACAATTACCAAAAGATCATTGCATGCACGGGAAGGCAAAACGCTGAATGCATGAGTAACTGCCCCCACCCCATGTCCCATTTGGCTATTTTATTGCTATGTACTGGATGGGAAAATACAATAAAGAATTTCCTTCAGAAAATTTTCTCTCAAAATGCAGTTTCATCACCAGAACTCAAGTAACCTTTATAAATACTGTGTATGAGCCATTATTTTCATGAGGCTATTATTTCACATATTTCAAAAAGTGTTGCAAGGTCAAAAATTTAACAATTGACCCACAAAAATGATCTGGCAACACATATGTGATAATGTAGTTTGTACGTAGCCTGTGCTGATTATCCCCAAAGATATCTATTTGCAAATACAATGGCTTATACAGTATGTGAAGTGAAGGAAGAGGATTACGTCTTCTTCATCTCCAGGAAGAGTAGACTGCTAGAGGACCCGACTGCAAACCTTGGAATGTTTCCTTCGCGGTTGTTATCCATGCAGTACACACCGCGAGACAGATCCACTATCCTACCAGTAGTCTACAAGAGAATAAAAACAAAATCAAACTGAAAGAAAATACACAGGGAACAGAAATCTACCTTCAGATCCATACGTGGAGTTTTATGTTATCTCCTGATTTAATTCTTCATACTCCTTTATCAGTTAATCCATACAATGCAAGGTAATTTTTGAGGTTGATTTTATAAATTCTAACTGTAAACCAATTTATTTTGTTGAGTTCATTAGTACCCTTATCTACTGTCTTTACACATGATATATTTACAGATTTACCAAAAGCCCTTACAAGTATCACAATAATTTTACTATTATCTGCTAATAGAGTATATATACTTTAATATAAGGTTAATGCCCTTCTGGCTTTAAAATGGACAATAAACAATATGGACTTGTTTGGCAAGAACGGTGCTGAAGGATGGAAATAGCTTAATAACACAAAAATATTTCTGATGAGTCACTTAGAAATAACTACTTGCAACATGATTTACTTGTGCTGTGATGGGAGTATTTGACTATCGATTTCACATAGATCCTAGGTCAAACTTAACTCTTATTTGGACTTAACATTATGGAGAGCCGTTTGTAGCCTTAAAATGAAATATATTCAAAAGCAAAAATTCAAATATTTTAAACTTTTCATAAATTTCACATCAAGAACATGAAATCTTCTTGATAAAAGAAACTATGAATGATTTGAATCAACATGTTATGCCTTTTCAAATAACCTTTACAAATAACCTTTACAAAATATTTTCAAAGGCGCTACAACTTTCCATAATTGTTAAGTCCAACTTAGAGAAAAGTTAAAATTATTATCTTTGTGAAGCACCCCCCAAGTATGCCATCGTGACAATAGGTGACTAATAAGGATTGACTTACCTGCAATGTCCCCCTGTCGATCACTCTCACCATGTTAGCGTCACACCCTCCTGCTACGATGTGATCCTTGCCAAGCCATTGGGCACAGTAAAGCTAAAGAAACATAGGACAGATAGACTTTTTACATCCATGTACTTTCTAAAATTATGTTTCAATACATATAAATAAGCATAAATACTCTACTTTCATTTTTCAATCTGAACTTCAACACCATACTGCTGTATGATTAGTTTATTGTCATCCTGTCGGTGAAACAGGTTCCTTTCAGCTAGTCATATGCATATTATCGATGTTAGAGAACATTTTTCTTCCGAGTTGTTAATCACTTTGTCAACACTTAAAAAACACTTTGTCAAACACTTAAAAATACATTTGGTATTCAAGAAATATGTAAAATGAGACGGTGTAGGAATACTTTTGCTTACTTTTTTTTCTCGAAGCATTCCCTTTTTTAAGAGAGAGAGAGATCCATGCATACTTAGAATATCGTATGCACTTTTTATTTGATTTTTTCTAACTGATACAAATTATGTTTTTTTAAATAGTTGTGCATGGACGTGAATAAATGGAACAAAGGGTGTAGTTACAATATCTTTGCAACATCATCTAAACCACACAAAGCTCTGACTTACCAATGAATTACTGATGTCTTTGGGAACAGTCTTGATGAGTGAGCCTGTTGGATAATCCCAAATCTGAAATTTAAAAAAAATTAAAATTAAAAATCAAAAATATACATAACAAAGGAAACAAGAATGAAAAAAAAAAATTGTTGCTTGTTTCAAGTAAAATGTAAAAATAGCTGTTTCTTATATGAAGTGCTTTACTAGTTATAACTGAACAAAATGCTTACAGCATTATTATTACCCCTGTCATTAGATTCAATCACTATTCTGCACTCTGCACTATACAGTGCACATTCTCCACTTCCTGGGGAGCCATTCCATCTAGCTACATTTTTTACTAATCTAATCACATTGACCAATCCTACTAATAGCTGATGAGAGCCAAGAACAGCCAAAAAAGGACACAAAGAAGACAATGAGAAATTAATCAATCTACTCTTTTTAGTTGGCTTTTCATGGCTATAGTTAGTAGGACCAGACCGAATGTCAGGAACATGTGTCACCTACCGGACCAAATCAAATGTCAGAAAGATGTGTGACCTACCTGTAGACTGTTTGTCTTCCTCCACGACCCTGTAAGGATGTGATCATGCTGGAGGTCAATGTCAATGGCATCACCGCATATGTGAGGTCCATACGATTTCCTGCATGGATACAAATACATCAAAGGTCAAACAGTTAAACTTGTTTTCAAAGACCACTCCTCAAAGGAGAGGAATAGTGGTCTTTGGAGGTAGGTGAGGTGGTCTTTATGTACAGGTTCCCTTATGCATGTGTCTGACACGGCCAGTTGTAGCAACTACTCCGAAGATCAAGATACATTAATCTTGATCTAAGGAGACATGAACAAACGAATGAGGAACACTGTGTAGGGGAAACCAAAAATGGTCTTTATAGACAGGGGTCTAATTTCTTTAGGTAGTTTCTGGAGCAGGTTCAACCATTCCACAATAGAGTAACAGATTGCCAAAAGAGAGAAACCAAGGTACATCAATTGCAGAATGGCTCAGTGGATAACACAGTTGTCTCAGAGTCAAAGGGTCTCGGATAAGATTTTAAGCCAAGTCACTGCCCATACGCCCATGCAGAGAGGGGGAGGGGTGCTCGATCCTTAGCAGGACTCTTACTATATATATACCTGCCTTGGTCCAAATTGAATGAAATGTAGGATTGCAGCCTCACAGGAGACAAAAATATTTCGCAGGTTAAGAGTATCGTCAACATCATCACATTATCACCCTTGTCAGGAAAAGTTCCCCCATGCTTAGCGTGAGCACCAAATGAGGATGGCATGGGACATCCCCCCCCCCCCATCAATTCAGACTTTTTATTGACATTTCTATAACAATTACCATTCATATATAAACATCCTTTATTAGCCCTGATTTCATCCAGTCATCATTGGTTTGTTTGTACAATAATTACCTGATGGCATGTTCTTTTCTGGTCTCCCAGAACTGAAGAGTGTCGTCCCAGCCTCCTGTCACAAACTCGTTGGCATTCCTAGGATGAAACTTAATAGAGAACACTCGGCTCCTATGCCCATCCATCACATTCATTGACGGGCTAAAAAGAATTGGAAGAAAGGAAGATAGATTACTGTACAACCTGAAAATTTCCAGTGCATGCAATGCTAATAAATTTTGTGAACGGTTCATATTTTCAAAACTTTCATGCTGCAAGAATAATTGCATCACGATTTGTAAAACATAAAATTTTTGCATTTCGCAAAAGTCTCTTACAATTAACATGGCTGTCTTTAACAATTTTCACATCACAAAAGTAGTGGGATACTGTACAATGATGTACATTGCACAAATTTTGTTGTAAGGTTGGGGGTTTTTTTCAGTCATTTTCTCCAAATTAATTTGTAATAGTTACATTATCACAGTTCTGTGAAATAATTGACCAACTGGGAGCAACATCTTTTGATGTAACCATCTGTCTCAACTAGCCATGATCTTACCAGGGCATGTGAGTTAAATGGATTCCGCATCTAAGAGGGCCCTTTGAAGCAGTCCGTTGCACCGAGAGTCTTTTTTTCCCCTATCATAATCCCCTTAATCCCCCACCCGGACCGCACAGCTCGTAAATCTCACTCCCGAAACTGAGTGACATAGGGCTCGCGAAATGCATTGTTGGAAATACACATCGGCTGCTATCGACAAAAATGGCGGCGTACAGTAGGGAAGAGTATTTGGTAGGCGACGATTTAGACTTTCTGACTGATTTTGAGGAAGATTTGATTCTTGTATGGAAAGTTGGAGACCAATACAAGTTATGCACGTGTGAAATTCCATTAACGGAAAATCTTCTTCGTTGCAGCGAACCAGAATGTACGATCGTGAATGCGTAGGCCGCTTCATGTAAATAGGCAGCATTTGAATACATGGATAGTCAATACACTCACAACATACAGTACAAATGCACATAATCATCCCGATGCGGTTGATCGGCAAGTTTGACAGTAGACTCACAATTTTAATTTTTAAATTATTCTTTCTAACATCAGAAAGTTGAACAAATTGTATTTTAATGCTCTTTAGGTGTCATCAATCGTCACTATAGTACTGCCTTTGAATGAAATCAGTTGAGTTTTGTACAGTGGTGTTTGAAATGTTGAGAATCAATAGCACAACTTTGAATACACGACCAGGGTAGTAATGCAGCTATGTGTGTTTCCACCAACAACATCCAGCATGTACAGCCCAGCGAGCACGGCGGCTTTCGCGTCGCCGGCCCGTACTCGGGGTGAAAAGTGGTGATGAATTGACAACTTCTAACCCTCATTAAACCAAATGCGCAAATATACAACACAGTTTCATTTAGTTATTTTAAGAGATAAACTTATGGACTACCTTCCTAGCTATGTAAAAATTTCGGAAACTTTCGGAAAATGTCAATAATTAGAAGAGAACGTGATGATGATGAGAAACTTGCATTCACTCTAACTCACGATTTCCTTGGTCGATTTCGCTGGTTCAGATGGCTACGTCTTCAGAAGAGTTATCCGAGCACAGCGAAAGCATTTGATAACCAATAGAAGGTTGGCTTGTGCCATAAGTTGTCGATTTTGTATTTTTGTCTGTTATAGCTATATACATCTTCAATGAGTATGACGTCATTTTCTCGGTGACTCGCATGGCTTCAAAGCCTTTTTTTTACGACCAAGTGTTTGGAGAGCTTAGGGAAGCAGGCCGCGTTGCGTAACACTTCGTAACATTTGGATCGCCAGAGGGCATCTGTGGTCTGATAAGGGCGGCTGTTGATGGATTTGATGGCTGAAGAGGGTTAAATTACTTGTTGTTAAGCAAAGTTAATCTTGAATATCTTTCCCTTGGGAAATTCTTTCGAGACGGAATCTCCATTTAAAGTCTCACCTCCCTGATCTTACGTTGTTAATCGGATATTATTTGACCTCTATCAATTCTGACCTACTTACCTTGGGTTTTTGGGGATATTATTTGACCTCTATCAATCCTGACCTACTTACCTTGGGGTTTTTTTGATATTATTTGACCTCTATCAATTCTGACCTACTTACCTTGGGGTTTTGGGGATATTATTTGACCTCTATCAATCCTGACCTACTTACCTTGGATTTTCTTGGATATTATTTGACCTCTATCAATTCTGACCTACTTACCTTGGGGTTTTGGGGATATTATTTGACCTCTATCAATCCTGACCTACTTACCTTGGATTTTCTTGGATATTATTTGACCTCTATCAATTCTGACCTACTTACCTTGGTTGACAGGTCTGTATGATCTGTGTAGTGGAGGCATCGTAGACATAGATCTTGTCATCTGATCCAGAGGTCACAAACAGTGACGTCTTGGTGTCAAATGCCGCGGCCAGGGTCGCTTGTCTGGGTTCATGGATAGTGTGTAGGCACTGACCGCTGGCCGTATGCCACAGCTTGACCAGTCCATTTGCATCTAGAATTCCAATGATTGTTGAATATCAAAACAGGTTAGACAAAGGCAGAAATATGCTGTAAGGATACTTGTTACTGGAAAGTCACTGACTGACAAAATAAGAGTTATGTACAATGCAATGCTATATGTCCAAGGAATGTAATTTTCACAATAAACTGGACATCACAAACAAAAATACTTCAATGAGTATAAAAGTACATACTTCATCTAATATTCAAATCTTAAAATAATAATCAGTGAGATATTATACCTACTATGATTAAAACCAGCAGCTTGACAGTTTTCTTAATTCTACATCAATTTCATGAATATTAAGGTTGATATAATGTAACAACAATTGCACCAAGAGGAAAAAGTTTTTTTTTAAACATATGATTTTAACTTGTCTCACAACATTTTACTTATGACATGCTTTGAAAAGTTGGTGGCTCTAAAGCTTACAAAGTTTAATATGTTATTTTCACAATGATCTTGAATGTTCCTGAACTATGGATTATATTTTTTATGTCCTACTTTACCATCTCATTTGTGTACTATGTTCTGTTTTTCTTCTTCTCTTTCTTTTTCACTACACCATAACCAGAAACCTCTCTGTATTGTCTGTTTGGAACCATAAGGACATTAACTAACACCATTTTACACAGAATTGATACCCTTCTGGCTCCAAACAGATGATAAGATGTATCAATGTCACTCTCCTTTGTTCAATAGATGATATGGGACACTGTGTAAATAGCATGATGATACCGTGTGGCTTCCTCTCTAACACCAGTGAAAATAAATGGTAGCGATATCAATGTCAAAGTCTGTTTGTTTTCAACCGGATCGCTTTCCATGACCTGGTTTTCACCTTTCACTGGATGAAGACCGACACAGTTTCAGGGTTAGACTCTCCAGTATGAGTAACAACAACTAAAATTAAGTTTTTCAAAACTATATTTTCTTTTCTTAATTCCTTTCATTTCAGTAGCTAAGCAGCAAGGCACATGCTTTCTAAGTGGAAGGAAATATCATTTTCCCTACTAAGTTGAACTCATTGGCATACCAGTTACAAGAAATAATCAACAATAACTGGCTGCTGTATTATAAATCAGTCTGTTTTGCTTCATTTTTGTAAATCCTTTAAAATTATTCCCCAATATTTCAAGTAAAACGACTTTTAGAAGTTGGCTTTCATACATTTTTGAATAATCGTTATGGCCCTTTCCATTACTGAACATACCTGTACGTGCAGCATTTAATCATGAAATACAACATTCAATACAACATAGTTATTCCTGACTTACATGTTGCAAGCAGCACATTATGAGATTTATCTGCATCAAGGTGGTGTCTGAAGTTTATACTTGTGCAAGGTAGATGGGCTTCCTTAGTCTCACTGTCGGCAAGGTTGTACAATGGAGCTCCGGACTCTGATGAAAAGATCTAACAAGAAAGGGAGAAGAAAGGTAAAGACATGGCAAGCCAAAGGTCAAAACAGAAAGCCAACAAACTATCTCTTTCTCTTCTGGCCCTTTCAAATTTTGAACAAAAACCCTGAAAATAAATAATGCTTCAAATATTACCATGCAGCTTATGTGATGTATTATTTATTTGATAACTCAAAGTTAACACGGTACACATTTCTACCATTGCAGTAATCTATATCGAATGTATCTAGAATGTCAATATCTCATACCCAAACAAAACAAAAGCAAATACTTGCACTCCACTAAAAATAGGGGGCAGATTTCTTGTTATACATGCTGTCGGTGTACAAAACAACGATCTACTTATAGTAAAGTTGTAACTTTACCAACAAACAGTGAAAAAAAGGTTCCGGAAGAATTAAAAGTAATATTCACCTTTATTGAGCCATCTTTTAAACCTGCAGCAATCATGGAGCCATCTTCACTGTATTTACAGCACATCACCTCATGTTGAACGTGTCTAAGATTTAAACAAAGAAAGCAAGATCTTGTAAAACACTTACTTTTTAAGAAATTATATGCTTAAAAACTGAGAGGTTAGTTAAACTCACATGCATACTACTGTCTTACATATAGAGCACATGTTCTATCTCATGATTAATACACAGTACACACAATTTAATAGATATCAAAATGTCATCTGGCATTCTTGGATATGAAATAAAAGAAAAGTGGAAGCACACTATATTATAACATATAGGCCTTATTACCATTTACTAGTATTTCTTCCTGAATTATGTCAGCTAACCACACGTTTGGGTTTTTAATGACTACAATAAACCTCAAATATAGGGCAAAATATGTTAGATATATTTGTCCTTAGAACTATATGCTAAGAAAGATAACAACAGTCCTTTTCAGGACTACACACCCCCAGGAAAGATTACCGAGTCAGAGTCCTTTTCAGAACTCCTCAACGCTCTCTCTCTCTCTCTCTCTCTCTCTCTCTCACATGGTGCACCCGCAAACCTACTGTATAGTTTAATATTAATCACAAACTATCAAACTATCATAAAGAATAAGAATCAACGAAGTATAAATTGATGTTTCTTAAAACTATATGCCTTCAAACAACACTTAACAACACATTTTTAAACGTTACCACCTCATGAAAACACTCTCTATTTCTTTGTAATGCTCATGCCTAACACAGAAAACAATTTTCATTCTTCATAAGTTTTGAGGGTGGCCAAGATTAAAAATTATCCATAGAATGGATCAAAATAAAGCAATTGCTTTGAAAACAGTTGGTGCAAGTGAATCTGGTGTCTGGCAAGTACTTCATAATGTAATTGCTTGATGAGGCAAATGAAAAATAGATAACTTAATAAATAAATGAATAAATAGAATACTTACACATGATTGAGGATCTTGAGATTACCTTCTGAGACAGGCTCCTTCTCCACGAGTTGGTGATCTCCGTCATCAAGCATACTGGCAGCACTGTTCATACTGAGCATGCTACGGGGTGTGGACGTAGAGCTTCTTTCTGGGCTAGATGACCTCCTCGGCCTAGCCACGCCCGCTCCTGACAAACCAGCCACCGACAGCATGATGGCTGCTCCTGATTGGTTGACCTGTGTGATTGATGGATTGGAGGAAAAGTGGTGGGTGTGTTATCAGGGTTGTTGGGGTCATGCATGTTTGTGTGCATGTGTGGGAGTTACCAGGGTTTTGCATGGCTCTGTTTTTAGCGGGTCATAATGAAAATGAGTTCACTGATCATGGAGTACGTACATAAATATTACTTTCTCAGTAGCTAGAGAATCTGTATAACTATAATAGTTTTATCTGTTACTTTCTGTTCAAATCATTTCCATAAAAAATTGTTTCTTTAAACAAATCAATAAAATCCACTTAATCACCAAGAAAAATACTGTAAACACAAAAGTCAGATTTTTTTTTTAATAATCTTTGTTTAGGTCTATTTTGTGCAAGAAAATTAATGTAGACTAGATCTAGAGGAATTCATTAAAATGGTAAATAACCAAAAGCGAAGGTGCCTGACTGGTAACAAAAGACAAGTCAAGAGTAGATCTACAGTAGACTTATCATAAAATTTTTAACCAGTTAACTTAGATCTAATCAAACATTTTTATAATATGGCCCCCTGATACTTCCGCCATAACACAAACGTTAAAAATAATCATTCTAATTCCAATGAAATTAAAAATGGATCTTTTGACTAAAGCCTATTATCATAAAGACAACTCATAACTCATAAGATGTAAATGATATTTTTATTGTCACGAAGAACAAGAAATGAAGTCTCATAGGTCTACTTCTACTCTAACTTAATACTCTTGAAGAATTAAGAAAAACAGATCTCTTAAATTAACTCAAATTCACAAAGAATTAAGATAGGACTCATTAAGATTATTGTGAACTCGGTGTATCTTATTATTAAGATCCAGCTAACTTAACACGAAGAAGGAATTTGGAACTGCGTTCATCAGGAGAATCCATGAATAAAAGGCATTATCAGAAGTATCGCATCGGTTATGCCGCATGCCGGAGCGGGGAAGCTTCGCGTGACTGGAGCCTCACTCACTGGAGGCCTGCCGCTTGCAAAAAACTGTGCCCGAGAGATGCTGTTCATCCACTTTGAACAAGACTTTATAAACATCAAGAAATTACATGAACCCAACCCCCGAATCTCCATGTCAGATTTTTGGCACACTCACATATGATTTAATTCAAAATATTTAAGAAGTGGAATGTACCTGACCTTTGTAAATAAAGTTTAGTTTAGTTCAGGATCACCAGTGCCACCAGCGTCGACCGTCGCGTAGAGATGATGAGCATATACCTCCCTTTGTCTACAGAGGGCGTGCTCAGATTATTTGCATTTTTCATGATGGCAAACAAATCAGAAAGAAAAAAATCTAACTCGAATGACACCCCCCCCCCCCCCCCCCCCTTCCCCCTTTCCTGCTCTTTCCCGTTGACAAGCTGGCCAGAGGGAAAAGAATGCCATTATTTATTATTATTGAAAAAGAAAGGCATAAACAAATTTTTGGAAATGGGAAATGATTTAATACCCCTTTGAAATTCCAGATATACAGGATCCACCGAAAATTTTCAACAACTTTCTCCCCCCCCCCCCCCCCGTATTCGGTCTAAATCTGATAGGGAAGAGGATGGTTTTCTATAGATTTACCTTAAACGCACACCACCTTTAATATTCTTGCAGCTTTTCAACTCACCCCTGAATCTTGTTCATCATTTATGAAAATAATTCCGACGGAGTTCTACTCCCTTATTCAAAAGTCTTGTGTTGCTTAATTTTACTCAGAAACAAACAAACGCACGTACACTACAAATGAATTAGACCTCAAGAACTTATAGAAGGTTGGTAAATCTCTAGGCCTATGGATGCAGCTGAAGAAAAAAAAACATTGCGACCTTCAAAAATTCCCCAAAAGCTGTTTTATTAGGTTAAAATTAAGATAATTTTTGTTTTAATCCTAACAGTGAGAGCGATTTTGCAAGTTGAGTGCCAGTGGTCTACCTGCATGCCCATCGGGCAGCTTGGCTGACCTAACTCTTCCAGATCAAGATCATCTAATCAAAATCATGAATTTGTATACTGGTGCAATTTGGGGAAAAATTACAATGTGTAAAAGTGCTTTTCAATTTGAAGCGATAGGAAAAGCTGAATAGAAAACTTACCTGGGTACTTTTCTGTCTCCCTTTCATGACTGAGGTTTGTTTCCAGACAGCTCTATATACCTCGAGGATATTTGTAGAAGTGTGCTAAATTAATTGAGGCTGTAAAATTGATTGATAAAAGTTGAGAGTACGTGTAGCATAACTTGAAGTCGTAAACACGACCACATCGATCGACATAAAATCAATTTAAGGGCAATTTCGATACCCTATTGTTTTGCTTTTAGACATCATGTTCGGATTATGTAATAAGCCTTTGTGCTAATTGCCTACTTTTCAAAAGGAGACCCACAAGACAAGGCTAGGCTATATACTTATGGCCTAAGGTTGAATTTTCGAAGTCTTTCAAGCGGTCGTGTTCTTTATTCACCTTATTCTGTTTCCCGCAAATTTACAGTCTTGTCAAATAAAGCAAATGCCTCAGGCTGAGTTTTTATTTAGAAGGCTTTTTGACGGTAGAGTGTTTATCAGTGTCTTGATGGAAATGGCGCATCACGTGGGCGGGGAGGAAGGTCTACCAGTGGCGGATCCAGCCCCCCCCCCCCCCTTGAGAAAAAAAATCATGTAAAAACACGTGACTTTTACCTAGCGCTCAAGGGGGGGGGTGCAAATTTTTAAATTTCCGAGGACCAAAAAAAAAAAAAAGTGCTCACTTTTTGGTAAGGGGTCATGAATTTGGTTTAAATGAACATATTGGAAGCAAATGTGATCCTATAATATTCAGTGATTGTTGTCGCGGTTGAAATCGAGTCTAAAGTGATGAAATTGTAAAGAATTAAGTCTTTATGTTGTACAGCTCCATCTCAAGGTCAAGATATAAAAACGATGTTTATTGACTAAAATCGACAAATTTGCTATTCCCGTTTGGAAATCACATATCGCAACTGCATATTCTGAGATTTTCATGGTCGCAGCAAAATACCATTGGATGGCCGTATTAGCTATTTGAATTGAAAGTTATCAAAAATTTACCGGGAGCACCGGTAAATTTTTATATTTAATTTTTCTCGAAAGCAGAAATTTTTTAGGGGCTAATTTTTCTAGTGTTTATAATACATCCTAAGGGGCATCCAAAATAATTATCAAAATTGTAAAGAATCGCTATCTGGCCATTTTCAATATTTCCCAAAACTTTGTATTACCTTTCAGGTATAGAAAATGTTCAAGAGATTGAATAAAGCATTTAGTGTGAATATCATTCTAATTCACCTCGGAGAAACCTATTATAGAAAATCCTTGAATCCAAAATATCTCATCGATAATTTAGTCTAAGACACCGGGCCGGAGATGTGAAACAGGTGAATTATTGATGACACTGTTTAGAATCTGAGGTCCACGTACTTGATATAGATTTACTCCCTTGCATCATTGATGAACTTACGTATCTATATAACAGCCTTAAAGGTATATGTGTGACGATTTTCGATCCAGTAAATTGTCTTCATATTGACTGTTTAAATGCGCTATAATAATTTATTCAGGCTTATAACCGTGACGCCTACTTCAAATGCAGGTTCGGAGATCCACGGGGCGTGGACATATAAGTGTCATTAATATGTAAAATAACAATTTTCATGCTAACAAAAAAAGCCTAGATGAAAGATGAGGAGACCCTGGTAAAAGAGTTTTTTTACAATGTATATATCAAATTCGTGTAATTCATGTGCAATTCAGTTGTGAAACTGTCATTCATGAAAGATGCAATAAAATACCATATATCTACCTATGATCTATCTAGTAATAGTTTTAGGGTCCCCACTGGACCAAATAATTGGTTGGTACGTACATATAAACATGATAAGTATATATTTGCGACTATCTATTAAGATAAAGGTGGTATAAGAAACAAGAAGTCAGTACACAAAATCAGGAGATTAGAATTAGACGGGAGAAAAGAGAGAAATATGAGATATAATGATACTACAACACAACAGCTATGGGTACAGCACACAACGGGCACAAGATAGACAACACGGCGGGGAGGGAATAAAAAGATGACAATCTGAAAATATTCATTCAGACACATAATATCAAAAAGAAGAAATGTTACATCTATAGTAAATTAGTAATAGACTCTACATGTATAATAGATAGACACCAAAATAACTTTAAAAAATGAACTACTCTATCGAGTGTACAATGCAGAGACACTACCAGTTTGTTAATTGTTTAATAACGCTAGAGCCAAGAAAGTTCCAGAACCTAGCTCCAGTACAAACCAAAGTAAAAGTAGCTTTGTCATTACTTGGAATAATAATAATAATAATAATAATATAATAATGAACGTAATGTTAATATAAACCATATTTCTCATCAGATTCAGATCATTTTGTATACAACAACAAAAAATAAATCAATCAATCAACCAAAACTTTGAAGAAAAACAAAAGTTAATACCTTTTGTTGTACTGGGGGGGGGGGGGGGGGGGGGGGGTAGACTAGACTCGAGGAGTTGATCTAAAAATAACATACTATAGATGACGTCATGCATATGTTGCTGAAGTTAGCAAGCATATTACCAATTACAATAATATTCAATAGTGATTGCATTACATTTATAACATAACAATTAATTTATTGATATCTTATTCAATTTTTGATAAATTTTAAATTCATATAAAATTAATTAAGATATCTATATTACAATTTATGTTCTCAAAGATCAATTTTAGTTACATTTCTATACAAACTTTCTACAGCATGATCTCAATGAACTTTGATTGATCTCTAATTTCAGTATTTCATGAAGGGCGATCGTCAAAATAATAAGACTATGCGAAGGAAAGGAGAGTAATTCGTGAAATAAAAGCAATGTTCAAGGCGAATTTTCCTGATGTTTCCGATTAGATTTCTTCGGAAACGTTGGGTACTGGCTGTGATATTCCTTCTGTCAGTAACATATTATTTATATGAGACGTCGCGTCAGGTAAGAAAGTTGTCATTTATTGTCGAGTTGCTCCTGTGCTGTGCTACTGTGACTGTTTTGTTGTGCGTGTTGCTGTAGTGCTAGTGCAAGTTGCTAGTGCCCGATTGCCCGGCCCGGCAGATTGACAATGCTTTGGCTGAGCTGTGCTTTTGTGAATGGACATGCATGGACACTGTGACACAGTGTGGGGTTCGTTCCTATGACTCTGGGGAGCATTTCACTAGACCGTCATCATTTACAAGTTTGCTGACAAACTATTGAAAAGCATGTATTATTAAATTTGGCATGCATTGCAATCGATCGTCCGCATAAATCCTAAGGAAGACGGACAACCCATAAAAGTAGACAGTGAACTGGGGGTATTTTATTACGTGGAATGCGTTTTTCGCATTGCCAGCGCGCGGATCAGGAAACCCTACACCGTCAGCAGTAGGGGCGCTGGTCCGAGAATAAGGATCGTCTTCGTAAACACGGACCGATGCGTCCTCAAAAATAAGGACCGTCTGCATTTTTGCAGACATTTCATATTTTTGATCGGTGCATTGGCGATGCAAAAAACGGATTCTGCAATGATTTTCTTGATGCATTTTACATTGACATTGTACAGAGACTTTCACATTATAAGCAATAAATCCTTGGGAAGACGGACAACCCATAAAAGTAGACGGTGAACTAGGGTTATTTTCCCCCGGGGAATCCATTTTTGGCATCGCCAGCAGGCCGTTCTGTAACATGAAACCCCCAGAGCGCCGATGAAAAAAAACGTCCTCAAAAATGCAGACAACCCTTATTTTTGAGGACGCATTTTGTCCTCGTGAGGATATCCTTGTTTATGAGGACGATCCTCATTCTTGGACCAGCGCCCCTACTGGTCAGAGTGCACAAAAAAAAACGCCGCGATAACGCGGACGATCCTTGTTCAGGCCTTAAATTTCGTCATTTTTAGGGCAAGGCCAGTTTGGCCTCGAGTACCTCATATTTTTAAGGGCACCAAGGCCAAAATATTTTTACAAAAAGGGCATCGAGGCCAAATATTTTACAAAAAGGGCATCGAGTATGAGGCCAAAAAAATTGATTCTACTTTTGTTAGATGTCATGTGTATTTTATGAAACTTGTGTGGGATCAATTTCCCATGACTAGTTTTAGCACCAGCTTCTTCACAGAATGTATAGAGGTCTACGGTACATACAAACAAGGCGGCGGCCCGCAAGCCTTAGATTTAGCAGCCAGGAGCAAGGGGCAATTTTTTTTTTAAGTCGCCCTTTGCCACAGGAATTTACCAGAGCAAGGGGCAATTTTCCAAAAACAGATAGGCCCCTTATCTAATCATAAGTTCAAAGAGAGTTGTTAATTTCATAATGTGAATAGATCGAACGATCAATTTAATAACTTTTTAATCTTAACAATATGAACAGGAAAGATTGATTAAGAACATTAAACTTGCACATTAAACAGTAGTCTAAAGTAACTAAAAATATTGATGAGCAAATGAATAAATAAATTGTCAATTTCACAAACATCGAAAGTCAGAAGGACTTGGCAAGTTTACCGGGCCGGGTATCCCAAATCAAAATCGCACCTCACACACAAACCTTCCGCCACTCTCTCGGTAGTAGGAGCAAATTTGAAGAAATTATCTTTTTAACTGTTGTATAGAAAGGTCTAGATAGGCCTAACTAATGAAATAAGATGTAAAAATGTCCTTATAGACATTCGACAGCTGAAAGTGACACGCTCAGCTCAGTTGCGTAACGTGCATTCACGAAACCAAAATCGTTCCTCGCACACACACTCTCGCCACTTTTGGTGGGAAGCTGTCGGGCTGGAAGTTTGCCAGCGAAACCGATGCACCCTCGGATACTCGCAGCGCGTAATTTTACCCGGACTCGAAACGTTCGTCTTGGGAGGCTGGCGGGGTAGCTTTTTGAAGCGAGGTCGGCTGGTGGCAAAATGAGAGTAATTACGATCGAGAACATCGTAGGTGTTCTTAACTTATTAATAAGATAATTCTAAATTCTATTTGAGATAAAATAATAAACTAGACCTACAAACAAACCTCGACAGATCTCTAATGACTATTTGAATGCTTGTTTATTTCTCCATTTGACGATTTGTTTTCTTGATCCTGCCTGGCCTTTGATTTGTACGTACGTACGTGCGTGCGTCAACAACATGCACCATATGCATCTCATGCGATCGCATGAACGTACGTGCGCTAGCGCATTGCCTATATAATAACAAAGAGCGCATTTTCACGGCACTTATTAAAGCACTAAATACGAAGCTAGAAGAGAGCTCGTGGGCGGCAAACTGTTCGTGATTCGTGTATTTTTTCTGTTCTAATAATTTATGGGCGCATTTTCACGGAAAACACTTGCGCCTTGCCGTCTAGTTTTAAGCGCAATTGGTGGTTTTATGTGCGCAAATTTTAAAAAAAAGGGCACGTCCAGTTGGAAAAAAGGCACGTCGGCCAGTTTGAAAAAAAGGGCACGGCCTTTTTGGCCGTGAATTTATCTTTTTTTGGGAGGGCACCGCGGCCAGTCATAGGGGCATCGACGGCCTGGCCGTCGATGGCCGTCGATTAATTTAAGGCCTGCTTGTTCTATAGCACGCAAGTTCTCCGCGTTTACAAGGATATCCTTGTTTATGCAGACGATTTTCATTCTTGGACCAGCGACTGCAAGCTAAAGCGAACGGCGTATGAGCTAGACTTGCATGCAACGGTAGGTGAGCAACAGCGAAACAATACACGCAATCATGCAAACGATAACGAGCTAAAGCAAGGTAAATCATGCAGGGAACGCAGTTATAGGCAGTGACACGCCCTCCAAAAAAAAAGAGGTGTGGTTACCTGTGCTAAGCCACTCGCTATTGCTCGCATTCACTTGTTGCCACTCGTGTCCGCTCGTAGGCGGTTTGACCTTGCGTTTGCTTGCGATAGTTTAGAGAATGTTAATACTAGTGAGCAACCAACGCAGGCCTATGCGCTAGTCTGCCTTTTGAGTTCGTGGTCAGCATTTTTCATTGCACTTGTTGGGGTATGACTGCCTATTTCTGCGTTTTGGCAATACGCAGCGATACGCATATGCAAAGGTGTGACCGAGGCATTAGAAATGGTAGTGCCCTGGACATTTGTGATGTGTGCAGTGTGATTGATAAATGATGTGTAACTGTTTAAAGGAATAGAAAATTTTAGGAGGGTGACTGAAGAAATTTTTCTACCTCAGTCTGAAGTAGGTCTGAAGTAAAGACTCTCAGAAACTGCTTTGTCAAGTAAATCTAATGTTAAAGGGAAGAAAAATCATAAGAAAAGAGGCGTAAATATTCACTTCTGAATGACAAACGCCTATAAACTAAAATGACAACAACAACAGTCATGTTATTAACATGTAAGAAATTGCATGTCAATCTGTGCACTTTTGATAGTCAAAATGAATTCTTGGACATTTTTAGAGGAAGCTTCTAATACTCATTACTCTATTTCTTATTCTACTCATTAACCAGGTCCCAATCACCATCTCAGACCAGTTCCAAGATGTGGTACCCACACCACAGCAGATATCATTAAGGACCAGGACTAGCGCAAAACTCAAGTTTAATCTCACATCCTGCAGGAATTCACGCCAGGGAAAAACATTTGTGGTCGATGAAAAAGGTAATGTAAATGAAATGTTGAAGTAGGTTGTATTTTAAAGAACAATGCCATGCTGAATTTATCAGAATTAAAGCGGGACTGCGCTACTTATAGCTACATGGGCCCTCTATATAGCAAACAATGCCTAAGCGGTACCCGTAGGACCCTCATTAAACCCTTTTTCTCATGTTAATTGAGAGCTGAATTGATGAGGTAACCACCTGTTAGTGATCACACAGGGAGGTCTAATCCCTCCTAGCCAAACTAGTGCAGATAGGCTTTAAAACCTAGAAAACCTCTCCCCCCCCCCCCCCCAGAAAAGCAAAAATAGGGCGACTAACATTGATCCTAGTTACCGGTAGTGGTCCTCACCGTATATGAAATACTTGTTAAAAAGGTTACATAAATGCGGCAGTATGATAAGAATAATCTATTGATTGGAATGCACTAATAACAAAAGTAGTGTATATTAATTGTAAGTGACAGTATATATATTTTTCACAAAGTTTAAATCTTCTGTACTATTTGTTTTCTTCCCCCTAGCATATGTATGCTCATGGAAAGATCTGCTAGCTAACGGTTGCTGTAACCCAGAGGCTAAATCCAGCTCACTTCACAATTGTAATGGGTGCTCAAAGAATGGATGCTGTGTTATGTACGAGCGTTGCGTATCATGCTGCATGCATCCAGAAAAGGTAATTTCCTTTCACAGATCCCATTCTAATGTTGGAATTTACATGTAATCTTATTGTTTGGTTAATGACAGAAAAAAGGTTTTCACTGGATCTAAGTCAACTTGCACTGAAGATCTAGTAAGTACTAGAAAACAGTGATAGAGTTGCCAAATGATTTTTGTTGGTAACATATGATAGCTCAGTAATGGATACTGAAAGTTGAGGATAATTTTTCTTATCTCACCTGCACGATATGTGGTCACAAATGACATTATAAAGTAGATGTAATTTCCAGCAAGGTAGTTTGTACTATATTTAACAACTCACTCTTTCTCTCTCTCTCTCTCTCTCTCTATCTATCTATCTCTCCCTCTCCGTGTCTCTCTGTCACTCCCTCTCTGGCCCTTTCTCTATCTTTCTCTAAACAGGAACGCGTTTTACAGGACATGTTGGGAAAGGCCAGTCACACATTCCGGTTATTATTTCAGTCAGTAGCTGATCATTTTGAGCTCTGTCTAACTAAATGTCGCACCTCATCCCAGGTAAGTCAAGTCTTTACGTAGCTCTTAATATTTTCACTTAATGTCAAAATGTGTTCTGCATGTACTGAGGGTTTAGCAAAAAGCATGTCAATACAACTTCCACTATGAATATGACTGACAAAGAAAGCGGACAAAATATACAGTTCCTCAGGTAGACAAAGGAACATCCCTTCACTGCTATTATGTACAAATGTGTAGAACAGGTGTCACATGCATATTCACCTTTTTACATAATAGCAGTGAAGGGATGTTCCTTTGTCTACCTGAGGAACTGTATATTTTGTCCGCTTTCTTTGTCTGTCATATTCATAGTGTTCCTCCAAGACCAACCCTCCCTTTGTTCCTTTGTCTTCCATTACCCTCAGGAAGCAGGTAGTATTTATACAGGAGGTAATTGTTTTAAGAAGGTAGTTATACCCCAGGTAGTTATCCTAAGGAGTATTTTTCCCAGTGATGGATGTATTGTTGGGTAGTTTTTTAAGGAGGGAAGCATTTTAGGGGGGGGGGGGGGTTGTCTTCATGTTTAGATGTCCTAGTAACGTGAAAGAGTTGCATATGTCCAAGCCATCTGTGATTGTTTTGCAGATCTATCGGGTGAACATTGAGAAATCCATGATTCTTATATCATACATTCTCTGTTCATATTTCACTCTTTCTCTATTTATTCTTTCTAATGTTTAAAACTACAAATACAGTCTGCAATATTGCTTTGAGCTTTGTTTCAACAAATTATGATTTACAGGGATGCCAGTTTTGAGGCAATAGCCTGAATCCAGGCCCTGGAGAGTTATTTTCAGACCATCGCTTAGGCTTTTTTGTGTACAAAGTAGCTCATTCTAGGTGATTTTCAGACCCTCTGATCAATTCTAACCGGCATCCCTGGATTTAACTGTGATTGGGTTATAAGGTCAGGGTTAGAGATAGCATTGGATCCAGGGTTGAAGTTAGGAAAAGGACTTAAAACAATTTCACACAGGAGAATTGGTTGTACAACCCTCTTGTGATCTCCAGCCCTAGGACTCGCCCACTAAACCACAACATCTCTACACCTCTTTATCTTTCAGAGTGTTCAGCATGAGAACACCTACAGAGACCCTGATGCCAAGCACTGCTATGGAGAAATTCAACCAGAACTCAAGCTCAACTCATAACCTCCGTGTGACCTCATGACCTCAACTATAAGGTGACCAAGCCTTCAGGGATATTGTTCAATTTCAGAAGAATGGTTCACAAAAGTATTCAATGTTTATGGGTGTTCATTCCATGGTTGCAGATAAAGGGATTGTCAGCTTATTGTTTCACATTGATTGGGGGGGGGGGGGAATATGTTTTTTTTTTAAAGTTTAGATGGCCTCAGCATACACAAAAGTACTGAGTTAAAAATTTCTCCCTGATTAAATTTAAATGAAATTTTCAAAATGTAACTTGCGAGCAACAACTTTAAAATGGTTACTGATACATGTATGTTTTTTTTCTCACCATATCAACTATACATACACATGTACATGTCAATTTATACACAATTTAAGATAAATGAAAGTTAAAAAGATCCTCTCAAGAACCATGTTTTGGACACGCAACTCTTGTCATTGCATTATCTATTTGATAGCAATCAGTGCATAGACTTTGCATGCATTTGTGAACCATAGTCTACTCTCGGTTGTGTTTAAGAAGTTTATATTGCCAAATTTTTAAACTGAGTGTGCTTTTATATTACATTTTAGCTTCAATAGTTTGACTAACACATATAATTTTCTTAATGACTGTGTTTATTCCTTGTATTAAGATGTATGTATAAGGAGAAGTTTTGTCCAAATTCAATTGCTGTACAGAAAACATAATGACAGTATTGTTCTTGTTTAGTTTAGAAAGTCAAAAGTATTACGAATTGTTTTCATTGATAAAAAATGATAGACATCATGTTTACAAAAGCCTGGTGATAATTGTATCACTCACTCCTCTCTTGCACATACGCATGACGAAAACAAAAATATTTCGAACAAAAAAACGCAATATCCCAGGAAAATGGGCAGGATCCTTATTTATTGTACATGTCGATTTTATAGTGAACACCCCCCCCCCCCCCAATGTCACTCTGTACAGTTCATATGGATACACCTTGGCTTTTCACTGTCATCTTATTCAGCCATGTTTATCACTCACTCATTTATGTTTGGCAGATTTCATGCATGGTGTTTCTGCTTTCGTTTATTTTCCTGTTACTAACTGGATGTTTGCTGTTTGGGGGATATTAGTTATACTTTGGAGTCAATATTTAAACTTAATTGTACTGTTGCAGAATATTCCATTATGAAAATTTAGCGCGACCATTCCTAGTTCGGTATGTGTAAATAAGATCTACAGGTACATGTACATGTAGATCAGAAATGCTTTGCTTGAAGATTCATAAAACATGGACATTTGCATGTACTGTTCTTTCACTTGATCTGAATTAATTACACCACTCCACTTGAAGCAGTAAAATTTTGACTGTGCTTTTAGTCCGGCATCTTTACTTTGTATTTAGAAGTAACATGAGAGCAGGGCTCTGTTTAAATTGTCATCATTATCACAACTCGTACATTATAATGTGTGGTCTGTTCCTACTTTCTTTCTCTTTCTCAGTCCACAGCTTTGTCTGTAACATGTTCTTGCCAAAATAGTTATGTTGCGGCATCAGAATAAATTATTTTCCAAATAAAGTTGCATGAAAAGTTCTATAAATCACCAATTGTTCAGGGATTTTATTGGTTAAACAATAAGGGCAGACTTTTGTATGAGCTTTAAAAGGGGCTAAACTCTATTTTGTGGGGAAAACCATGTCAATATATAAATTTATATAGACAGAAAATATAGATTTTTAAGACATGTATTGTAGTCTTACATGTGACTCCCTTTTGTTTTTGGTGATTTTATAATTTAATTAATTCAAGACATATATATATAGATATTCTTTTACACCAAAGTTTTATAAATCTGATAGTATTTTTCAAGTTTTCCGCTACTTATTTCTTGTCGATGTTACATGTTATTGGCATCACAATCACATTCTGTTTAATTTTTCAAGGGAGTGTAGATTTATATTTTACAAGAACATGTACATCATAAAATTGAAGAGCTTTCATCATTGATACGATGGTTTTAGTTTCCACCACTGTAGATAGGAACACTGATTTCTTAAAATCTGTGAATTATTTATTGTTAATTATTAAGTATATGTGAAGATCTTGTAAATAGAGCAATGATGAGTCTCAAATAACTCCTATCATTGATGTACATACTGTAAATAGCCATTATTTAGCCAGAAAATATAAAATACAAAGCTGAATTTTGCACTTATTGAATCCGTTCATTTCTATTGATTGTTGAGACAGATTTTTCTATTGTAAGTACTCTTGTTAGGCTGTCATTTTCTTTACTCGTTCATGGACCAACTGCATGCACATGTTTGAAAGCCATATCATGCGGTAATGGAGAAATAAATCCCAAATTATGAAATCAAGATCTACTTAAATAGTCATGCTTAAAGATGAAGTTGAGTTCTGGTCATGCGATTGCATTGTGAAAGAAACGGTGTGGAACCGACCAGAAAAGGTTGATCATCTAGCATATAAGAATTTGTGTGTATTGCAAGGTTCTGGAATCATCAAAATGATAAGAAATGTGGCCAAGTCTTGGTAAAGTTACAAACACTTGCACAGAAAGATGTATATGGGACTACACGAACACGTGGTGTAAAAAGCCCCCCCCCCCCCCCCCCCCCCCCCCCCCGATTTTTACGATGTTACATGCATATTTAGAATATGAAGGCATTTGAAGAGCCAAGCTTTTCAGGGAACATGTCTTAACTGATGTTCTTCCACACTTGCATAATAAGAATGAGTAATGCTTACAAATTATTTTTCACCTCTTCCCAGAACTCAACCTTCTCTTTAAAAGAAGCTGTACTTGCTACTTTTGTGGAAACAAAATTGTTGGTGATTGCCCATGCCTGATTGGTCATGTTAAGTCACCATTTAAATAACTTTTCAAAAACAACATGAACAGATAAAATGAAACTGGGTTGAATTGCTCCAAATTAAAGAACTTAAAGAAGGATTGAAAACATAATCCAATCCTTTGCAGACAATTATTATTAATAGGTATTCAATTGCATTTACTTTAGCATTGATTTTCAATGTCTTTTTTTAGTGATGCTCCATGAAAATCACAACTTTGAATGTTTGTCTTTCTTTTACTTTCTGCTTTAATAATGATTTGAATGTAATTTACAGTGTTGGTGAAAATGTTTCAGTCAAAGAGATTCTTTGGTATAAACTTTGAGCATTACCCTCTTCTAATGATTACTTTGGAAAGCACAGAACTTTGGAAATCATGTTGAATTTTGATTTGCTAGTTTGCTTTATCATCATTTTGTTGTGATGATGTTTTATGAATAGGTTGACATGAATATTTTTCAAGATGAAATATTAATTTGAATCACCAAAATAAAAACTGCATTTTAATTGATATTTAAAAGCATATGACATGTGCTTATATACATGTTGTATCTAAAAGTGTTTTTGTCTTCTCAACTCTTTTTAAGGCCTTTTGAATAGGGCATCTTAAAGATGATATCTTGTCTGAAATAAGAAAGGAGTTACTGTCATAAATTGGAGATCATAAATAGAAATTTTCTCACGAAACTGACAACATTAACCAACACTGTGGATTACATTCATTTCTGAAACTGAAAATTATGCTGTTACTGTTCAGTCTTAGTTTCACAGGCTATTTTTCCACTAATCTACTCAACAATAAATTATTTGTGAAAACTATTCATTTGCATTTCAGTGTTTATTTTGTGTGTGTCTGTGCTTCCACAGGGGGGGGGGGGGGGGTAGAACGATAGGGGAAGGTTAATGTTGTAGAAGTCCAAGTGAACACCAGAAAATTTTGTTTACCCGTCCACATCTTTTATAGCTTCAGCATTCTTTGGTTCTTCTGTTTGTTATGACACCACTGTTATTTCTACAAATTCTGTTTGGTATTCTATGCTTTTATCTTTCTGTGCTTTGTCCCCCACACATTATTACTTATTCCAGTCAAAAAAGGTCTGATATCAAATGAGTCGAATTTAAGGTAATTAAGTGGTTAATACATGGGACCTCGTATCTAAGAAGACAGGAAAAGAAAAAAACTTGTTTTAATATTCGGTCTATTTTGGAAAAATAATGCATGGTGACTTTTTGTGTCTAACCAATATTCTTCAGGAATTAATGTAATACACTGACACAGTTGTTTGTGCATGGTAAGAATGTGTGATTTAGAAAATGCATAATGGTGACTTCATTCATTCATAACTCATTCCTTTCTCATTGATTAATATCATCGTTAACCATTGTTCATCCTTTTACTTTCAATAACATTGTTTCTAAATGCATGTCCTAAAAACTTGTGGGGTTGTGTGAATAAAAACCATTTGTATGCATTTTTGTAAGCAGTCACACTAAGGTATGGATAAGATCACTGCCAAGTGTGTAGAGAGAGAAAGAGAGTGGGGAGAGAGAGATAGAGAGGGGGGGGGGGTCAGAGAAGGAGAGAGAGTGTGTGTGTTTAAAAGTGATGAATTATGCATGTTTCTGACATTTGGTTTGTTTTCAGGTACATGTACCAAGTCATCCAGAGTCTTCCTGCTTGTGTAGCAAGTCATGCAGTACTTTTAATTTTCACCTTGACCATTTGATGCACGTATTACACCAGACTTTTTATGCTGGCTTGGAACTTTGAAATGGATCAATGGTGGGATGAAATATGTAGAGCATGAGAGAATACCCATCTACAAAGCAGAAGAAAAGCCCCTACATTGCATGGATATAATAGCAGGGCATTACTTTGCAAATGTACATTGTACCTGCATGTATACTTTTCAAAAATGTAATGTGCATGGATGTGAAATGTGAGAGCTGAAGCACTGAACTCTTTTTGAGGAACAAAAGACATTACTGCAATTTGATACCAAACAAAAGTGAACATTGCAGACTGTATTGAGGACAGGAACATTTCTTCAGCTTGAAATATAAAGTTTCAAAGTCTGAGAACAGAGTGCTCATTCATGAAGAGTTATATTTCCAAAGACACTTACTCTGCATGGATCCCAGTTAAGGCAAAGGAACATGAGAAAAACGTTTAGTTGAGCACTCGTATTGTACATGTACATCTTGACACACCAAAATTCAAAGCAGTGCTTACTAATTACAAAATCCCTTTCCTAAGAAATTGATTTTATTGATACTTGAATCGCAATGGCACTGAACGCCGACGACCTGATGAGCACTTACCGACCCTACGGCCACCACTGGCTAGACTCGGCCATTCAGGAAACCCTCTTACCAGGATCACCATGGCAACAGATCTATGACAAGTTGAGCCAGGTCCTCGCCAAGAGGATTCAACCGGAGTTGTCTGATCGGGACAAACGGGCAGCCATCTTTGATATGCTTGGGTCAGGATTCCTTCAGAAGTATCTCAGCAAGTTGACATGGGACAAACCAACGAAGGTATGTGTTTTATATGACTGGTAATGATAACAATACACTTATGTAAATAAGGTTATGTGGAACAATAGGTATTGGATATTAGTTTTGCAGGTCCTAGCTCACCAATTTTTGCTCTAAAAATTCTTGAGCCAATTTTCTTGTTGTGCTGGCATACTCGATACCATTTACCCATGAATTTCAAGAGACTGACTGTATAGTTATAATGACCATTAGCCTGTCTCTTAAAACTTTGGAATTGATTCGAAGTAATCGCAACATGAAATTAATCGAAACTTCTATCTACAGTTGTGATTAATTACAAGTTGCAATTGATTTGAATCAATCGCAACTCTTTACAATACAGAGCCCTAGTATGGTGCCTACATGTACATGTACCGGTACCTTTGAGTTTCTATAGATGTCTCCTATCTGTAAACATGGTTTAAAACTTATTTCATGTGCAAACATCTTTTTTCTGTTGTGTCATTTCATTTCACATAAGGATATGATTAGTTTTAAAGACTTTTTAAAGGAAAATATGCATCAATGATCTTCAAAGTAGAATACTCAACTGCATATGCGAGTGCTTTTCATTTGATTGATCTTCAGATTTGAGGAAACGGTATTAACTGACTTTTTTTGTTGTTATAGTGGTGAGTAGGTTTATTTTAAAACTTATTTGTGACGTGATTTTAGGATCTTGAAAGCTGCAGTCCCGAAGAAAGGAAAGTAATTCTGCAGACAAACCAGCTTCTCCTGAAAGAAAAACTAGACCAAGCAGCAACAGACTGTGGTTACCTGGTACCCAAGAACAAGTCTGGTGACAGTTCCTCTCTCAGCCTATCCTCACCACCTCAAGAACCAGTGCAGGTACCGGAAGAAGTGATCGACACCATTTCCCAAATGGATGCCATATTCAGAGCAGGAATGCACAGGTTAGAGTGGAAACAGATGTGTTTTTGTTTTCGTGATCTAGGAATTAGCCACAGAGACAGTTTGTGTGACTACTTTTAGTTTGCTTCTCTCCTATGGAAAGTTTAGACACCTTTCATAATTCGTAAAAGGGTGATGTTTTTTCTAATCTTTTTTCCAGAGCTGTTCGAGAACCTTCCAGGGCTCTCTTTGATCGAAATCGAAATCGTGCAATCATCTTGTTTTTTTCTTGTTTTTTTCTTAACAAGAGTTACATTTACAGTAGGCTTTTTTCTACAGGAAGAAATATTTGTATTGCCCGGTGACCATATTAATCACTTGCTTTTCATATGCCTTTAAAAAAAAAAATTCCTAGATAGAAGGTATGGTGACAGCAATGCTTTTCTTATAAGTTCTATCTATTTTCTGCTCCACACACATTTTATAACATTTTGTACTGATTTTATAAATGTTTTTAAAATGTTTTTTTTAAAATAAATCATAGATACCTTGTGCAAGAGGGGATGACAGTGCCTCCTAGTCCTAGGTCAGAGTCACCTCAACCAACCAAGCCCCAGCTGACCCATCTTCGTGAGGTCCAACCTAGTCCCAATCATAGAGTAACCTCTCCCCCATCCACTCCATCCGATAACCATGGCGACACCACCACACCCACCACCACCACTGTCCCGAACTGCTGGGGTCAGACGAGTGACCTTCTAGGAAGGTCGCTGTGTGCCATCCTCCGTCGTGACCCGGGTCGCCTGGACGAGGTGTGCAGGAGGCTGATGGGAAGGCAGCTACCAGGAAGCCTAAGACACAAGGTTTGGAACGAGATGATGCTGAGGAACTACAAGCAGGTGCATCAAGGAGAGAAGTAAGTTCACTGGTGCAATTTATGAGATACATAATGTTTGTCTACGTTCTCTTCAAATCATGAAGAATATTATATGCTACTTGGATTTATAACATAGTTACTGTTGTTAAAAATTCTCTGGATGTGAGGCTGATCAAAATAATGTGAAGGTCATCTGCTACTGTACATACATATGATTTTCAGCCTTGTATTTATTTATTTCATCCACATATTAAAAGTATCTCTCAATTTTATCATTGAGTATAAATGATAATACACAATAAAATACCAGATGATAAATAGTCAGTAATGGCCATATATATATATATATATATATATATATATATATATATATATATGGATATATATAGCCTAATTCAGCACAGTATTCTCGAACATTGGTCCTTGAAATAACCCATATCAGATTTTCATAAAGTCAAGAGGAATTTTGAAGACAATACAATCCATTTATAAAATATTGAACTGGTATAACTGAACTTTATTACATGTAAGTATAGAGAATTCTGTACAAGAGTAACTTATGTTATATCTCCTTACCAGCATATCATATTTTGAATGATTATGAGAACAGTAGGAAACAATAACATTTGATGTAAATCAGTGTGTAATAACATATGAGCATAAAAAGCTTTTTTTTATACTATGGGAGAAAATTGTTACATTTAAGATAACTATGACCTGTTTCTTCATTTTTGATCGAGGTATGGAAGAAAAACAAAAACGATTTTCAAAACAAATAGCACTGCTTAAGAAACAAAACAATATAAATAAACTGCCATTTTACCATTTCCATTGTTTTTTAATCATTAGAAGCTCTGAATGGTTTTTGAGACAAAACTTTGCTAAGACTGTAATGAGAGGCAAGGCGGAGCTTGGTATCACCATGACAACCAACTCACCCATCAACGGCCTGCTAGAGACAGCAATACAGGAGGTTTGTCATAAGTATGCCCTTTCCATTTGTTATGTTCTTTTCTTTTGCATTTTGTGCTTGTCTTTATTATGAATATTGTTGCATTTTGTAATTATGGTCAAGATATTTGGATGTACATGTAAACATTCTTGTTTTATGTTGAAGGGAGGCGTTTTGAAAGTGCAGTGGTTTTGATATATGGTGTGTTTTTACCAGTGCTCTTTTTAAGTTTGCCAGACCTTTTTTTAGAGGCTACCAGAGCTAAATTGCTCGCTGGCCTCATGTATCGTTTTCACTGCTTGTAAGTCTTTATTAAAGACAGTTATTTGCAATTAGGTGCTGATGAATTTTCTTGAAACTTATTTCATTGATTCCTCAGAAATATAGCAACACACCATGTCTGCTGAAGCATAGAGGTCAGACGCTCCCCAAGCATGCCCTGGAGGCTCTCAACATTCTGTATGTCTTTGATAGAAGCTACCAACCTTACTACATTCATTGGCTCTATCCACTGCATCTGGCTCTCATGGAGAAATCTCAAGGAGATACTCAAGGTTAGACGATATTGATGCTGATAATGATGATGGCATTGGTGATGATGATGACAGTGGTGATGATGGTGGTGGTGATGGTATTGTCAATGATAATGATGATGATGATGATGATGATGATGATGATGATAATGAAGATAAAAATGACGATGATGACGATGATGATGATGATGATGATGATGATGATGATGACGACGACGACGACGATGACAACGACGATGACCATGATGATGATGATGCTGCCTTGTATATCAGTATTAATATTGTTCTCCCTGAGGGCCCTGCAATCCTATTATTACCCTGGAGGATCAGGAAGTTGATATTAAGAGGAGGTGGAGGTGGATGATCATGATGATGATGTTGATTATTATCTTAATGATAACAAGATATCACACAAGATTCCTATCCTCTATGAATTCTACCCTGGCTTGGGCTTGGTAGTCGGTATAAAACACTGGAACCCTTCACCTCTGGAATCTACCTGCTATGCTTGACCTCAGGTCCTGATGACCTTCCCTATGAGCTAGCCCTTCAGCTGCACCTCCTACGTAGCTACACCTTTCCTCGCTGGTCCCATTCATCTCTTTAATCTATCCCCTATGCTTCCCCTTAGGTCCTGATGACCTTGCCTATGAGCTAGCCCTTCAGCTGCACCTCCTACGTGTGCACCTTTCCTCGCTGGTCCCATTCATCTCTTTAATCTATCCCCTATGCTTCCCCTTAGGTCCTGATGACCTTGCCTATGAGCTAGCCCTTCAGCTGCACCTCCTACGTAGCTACACCTTTCCTCGCTGGTCCCATTCATCTCTTTAATCTACCCCCTGTGCTTTCCCTCAGGTCCTGATGACCTTCCCTATGAGCTAGCCCTTCAGCTGCACCTGCTACGGAGCTACACCTTTCCTTGCTGGTCCGCGGTCCTAGCCGTGGCTCAAGACGTGATGCAGGTCATAGAGAGGGAAGATCCAGAGTTCTTCAACCATCTTATGAAATGCAGCAAGACCAATGTCAAGCTAGACCCCAAGGTACTCTTATACTGCTGATTTAATTTGAAAGTCCACATACTGTCCGCAAACTATTGAAATTAAAATGTTAATTACTTTTTGTATCTTTTAATCATTCACTTAATTGTTCCATCTAAATTGCACCAAGCTGATATATTCGGCAGCAGAATCTTGCTTACCAGTAATCAAAGTGATACATGCAAGTGCGACAAAGGAATATAATTCATGCAAATCATTCTTATGAGTTTTTTACATAACTAATATTTAATGTATCCTTCCTTATGTAACATTTTCAATAAATACGCTGACATATTTTGCATCAAATAAGACATTGATAGGCCATTAAAGGTGAACTCTGTATGCTTTCTTATGATGAGATTTATTTGTGGTAAGAATAATTACAGCTTTCCTTCTCATCCTACCATGTTTAAAATTCATATTTTCAAATGCAATTTAATGTTTTTTCTACATACATGTAAAAAGAAGCTATAATCATTAAATCATTGTTCCCTGTACATTTCTCCTTTGCCTTTTCCCAGGATTTCCTTGTGCACCAGATACATGAGGAGCAACAGAAGGCATCATCACTAACTTCCCATGTTCCTCGTGATGCTGTAACTATGGCAACAGGAAGCAGTGAAGAGAGACAGATGCTTGCAAGTCCTCTTATGTTCCTCAGGAAATGGCTTGGAGAGGTGAGAGAAAACAGGCTGCAATTTATCCTTGGATCCCTTTTTAGATATTTGGTGGTAAACTGACAAACAAAAAGCAAAACCAAAGAATGAAAAAAAAACGTCAGCCAACTTTGCATGTAAACGAATAGTAGGTGGGAATGGAAATAGAAACAACAGCTGAATACAAAAATGTCCCCTTTACCCATACTCGCTGATCTGTATGTTGTTTCATTAGCTGCACAGTATTTTGTAATTGGTCTGAATGGTTCTTTAGGCAGGTCAATATTGATACTAATGGCCTCTTGCAGGCACTGACTGACCGTGTTATCCCAAACATTCAGTTTAAGCAGTATTCCTAGTCACAATTGAGATTGAACTTGGTTATTGTACATGTATGAAATAGTTCAAGATGTTTGTAAGGCAGTGAAGAAATCACTGGACTTATATAAGTGATCAATAAATCAGAACCTTTCATTTCCTCATTTGAAGAAGAAAAAAGAATTCTGAGAGTTTTGTCTTGTACATTTATTGTATGCTATTTTCTGGTCCCTATTATTCATTTGAGATATTTGTTAAACACACATTTATTATTTTATTATTGCTATGTTACTGTATTTAAACCTTTGGATAATAAAACCTCAACTCAACCCAACTCAACATTTGAAACTGTGCAGGGCTTTGTAGGTGTGTGCGACACCCAGGCTGTTCTCCTCATCTGGGATCAGTGTTTCATGAGTGGATGGAGTCATGAAGTCCTCTCTAGACTCTGTCTCTCACTTCTCACGCTACTGAGAAAGAACTTCATGGAAACGGCACAGGACTACCATGTCATGAAACAGGTAAGGCAATAAAGGCATAATGGTTATGATGCCCAGCAGCTTCCCCATAACAGACTCATTGGCTGAGGCCATTTGTTCAAGATGCTTATGTTTTTATGGGGGTTGATTTGATATTCATTTATTTTGGTTTGATATGATATGTCTCCCAATTTCTACCTTTCCACCTTTCATTAATTTGTCTTTTCCTTTAACCTTTATCTTTTTTTCTTTCTCTATTTCTCTCTTTATTTTAGTCCTTTTAATGTAGCTCATGCAGTTTCCTCAGAACAAAAACATTGGCTAAGGTTACTCTGGTTGAGTAAATGATGCTTTCTTGGTGTTACTCATTCAATAAACTACCCTTTATCTCAATCCAAATCTTTTAATTTTTATTTGTAACTTGCAATTGTCAACATTTACACTTTGTACTATGCTTGACTATCATTGCTATTGTTTATTTTGTCTCTTCTTGAAATTATACTAATGATGATAGATATTTGTCAGTGAGCCATGCAGACTGTACACCTTGGACATACAAAAGGCATTCCAACATTTGCAGAACGAGGGTAGCGTGACTGATATACCATCCCTGAACCGACGCCCAGTAGCCAAACCTGAAAAGTAAGTGTACATACAAATAAACAGATGAACATTTTCATCAATGCAAAAGCACTCCTTTTACATATTCATTGAAATACCTACACATGTTTAAGGCCAGCTTGTTGCAAGTCAACAAGCTTTCTAGAAGCTGACGTAAATTTTCAAATTGAATGAAATTCTTTATGTATCATCCAGTCGTCTTAGCAGAATAAATTATGTTGGAAAACAGGAACAATGTATCAATATGTGATCAATATTGATTCGGTTGCTTATTAGAAAGATATTTTAATGTGTCAAAGGATTTCAATTAGTTGTTGCTGCTATTTTTGAGAGAGATATGCTGCTGCAGAAATTTGAATTTGGTTGAAAAAGGAGGTCCTTTTTAAATTTAAGGAAAATAGTAGAATGATATTTTTTTGAAAAATGGGGAAAAAATATAAGTTGACGATTAACTGTATACCTAGGCTTATCAAAATTTATCCATATGACATAGTTTTCTCCTAAAAGGTTGTATTGCACTATTGGAAACAAGGAACTATACTGGTATTGAATTTATGCTTTATTCTCTTTTCATTAGTCATTTCCAATTGTTATTTTTCTTGATTTCCTTTAAATAGTTCTCAAATTCTGAGATTGCCCTCAGAGTTGGCTCTTAAAATGAAAAGACGATCTCCTCTGAGACCGGTAAAAACACCCCAAGTAGAGCCCCTACCTCGTTACCCCTCCTCCCCCCAGGTAGCCACCCCAACCCCCAAACCAAGTCCCCTTCCACCTGTTAAAACCAGTACCCCAGCAGGGGCACATGATAGCACCCCTGTGAGTGACCATCCACCCCCTGGTCCCCCTCAGTGGGGTAATGTCACACCCTCTGTAAGTCTGCACTCTAGTTTGGCTTCTGGGTCATTGCAGGGTCTCTAAAACAATGCTTACTGCACTGCACTTGTATGGTATTAAGCTTGCTTGCTCTATCAAGCTGGGTGATGGGGTAAAGGTGAATGCTCCTGTGTACAATTATGTTATATATGAGTCATGAATAATTATTTTTGTGATAGTCTACGAGTTGCACGTGTCATCTTGTTGAAAAATAGGTGGTGGTTATAATTACTGAAAGATGTTGAGCACGAAACATAATTTTTTAGTTGTATGTTGGTCATATCTTCTACTTAACAATTTTGTATTGTGATGTATTGTGGATGCATAAATTGAAGCTAATTTGTGTATGTTATGTATATGTATTTTGTTGTGTATACGGTACTTTATACTAGTGTGTTCTTTTGTGTGTGAAAAGTGATTTGCAAAGTAAAAAATTAAATCATGCCTTGACATAAAGTATTGTATGTCCCCAAAACAGTTATCCTTTTCTTTTCTTTTTCATATATAATTAATAGAAAATTTCATGGCAAGAATAGTCTATTTGGACTAATTGCCAAATAAAGCCAAAACACAGAAAAAGAAGCATTGGATCATTACATAGTGTTACAGGCTAATTCAACAATTGCCATGTTTGTTCCATTCATACCATCAAATGGTCCCCCCCCCCCTAAATTTGTGTTCAAGAAAAACCACATATAACAGAAAAACAACAGAATTTGAAACTGAATTTGTTCAGTCAATTTTAAATTTAAAGTTAAACTGAAATGGCACTCTGTAAGATTCCCTTTAACAATAACTAAGATTATTTCAATGTACTTTTCAAATTTGTTCTATATCAATGTACATGTTGTCAATCACTAATCATTTATTAAGTCTCTTTTGCAAATTGGCAACTTCTTTTCTTGTTGCAGGGCTGTTTACAGTGTTGGTGAATGTGCTATCTTGTTGAATATGCTTAACATACCTATTGCTTACATTACTGCTGTGGGAAATATGTCTGAAATCATATGCATGGTCATGAAAAGAAATTGCAATACCTCCAAGTTTTTTTAAAGACAGACTGCCATGGTTTGTCTATTCAGATGTCAAGAAAACATTTGGGAAAAAAAAACATCTTAAAGACATATTTGTAATTGCACATCACTCCGTGAGAAACAGTAGTATTTCAACATTTTGAGATCAAATGGAGAATCAAGATATTTTATAACTTCTAATAGCATATAACATGATTATAACTTATCAATCAAAGTACATGGCTGTCTCAAAAATACTTTCAGTAAAATGTTTTTCTTTGGTATGTGGATTTCTAATACTTTTCTTTGTTTGTTGTCTTCACTTTCTTCACTTTGCACCCTTTAATGCACCCTAACAGAAAATATCACAGCCCACCTGTAACCTTTGACCCATCTCATTATGCGCATCTTATCCATAGCATTTCCACCACTAACCTTACTAACATTCAATCATCATCCGTCACCGTCCAAGAGGATGCAGGGACTATCCCACCATCATCCAAAGCCACACCTACTTTCATGGTCCCTCCTATCTTCATAGCCCCTCCTACACCCATGGCTCCTCCTACATCCATAGCTCCTCCTACACTCACTGCTCCTCCTACATCCATAGCCCCTCCTACATTCATAGCCACACCCTCCCAGGTTTCCCCTCCTGTCATAAAGCCTCGCCTGTCTCAAGGCACAGAAGTTGGGCCTAGTCTTCTAACAGTAAATATTTCTGGAGATGAAGTAAAGGGCCCTAGTACCAATCTTCAAGGTGGAAGGTAAGATTGGGGTAATATAATATTATTTTTTTTCTGTAAGAGACAATCATATCACATAATGATATTGTGATCTTATATGTAATTTGTATTTGATAATGTAAAGCGCATAGAGGATTGTCTTTGATGATTATTATGTGCTATATAAATCACAATTATTATTATTATTATTATTATCATTTATATCAAACTTGAGATTTCTGTGTAGGAATAACAGCATGCAAAGTCTATTTGTCTTGTTTTGATGATGAGAAAACCACTTACAAATGTTGTCACTCTAGTGACCGCCTCTATAGAAAGACCACATGTTTAGAAAGACCATAGTATAGTAGTTCTCATTAAATGTTGTATGTCAGAATTCTGTACATAATAAGATACCACCTGTCCATAAAATCTTATTTTCCTCTCTCCCATGAATACACAGAGGATTCACTATATTCATATTTAGAGGCTTTTTACACCAGAAAGAAACAAATTCTTAGAATTTGCCAATACCTTATGCTTATTTCCAACTCCTGATACCCCTCTCCTATAATTGTTACCCCTTCCTCTTGATGCAACAGGATGCAACAGGTCTTACCACTGGTAGAAGACGAACCGGTCTGGGTGCCCTTTGACCCCCGTGCATCATCGGACCTACCCAATGCACCAGCTCCGATGGAAGGTTTTGATCTCTACGTAGATGGTGTACGCTTCCTGCCCGACAACGCTACCATAGTCAAGGTATGCATGCTCTGCTTGATATTCATAGTCAAATTTATCATAGTGGCTGCCTTTTTATAAAGGCTGCTTGCATATATTCTGAAACCTGTCTATAAAGACCACCCAAGAGAGACAAGAACAGTGGTCTTTATAGGCAGGTAGTCTATATGTACAGGTTCCTTGAGTACATGTTTCAATGAGAAACCAGTTTCAAGGGAAACAAAAAAATGTGGTCTTTCTATACAGGTGGTCACTAAAGCAGGTTTGACTGTACAATGGTCACCTATAATGTCTCCCTGTATGATGAAACATGTAAACAAGAATTTGTCTCGAAGAGGCCTGCATCTGTCTGTAGTGGTCACGTTTTACTGTTTCCTCTTGGTGACCTTTATAGGCAGGTTTGACTGTACCTGCATTGATAATTGTGAAGAGAGATTACACCTTTTTAAGATCATGTGCATGTGTACGTACATGTAGTACATGTATGTAGAGAAGGTAACCATGCAATAGTAATCTCATGTCGCAAAACAGTTGACAGGTCTTGATAGAATGTGCACTCCTATTGTGTGTACCACAATAATGATTTAAAACACATTATTTGATTGAGATGTCATGAAGATGGATAGACTATGTAAAGCTAAACCTAGTTTTCCCTATATATATCAACGATATTTGCTATTTTCGATTCATCAAGATTTGGCAGAGACGTTGAGTTTTACTTAATTAAAACTGAAATAGGTAATTGAAATCATCTCAATTATTTTTGCCCGTATGGCACACACAATGTGATTATAGCTCTATCTACAAGGCTTTGTAAACCAAGTAAATTGCTCAGGGGCAAAAAGAATCTTTTCAGTATTAAAGCCATGAAAGTTGTTTGTATAGCAATGTAATCTTCTGTAAAAGGTCATACATACAACTTTCTTTGAATCCATTTCTTGAATAAAATCAGGTTACAGTCAAAGAGAGATTTGCCACTGCACACCGGAGCACTAGCCTTGAACTTTGTACCCTGCCTGACCTGACCTGTTCGGCGCACGCTCGCTGCCCAAAGTTCGACTACCGGGAAGAGATCGAGAGAGCACTGCCGGACCAGCTGGTGGAGTTACGAGTCTGGACCGTGGATAGATACACCCATCAGGTGGTTGTTGTAGGAGTCTGTGTAGTGAAGGTCTACAATGGGGAGACCAAGAAGGTGAGTTTATGAAAGGCCCCTCAAGCTGTTGGTCAGTTTTATTGTGATATTTAAAGGCCCCCCCCCCCCACCCCCTCCCTCCCATAAAATTTACTATGGAAAAAAAATAGAGAAAGAAACAGGAAAAGAAGGTGATACCCTTTCCACTCCGTCCCATCACTCAATGACCTTAGTTTTCCCTATTTCATCCATCTAATAATAATGTCCAAGTACCCCACCCCCCCCTCCCCCTCTGAATCCTAGTGTCCCCTCAATGACTGGAACACTGTTAAATAAATGCCACTCAGTTCCTTGTTTCAAGAGATCTTTGTCAAAAGAATTTTACCCCCATTGTAATTATTCACATTAATTCTTTAATTTTGGTTGCTGTTAACATGTTTCTTCTTGATTTCACTATAGCTTAATATTGGAGGTCATCAGATGCGTTTACGATCAGGCTACCCAGCGCCTCATGGGCCTATCCTGCCCCAATCGCTTGATCACCTACCATCATTACCAGGCTGCTCAGTCCTTCTCAGACTCCTTCCGCCCTCTAAGGTATGTAACCTTTTTTAGTGCTGTGAGTCTGCAGTCCCGACTAATAGCTCTGTCTTATATGTATATATATATATATATATATATATATATAACCAAATAAATTTCTATTTGTAGACATTGTATGTTTTTGAAGAATAAGAAAATCTATTCTCCAGATGCAAGTCTTCATGTGGGAGCTCACAGCTCCTCCCTCCCACCCCCCCCCCCCCCCCAACTAAAAAAAACAACATATTTGCATGCATGTTGTCTGATTGGTTTACTTTATATATTCCTCCATTGTAACAAGAACAGCTGCAATATGTAGTATTCCCTCCACCCCTCTTTCTAATTTTTGATCTAAAACCATGCTTGCTAATAATCTGAAATATACGTCACATGGTTTAAACTTTCCTATGGGGTCTGAAAATGAATATGATAACAAGAATGGAAATTCCTGATATGTGCAGGTATTCGTTGAGCCATTACCCTACAGCAGTGGGTTCTACCAGTCCGAAGTCTGCAAACCAACAGAGTCTGAGATCAACGTGATTGGACATTATAAAGCAAAGCAAGATTGGAGTCAGACGGTGAGAGATGTGGCTTTGGAGTTGGCAAGAAGAGAAGGTATGGCTTAAAGTTTGAATCAAGATATTTCACAATAGGGTTATATATGAGACTCTCTCTCTCTCTCTCTCTCTCTTTCTCTCTCTCTTTAACTCTCTCTTTCTCTCTCTTTCACTCTCTCTCTCTCTCTCTCCCATTCTGTCTTTTCTCTCTCCCTCTCTCTCTCTCTCTCTCTCTCTCTCTCTCTCTCTCTCTCTCTCTCTCTCTCTCTCTCTCTCTCTCTTTCTTATGCCAATATCTTCTCTCTTCTAGTATTTGGCCCTTCACCTTAAATCTCCCAATGTTTCTTTCTTGTTCCCTTTTTCAATACCTTCCCTCTTAATTAGTTTTTAGTCTTGACTTGTTTTATTGGTAGACAGTCAAAGAAGAGGGGAAGACCTCGTAAAGGCTTTCTAGACGATATAATCGCAGAATGTGGAGCAACGGTATGAAACGATGAAACGGTTGGCTCAAGACCGAGGAACTTGGAGAGAAACTTGGAGAGACACTTGATATAGAATTTCGAATGGGTCACTGAACCTGTCATAAACTGACAGATCACTATTGATGATGTACAACTCAATTATTCATACCTCTTGTAAATTTGATGTTTTTTGTGTTATTCATAGCTCAGGGATGCAATTTGGACTGGTTTAATTAGGGCTGTTGTTGAATACTTTAAAATGTAAACTTTAATATGTCATATTCTCAAGAATTATAAATGGGAACAAATCAATTTTGTACATACTTAAGGAAATGCCAAAGTTGGTAAGGGGATGAATAATTTAGTCGTTAGTTGTAGATAAGATTTCTTTTGGGCCAGCTTGATGTTGTATTTGCCTCTTCCGTGTCATCAAGTCTTTAAGACATACGTCATTCACACTCTAACATCACGTTTTTTTTTCATTTTTAGATGACACAAAGTCCACCTCCACCAGTGATGACGAACATGATGGTCCTGAATTTGCTAGCAACCAAGAAGAAAACAAGATGGCCGACGCCTGGCCCAAGATGTCCGACGAAGAGATAGAAACCTGGATGATGGAGCGACTCAAGGCCAAACACCAACCCCCTGAGAGCCTGCCCCCATTGCTAGAGATTGAGCGTTGTGTTGATTATGAGAGAGATACAGGGGTGGCCATCAAGATCAGGACAGCGTTTGGCTTACAAGGTATGTATGCATCAGTAGCATTTGAATTAGCTCTCAACTTGATCTTATCACATCGAATGTGGTATTTGCATTATTCAAGATACTATGTTTCTGATAGAAGTTCATGATGTATATACAGTTACTTAACTGCCAACCATTTAGATGTTGTAGAAATGCTAAGACATATGTTTTAGGCCTTTAAAATATTGTTCTGGATGGACCCAAGAGTCCTCTCTTTTTCTAAACATGTCCATGTAAAAGCAAACAAAGTACACAGAATTCCTTCTTGGATTGCTGTCCTCCTAAAGATTCTGTGAGGGAATATATAAACTGAAGGTCCGTTTAGAGTGGTCCTATCTTATTTATCTTAGAGCATGTCAATGCGGCCTTGAAGGATTTAGTTGTTTTTTGTAAGACAGTTGAGGGGGTAACTTGTTCCAGTCCTTTGTTGTTCTTGGGAAGAATAAGTTTGTAAGTACTTCAGTTCTGGTATAGTTAGTCTGTAATTGGAATTGGTGACCTCTTCTTTGTATTTCCCCTTCTGGGATACCCAATTTTTTGCAGCATTTAGAAAGTTTGCAGGCATGAGATATGACAAAAATAAAACCTGTGCTTACTTTTTGTTGTCCATCTTACTTCCTCTCTCTCTCTCTCTCTCTCTAGCTGAAAACTGTTACAGCATCGTACTTACCAGAGTGCTCCCTGGTCCAGCCTCTCAAGAGATTTTGGATTCTGGGCACGGTAGGTCTAGCAGGTCCCAGTCCTTCTTGACTAAAGAGATGGACCTAGACAGTCACATGAAAGCACCAAGGTGGAAGGACAAGGCCACAGTAAGTCAATACCATCATCACTCCTTAACAATGTGGTCTTACTAGGTTTTGAACCCAGGACTTTATGGTTCTGAGACCCTTGCTCTGACCTCTGAAGCACCATACATTTATCATTAATAATAATAATAATAGCTCACATTTATAATGCGCTAATGCGGTTCTAGGTGCAGTACATATTATTACCCAGTCATTGGATTCAGGCTTCCCTGCGCACAATATATGCACATTCTCCACTCCCTGGGGAGCATTCCGGCCAGTCGCCATTTTACAAGCGCCACTTGCTCATCCAACCACATCAACTTTTGCATCCTAGCGGGTACCCATAGAACACTTGGGAGGAGAGTGTCAAATGTAGATTAACATCTTGCCAAAGGACATTAGTGCCGTGTCGAGGATCGAACCACGACCTTCAAATTTCAAGTCAAGTGCTCAAACCACTCAACTACGACACTTCTACTAATAGGATGGTAGTTTAATGGGATGGTAATCATTCAAAAAGGTTGGCTTCAATGTGAACAAGAAAATAATTGAAACAAGTTCATGCAGGTTTTACATAACCTAAAAATGATCAAGAAACTAATGATATTTTTAGTCCTACTACATACAAAATCCATATTATGTTAAATATTTTCCCATTTCTTGGGGCAGGTTTTGCGGCCTGTCTATGATGAAAATTCTAATTAAAAAAATGATCAAGAAACTAAAGATATTTTTAGTCATACTTCATACAAATGACTAAAAATCCATATGATGTTCAATATTGTCCCATTTCTTGGTGCAGGTTTTGCGTCCTGTCTATGATGAAAAGTCTGTGCTTCTGCTTCAGTTCTTCTGTCTGGAGGTGATCTACAAGGTTGACCCAGCAGGTCTCACCAAGGCCGTGATCCAAGCTCCAAAGGGCAAAGGTCCTTTGAAATTGGATAACTCCTCCTGCCAGGGCTGGGGTGTGCTGCCAATCTTTGACAGGAATTGTGTCATCCAGGGAACGTTCATCATCCCCATCTTTCAGAATGATAAAGATAAGGTAAGTAGCACCTTCTACATGTATGTGGTGCCAAGCATTGTTTTGTTTTGGAATAACAAGAATTTTTATATGCTGATAAATGGTTATGAGAATCTTTTTTTAATATTCATCATTTAATAAAATAATGTCACCAATATCTAACAATAATCAGTAATCAGATATCATTCAATATTATAGTATTAATGACTGCTTTGAGAGAAATAGTTGTTTTATTACGCTCAAGGGAAGGTTAGAATTGTGCTATTCCCCGAGGCTTGCCGAGGGGAATAGCCCAATTGTAACCTTCCCGAGAGCGTATGAAAACAACTATTTCTCGAATATTAAAGCAGTCATTAATACTTTTATATGCCGAAAAAAAATAGACTAAAAAATGAAAAATGAAAAATATTTATCAATTTTGTCGAAGACGGGATTCGAACCCTTGCGTACAACAAGAGGTGTACCGAAAACCAACGCTTAGACCACTCGGCTATGGCCCGCCGTTAACATGCTTGGCAGTTTTCTCCAATATATACATTAAAATGAATTGAAACCGGCTTCGCGTGTGATGAATGCTTCGCAAAAGCTCCATATACGGACTCTTCTTTTACTTTTGCAGTGCATATTGGCACGAACTTAGATCAAGATCTATCGGCAGATGTTGTTTTTTTGTTTTTGGAAGTTTATTTTCGTCTTCATGTCAACAATGCAAGATAAAATTGTCGGTAAGATCGATCGAGATTCAATTGTATTGAAATTACCGACCAATCCTTCGCACACATACGGCATCCTCCATCGCTCAAACCATTTTTTAACATGTAAACCTATGGGGTAACCATGCATAAACATTTTAACTATTTTTAATAACCATGGTTATTAAAAATATTGAAATGTTTATGCATGGTTACCGAGAATTTTACAGGAACAGTTGAAGTTTATGAATGCAATTCGACCAATCAGATGGCTGGATTTCTTAAGTGAGGTATATAATGACATTTATCAAGGAGAGAGAGGACAATAACAAGAGGATGAAAGAGAAAAAGACAAAGAGAGAGAGAGGAGAGATTGAGTGGAGAGAGATAAAGACAGGCAGAGAGAATGGGAGAGAGCTTGATCTCATAGTAAATGTAAAAGGACTTCAGTGGGAGTCATGATGAGAACAGGAACAGGGAGAAGGTGTGTGGGAGAGAGAGAGAGTGTGTGTGTGAGTGGGAGAGGAAGAAAGAAAGAAAGAAAAATAGAAGAAAGGGCAAAAAATGATGCGAATAGTGGAAACCAACCCCAACTTTGTCAACTTTCTTCTCCTCATCTTTCTCATCTCCTCCCATCCTCTCTGGCTCCAGCCCTTCCTGAAGGGTCTGAGGGATGCCCCTAGCCTTGAGTCCTGGATGAGGGTCTCTGTGGAGAAGAAGCTGATCAGGGTCCATCCTCGTCACCCCTCGGCCATCGTCTCTATCTGGGATGGTCACTTCTACCAGGGTCAAACCGTTCCTCTACCGGTAAGTAGTCATGATTGTTTGTTGGCTTTTGACTTTTACCTCCAGACACCATATATACTTATATCACAGGCTTAGACTTTGTCAGACTTTTGTGAAAGGAAAAAAATACAAAAAGAAGGAAAAGAAGGGAGGAAAGAATGAAGGAAGGATATAAGAACAAAAGAAAAATAGAAAGAAAGAAAGAAAGAAAGAAAGAAAGGAGGAAGAAATGATATAAGAACGAAAGAAAGAAAGAAGTAAGGAAAGAATGAAAGAACAAAGAAAGAACAAAGAAAGAAGGAAGGGATGAATGAAGGAAAGAAATAATGATCAAAAATTGTGTTAATGTAGGAAACCAACTGCATATATGTATCCATTTATTCCTTTACTCTTCTTACTCCTCATCTCCATATCCTTTGTGGTGACACATCACATATGGTGCTTCACTCTGCTTCAGATCAGTTGTAAACCTTTATAAGATTCGACCTAGAACAAACTTGTAATGGTAGGCCTTACAGTATCCCATGTTCAACTTCTCTACTCCTTTCTTGTGCAGAGGAGAGACTATTTCTTACACATCGCTGGGGACTTCAAGAAATTCTCTAAGGCTTCTCAAGACAAGACCGGCCATCCCCTGAATCACATCGTCCTTCGTAGCCTGCCCTCTGTAGTCCAATCAGAGGGAACAAACAGCGCGCACTACCTCAAAGAAATGCAGAACTTTGAAGAGTCCATGCATGATATTGCTACAGATTTGGTGGTGAGTATCCCCTCAAGGAATCAAAGAAAGGTTGTATTGTTTGTAGCTATTTGGTATGGGGTACATGTATAATTAAACATTAGTTGCCATCTGTCCATAAACACACCACTTATTATAGATTCAGCTCGAAACGTCCTTTCTCATTTAAACCTATACATAACAATTAAACCTTTATAAAGATTAATATCTAAATAAAATATTTTTTAACAATTTACTATACATATTCAATTTAATTACTGTACATTTAATATATGAATCATATTTTGTAACTTCCAAGCTTGTACATATACAATGTATAAATCATATTTTGTAATTTCCAAGCTTGATTTCTGTACTGGCATACATGCCCTCCTGTCATTATTTCTACTGCACTGTTTTCTTTATTTTCATCCTCAAAGTGAAATTAGTAAGCTGCATGCTGTTCTTCACTTCCCTCACAGCTAAGGATCCTGAGTTATTGTGAATGGTACTCTAGGATGTCCAATTTCGTTATCATTGACTCATTACCTCACTGTTGCTTTGACCAATAACTATGTGAGTGTTGCTTATATCTGGTCTTTTTTTTCTGTACTCGCAGGAAGATGCCCTCCTAACAACCGGTCAGGCTCCGTTGACCGCAGGCTCATAAGACCTGGAGAGGAATATTCATCAGTAGCAATCTTTCCAAAGACAGGTTTAGTGACCCTGACCTGTCATCCTCTCACGATGCAACCTCAAGCCAACTGCTCCACTTTCTAATGTCCCACTTCTCCACAATTTTTACAAAAAGATCATGTCTCCCTTGTGTCTTCTTTATCTTCAGGCGACCGTCTAAGAGTGTGATGATCAGTTAGCTGTCACATCACATGATGTGTCTAAACCCGGGACCCGTAACACAAAACTTGTCGTCAATGACAAATGACAGTCTTTGTTATAAGCTACTGAAATCCTTGCTTCGGATTGGCTATCAGCAGATTTGTCATTGGTCATTGAAAAAAGGCTTTGTGAATCGGTTCCCAGTTCTTTTATTGTCTTCTGATTGTTTAAAGTAGTATAGCTTCTCATGAACATTATACAAGAGAGAGATTTTCAAGTAATAATCAAACGAAACTTGAATGAAACTAATTCAAAACCTTGTTATTAAGTGTGTGATAGAAAGAGAGTGACATTGAAAGTATCAAGTTTTGCATCATAGTATATAAATATACAGTGTACATATTGCACATTTATACATTAAGTTTGATTGTATGTCAGTTTTTACAGTTGCTTATGGGCGATATATCTACATATGGTGTAAAGTTTGCTCATCGAAATGTATTCTGTGCTTTTTATGTGTGTGCTTCAGTATTCTTTTGGATTTTTCTTCTTACACAATCAGTGAAATTAGATTTAAACATTTTAAAATTTCATGTATTCAATAAGAATGTATTTATTTGCATGTTTGCTATGGGTTGTAGAATTTTTATATTATGAAAGTTAGATCAATACTGATGTGAATTTATACTTGTTTTGATGTTGTTTTTAATACTCGATAATAAAGAAAACAACTCCATTTCTACCATCTCTATTTACTGTACATGTACAATGTGTGCATCATATTTGCATTTCAGATGCAAGGCTTTGCTTGAAAATGAGAATTAAATGAATTGTTTTAATGTAATCATGAATTGTCTGCTAGTGATATTTTCCATGATCTGTATGCATTGTTAGTTTGTACATTTGAGTTCTTATACAGTCCATAACATTGCCGTGAATAACTTAACCCCATTACACAAGCGCATCAAACCCTTTAACCCTCAAAGCTTCAACGTGCCTTAATATCCTATTGATCATTTGTGTTTTATTGATAGAAGGTGTATGTGATAAAGAGAGCAAAAGAGTAACAGTGAGAGACAGAGAGAGCAAGAGACAGAGAGAGCAAGAGACAGAGAGATATATATATATATATATATATATATATATATACAGATACTGAGAGTAAGAGGCATAATATTATTAAATGACAGGAAGAGAGAGAGGGAAGAGAGAGAGGGAAGAGAGAGAGAGAGGGAAAGACAGAGAGACAACAGACAGACAGAGACATGCTAAATTTAATGACAACTTTAACCTCTTTTATTTATCAGATCATGATACAGTTATCAAGACACATTGATATGAAAATACAACTTCATACATAAAGAAGTACATGGCTGAAAACCTGATCAGGTTGGTGGTTTAAAATGTGCTTTAAAAATCTCTCACAGCACCCAACAAAGATATGGGAGTGTTACAGATATTAATTTGTGTTAAAGGAGGAATCTCTAGAATGTTTAATTTTTTACCAATGCACTACCAAGCATACTTTTACTTTTCTTGATTTTAAACATTTCCTTGTTACCCAGTTTTTGTAATCAAAACTCTGGTAAATTTAAAATGAAATCTTGTGCTGGAAACAATTATGCTTACATCACAACCTAATCTTCTTTTAAATACAAGTAAAATGATTGCAGTTATGTGCCATACAATAATTCCCTTCCTATCAGTATATTGATATGTTGATCTACCTGTATATAGTTAGTTGTTCAATTTGAATATGCTAACAAAAATCACACTCGGGCACAATGTGTATACACCGAGTCGGGCTTTATGTGAGCATGAAATTGCAAATATTGTACTTTGGAAAATTGCACTTCTGGGAAATGGACAAACTCAGAAAAATAAACGATAATGAGCAAAGAAATAAAATATCTGGACCTGTCGCTTTAAAAAATTGACTTTTGAATTCCCCTATTCCCATAGGCATTAATGTAGGGACTACCATTTTTCTGTAGGTCATGGGTTATATGATTGACCTCCTGGAAAACACACCAACCTAAACAGTCAGCCTTTAACAAAAGCCTTGCAGCTACATATTTCAAAGATCAGGTTTTTACAAAAGTTATCTTTCATTCAATGTGATGGCATTATGAACAGGATTCCATGTCCATTGTAATGAAGAATCTTTACATATTTACATATATATACAACAAAATGAGGTGAAAGTCGATGAATGGTACAATTTCTCTTTTTTTCTTATTATACATGGGTACTGTGTGAAAAGTTTACTACATTGCCTAATGGCTTGCATTGAGAGCAGACCTCGTAATGTAAAGCTGGTTTTTCTCTATTTTCTCATAATGCTTTGTAAAAAATGCACAATACTTCATATATGAAGATATTCCTTCACATGATTCTGTACTGAACAGCAAAAGGCTTACATTTTTAATGAACTATACATTTATGTATTACAAATCCTTCTGAATATCTTTCCTTTTCATCTTTATAAGCAAAGAATAGCAAGAATTTTGAATTTTTTACAGATAATACTTTCAGTTATGATTTTAAAGTTCTTTTATCACATCCAAAAGGAAAAATTTACCTGTAACAGTTATTTGCAGACATCTTCCTCAGACTCGAATGGGAAGATGTCTGAACTCTGGACATCGAAGCTGTTACGGGTAAATTTTCCTTTTGGATGTGATAACAGAACTTTAAAATCATTATTACAACCATCCTGAAGGAACTCTATCATAATACTTTCAGTTGCTGAGTGAATAGTTACATTATAATCTAAGAATAAGTAGAACTGGTATACACTGTAAGTCCTTTCCTAATCTACATACTCTTTGTCAGCTACCATGTGTGTTAACTGTTATTATAAGCACAGCTATCAGAACAGAGTCTGTAATTAAACCATGAAAATAGATAGTCCAGCATCACACATTATTCCTTTTCAATTACCAGCTCTTTCTAATTCAGGAGTTCTTGTTAGTGCACCAGTTATTGAACAAGAATTTTCTATTTTTATTCTCGTCAATTTCAAACGCAAAAATAATGTCTTTCCAGTGATGAAATAATCTGCAGCATATTTTGTTCTAATCAGATTTCAATTCATTAGATTTGAGTTTTAGGGAAATATACAAATGTTTGCAATTCTAAAAATCAAATATCAAAACAGCAAGCTTTAACTTCCTCTGTTTATCTATAATCACTTTCATTGAAGTTCATTCCATTTGTAGTACTTTTTCTCATGTTAATGAAACCTACAAGCCTTATGAACAATATTTTAAAAAAATTATGATGAGAATAATAAAATCCCGGCCCCCCCACTCAGGTTTTAAAATGACCGCATGCGTGTTGCCAAAATGTCCTTTTCGTAACAAAAGAAAAAGGTCGAGCCGTATTGACTTTACACACCGGACTTTTGCTGAAAAGGGGGGGTGCGGAAAAAGGCTCGTATACAAAAGAAAAAGGTCGAGCCGTATTGACTTTACACACCGGACTTTTGCTGAAAAGGGGGGGTCGGTTGGAACACGCATATGCGTACCCTAAATAACACTGAGTGGGGGGGCCGGGAATAAAATGCAGGGGTAATAGGACTGAATATTATCCCCTAGCATACACAATGAGCAATATCATTACAACACAATGGACCGGTTTACTGACACATTCAAATTTTATGCATGCTTTATAAACAGAGAATGTTCTTGACAACACGAAAGCTTGCCCGACATAGCAACCAGTAATATATGCAAACTGGATTCTCAATATAGTAGTTCATTCATTAATAACAAACACGTTAATGGAAGAACTAGTCACTAGGTCCCCTGGAAAGAAACATCCATAAATTTGAACACACTATGTGTTTGTAAACCGGTCCATTACCTTGTAGGATGAGCGACTCCTTCATAGTAATATGAAAATGCTTGTTTACTGATCATCTTAACAGCAGATTCCTTCTTTTACATCACAGACCCCAGTAACTTAAGCACACAGGCCATTGAAAATAAAAATCTAAAAAACATGGAAATGTACATCATATCAAGTGATATATAGGAATGTACAAGCTAATTTCTAGTATGAATGCTTGTCCACATATGTCAAGGTAAACCGCATCATTTAAAACAATTATTAAAAAATTAACATATTAAGTGAATGGCAAGTGGGGAAAAAATAAGTAACAAATGTCCTACGCGAAATACAAAAATGTACTGTACAATACACTTACTTTGGCCGGTGCATGGTGGTCAGTTTTACAGTTTACCTAGGCATATGTGTACAAGATTTTAAGGCACATTATAAACATTTTCAGGACTTTGATTGAAGTATAAAACTATGTCAGATGCTGCAGTCACAGTATGGTACAAAACAAATATTTGTTAAAAACTTAAACAATATGCATGAACAGAAACAAAATCGGCATTATTAGGGTCTACTTTTCTCATAGCGCAGAATGTAGAATGATAAATAAAATTTAAGTAAAGGATAGACATTAAAATGCTAAAAATGGCAAAAATATAAGTAAATGCAAGAACAACAAAATTAATGTTAAAACAAAGTGGAAATTTTCCTTGTGGTAATGTATCTGCAATTTTCATTCATAAATTTTCAATAGTTGCACAAGGTATGTCTATATTAAAAAAAAAAAGGCTTGAAATTTGTTGGGCTTTACTAAACATAACTCAAAAACACATCGCTATAAAAAATAATGACTACATGTGCTCTAAAAGAGGATTGTCAGCGTGATATACAAATCAATTTACAGGTACCTTTTCATGTAAATACAGTGGAATTTGGCACTCTTGCATTTTGACAATATCATATGATCTTTCAATCATCCTCATGTAAAAAGAGGAATTTAACAACTAACTAATAACTACAAGTGAAAATCTTTTTTTTCTTCTCATTTTCACCTCTTGTCGATCTAAATGTTATTCCTCCGTAGAAGAAACAACAGCTGTAATGAGCTGTTTAGAAGTGTACTCGCTTAAACTGATCAAGGAGCTCAGATAATGTGATTTGTGATACTTGCACATATAATAATACAAGGGCTTAATGTGAATCAGTCAATCCAAAAATCATTTATACATGAACATGTATATCATCAGAAGACATGATGTCACCAAAATACTTTACAAGACATTGAAGTGGCTTGTAATTTGAAGGGTTTGCTTATCTATAGACTCATAAATGAACATTATTCAAATGAAGTATTTGGACCTTCATTTCAAGAGCAGTAAACACATGGTATACACAAATTGATTGTTTATAAGTTACAAAACTTGACAAATTAAATGAAACTCTGGCAAAGCAAACCTTCCATATATTATTAGGGCAAGTCCACGCTATTTTGTCCCATACATTACCGATCATGATGATTTAATACATCTGATTTGTACAGTGAAGCCTGCATATAAAGACCACTCAAGGGAGCCAAGAAATGCAGTCTTTATAAATAGGCAAAATTGAAGAACAGATTCTTCTAGTACAGGTGTCGATGAAAACAAATGTTCAAGGCATACTACATACAACTGTAGTCATCATAATGGCAAAAGCAGGTTTCAGGAGGATGAGATTTCACCATACCTTGTAGCTGCCTTTTAAAGGATGGCAATTTGTGTCTTCTGCGTTACAAACCTTCAAAATAAGGAATCTTAAAATCTTGAGCATCCCTTTACATTCTGCAGCTGAGTTGGTGGGGCGACGATGAATACCTTATGGTTCCAAGCTTGATGGTTGGCGATCACCTGTAAATACTCTTGGAATACGCAATTCCATCATGCTTTGTAGCTGCCTATAAGGTATAAAAAAGGCACATATATTATTAATAGCAATGATGTAGTCAAGACTGGCAGTTCCAAGTCAGATGGCTACTGAAAGATATTACCTTGATACCTTCCATAAGTTTTATACATCTGACTTGGTCTGAGGCAAAGGTCACTGCAACATGACCTCAAGACCGGACTCGACTATGATACTGATAAAGAGTAATCTTGAGTTTTAGATTCTAGTAATGGAACCATATGGATTTAAAACAAACTGCTTGAACTCTATAAAGTCATTAATAGTCATTGGTGATGTATTAAATGATATCTTCAATTATCATGGAAATGCTTGGAATTTTTTTTCTTTCTATAAAGAGATTTTTTAAAGAAGACTTGAGGACATACAAAGATAAAACACTGTAATAAAAGGCCAAAAAAATTCTCTAGTTCTAATAGCTCTGTATTTCTGACTTGGATGTCCTTCAACTGACCTTGTTAATTTCCTTGTGCCTGTCTCTGCTCACAATCTCTTCCAAGACTTCTCCGCTGCCTCGAATCAACCTGCAAAGCAAATTATCATACATGTGATAAACAGCTTTTAGGCTATTTTCTTATGGATTATCAATCTAGTGCTAGAGGCTAATATAACAACTATTGCTATAACCCGTTTCCATTTCGCCATGTTACCAATTGCTGACCATGTTCATGTACACTACCATTGCTATTCTCCTTCTAGCAGCAGTACTATGCACATGCCTCGAAAGCCTTACCATTTAAAGTCCACAATCCATCTGACTTGTAATTCTTTCTGTATAATGTACCGGGGTATTTGGTAAAATGCTCCCTCAAGAGTACCGGTACTGTCTTATTGTACACAGTATAAAGATAATAATGTGCTTTAGCATGTAAAAACGTACGATAGGAAAGGTTAACTCTGGATCCCATTTTATGATTCACCTCAAGTAACAATTGCTCCACAGTCAATTTTTAACATAAACCTAGTCCTCAACTTCCATCCTGGGGCCCTAACAGTACATGTACACCTAACCCTAACCCTATCTCATTCTTGAGAACTACATGTATCTCCAGACATAATCACATCAAAACCTCTAACCCTGCCTTTGATGAAATAAAGTCCAGAGTAAATGTCGCATCCCAAAGGTACATACCTGTTTCTTCCTGTATCTGCATCATACACCCTACGCACTTTGCTCTCCTCCTTGTCATACTGCTCTTTGGTCATTGGTACCATACTCCTCTTTGATGAACCTTCTTCAGACGGCTCTTCTTTTTTCCCTGCTATGAGATACAAAAAAAACATTATTGAGCATGTTGCCGTAGACCGTCCCCTATTAAATATGACATATTTCTCTCTCATAAGATTTCTTTTTCTTTCTACCCTACTTTGAGGTAGAAATAAAGAAGATCATCATCATCATAATGCGATGGGCTTTCCCTATTGAAATATACCTTAAAATTTATGAACAAAGACATTGAGACAGATTAGAATTCATCATCTGAGTGGGTTTTTACAAAATTTTAATTTCATTATAATATCACCCCCAAAAAAAGAATTTTGAATGTACATTTAGCCGGTGGTACAATTGACCTTGCAGTCAATGATCTTACAGAAACCCCATGGAATTATAAATCTGCCTGACAACTTGGGTTGCTTGTGCTTAATGTTAAGGTACTTGTAAGTAAACAACATCGTTTCTAAGGTAAGATTTCTGTAAAACACAACAAAAATATCCCTTTCTCAATTTTAAAAATAAATAAATATTGAGGCTACCAGTCTGATAACTTTTTTTTTTTTTAATGAATACAAGAAACCAATCCTGAAAATACACAAGCTTTTGGTTCATTTTTCTTAGCTCTCACAACTGCTAAAAAATGGCTCCCATCAGAGGACTTCAGGATTTCCATTTTCAGGGAAAATTAATTTTTAGAATATTAAAAGAATTGAATAACATCTCAAGTAGAACCATCTTTAAAGTAGCACACATTTCTAACCTTTGGCCATCTCTATCAGCTTCTTCTGGATTCCTGACAGTGGTACAACCTCATCTGTTTTCTTCTTTTTTGACCCCTCCTCCTGCTTTCTTGTGGCTTTCTTTTTCTTTTCCTTGCTCTTCTTCCTCAAAATATCTTTTTGTTTCTTCTCCTTCCTGTGCTCCTTCTTGTGCTTCTTCTTTTTCTTATCCTTCACATGTGCCTTCTTGGATTTCACTGTTCTATCCTTCTTGTCTTTGGCTTTCTTTGCAGGTGTAGAATGCAGTGAGATATCGCTCTCCGACAAATCTGATCCAGAGCTCCACGATGCCTTTCGTTTCCTGGCTTTTTTCTCTGGCTTCTTGTCTTTTAACTTTTTTGTATCCTTGCCATTCTTTCCACTCCCTGGCTTGTTCTTGCTTCCTTCTTTGCGTGACTTCTCAGGCTTCCTCTCACTATCCAATCTCTTCTCAGATCTCTCTCCTTTTCTTCCATCTAATTCATCATCACTACTGGACGGGCTTCTGCGCTTTCTTGCATCTGATTTACTTTTTAGTAAGTCCTTTTTCGATCTGGAATCCTTGCCTGATGAGTTCTGTTCTCTTGGAATCCTGTCATTACTCTTAGCGCTCCCCCTCGATTCATCTCTATGGCTCTTGGTTCTCTCGCTAGAATGCTTGGAGGATATCTTTTCCGAAGTATGTCCTGTGGATCTCGATTCTTGTCTTGTATCTGCAACATTTTGTCCATTTTTGGATGAGTGTTTGGACTGTTTGCTACCTTCATCACGGTGAGGGCTCCTGTGTGATCTACTGCTCCTATCTTGACTGCGGCTTCGGTCACACAAGCTCTTTGAAGAATGATCTTTCCTGTTGATTTCTTTCTGCTTGGATGACTTTTCCGAGGATCTTGACTTGTGAGTTTCAGAACGATGAGGAATGTCATTTCTCCTGCTTGTTTCCCCAGAATGCTGGGATGACGAGTGCTCCCTACTGCGACTTTTCTTCATGTCTCCACCATCCCTGTGCCGTTCAGATTCTCTATCTCTGGATCGCCTATCCCTGTCATGTCTGCTACTGATTGTACTTTTAGAGTTATGGCTACCTCGATCATTAAGAGATGATCTTTCCCGGTCTTCCCTTTCACCCTTCTTGCTCTTGCTCTGGCGATAGGACCTCTCATTTGGACTGAAGTCTGAACTGGATCTGTTATGTTTAGAGTCTTTACCTCCACTGTGTCTATCTTCCACATGTAAGTCTTTAGAAGTTTTCCTTTTTGTGTCAGGCTCAAGGCGCCCTTTGCCATGGATAGGTGAAGACGCGTATGCTCTGGGTAGCCTAGCACGGGGAGAATCATCGTCAGATGAAGAAACAACATACTGCTTGCCCTTGGCCAGTCGTGCCAATTCCTGTTCCTTTAATTCAACCACAGTATCACTGTCATTTTCATACGCTGCATACGCTCTTGGGATTTTCTCTACAGGCGATCCTGAACTGTTGGAAGATTGCGATGAGTCTGAGTCTGAGTCTGAATGAGACTCTTCTCTAATAGCACTTCTATCAGAATCGCTGTTTGAGGCTGTTGCATATGCCCTAGGAAGACCTGGCCTTTCATCATCACTGGATTCACTTCCTGATGAGTCGGAACTGTCACGCATCCTTCTTGAAACAAACTTTGTGCTGGACGATTCCTCTTTCTGTCGTCGCTCTTGTTTCTTATTTGAGTTGTAAGTAGAGCTGTTGCTGGCCTCAGCACCAGACTTTGAGCGTGATCTCTCTTTAGAGTTTGCCATAGCGGGAGAGTGAGATCTAGTTACTTTCTTTGAAGAGGAAGTTTTTCTTTCCTCCTTTTTCCGCTCAGGATCCCTTCCATGATCCCTGTCATTCTGACTCTTCTCCTTTCGACCGTCTGGCTTCCTTCCTTCACCCCTGTTCCCTCGATGATCATTCCCGCTCCTATCAGGCAACCTGCGCTCTCCTGAAGAATGGTGTTTACGATCACTACCATGTCTCTCGCTATCACCATGACGCTGCTTATGGGCTGTTCCTCTTGAGGAATGCAAATCATTTTCCCTGTCTCTCTCCTTGCCTCTCTCCCTATTCTTACTTCGGTCTTTTCTTCTGTCTCCATGAGGGGACCTACTCCTTGTCCTGCTTCTGGACCGTCCCATGGTGTACCTGATATAAAAGACATCAATAGAGTTATTATTAGTGATAACAAATAAAAATATCAATCAATATTAATCACCAAAAACTTGATTATGCTAGCTCAAGTAGACTTAGACAGAAATAACTGTCTGATATGGGTCATTTCTTTAATAAAACTGACATTTGTTGACATTCCCCATATACAATCAGAGGTCTAGTGGAGCCAGACATAGTCTCAGTGGAACAACCGACGATTAGAGAGACTGAACCTTTTGGTCTAAAGTAGTCATTCAGTGCCTAACCAAGACTTTGCATAAGACTTCACTATTTTCCAAATTTCAATAGGTATAAAGTTAGATCTAGGCGCTCTCTTCAGCTCAGTCTCAATCGATATCTCAATCTCATGAACCTTCTGAACCTTCTGAATTTGGAGTCAGCAGGGCGGTATTCCGCATGTCGCTAACTTGTACTGGGGGGTGCAGGTGGACCACTACACCGGGGTTTTCCCCTACTCTTTTACGAATAGTGTAGTGGGTTCTTAACGTGCAAAGGTAGTGACTCTTCTCTACACGGGGCCTCCATTTAACGTCCTATCCGAGGGACGGAGTGTTTTCCACTTGACATAACCTGCGTCTATGAACAAGGGAAGGGGCACGTTAACACACAACGCAGGCTTCAGTCATCCGCCTGGGTGGGAGTCGAACCCGGGATCTTTGGTTCGACAGACGGACGCTTTACCGACTGAGCCAACTCGCCTCATGTCATAAATTAATGACACAAACGCAAACTGACAAAGTTTTTGTCCAGACCAGAGACTCCAGAAGTCCAGATATAGAGTCTATGCAAAATAATAATATGTGAGGAATTATGTTTTAAAGCGTAGGGTACAATACAACTATCGCGACCAAAAGAATGGTAACTCATTTCACCAAAGACATGCATAGCAAAACATGATAGTCCACACATGGGACTGTACATTACAAACAGCAATATTATTAGTATTTGTCAAATACTTACGTCTGAAAAACTAAGTAAAATACCTCCTATACGATGCAGATAGTTTCTTGAAACTCCTACAATGGTCTCAAACTTGTTTGATGATTGACGACAATTTGTATAGGCATCTTCTTCAGAAAAACCCTGTGTCAGATTCCGTCAAATTCAGAGTCCACAAAATAGCTGGCCCTCTACGTGTACGTTTACGTCGCGACAGTGTGATTGATTTCTAAATGATCGAGGGTCGCGGGCGGGGGGCGGGGGGGGGGGGGGTGCTGTGAATCTGAATCTTTTCTGATACTGATATGGAGGGAGGGGGTTAACGCCATGGACCTGACGGCCGAGGGTACTGGGGTGCTGCTGGAATGCCTGTATTTCCTTGTTTTGTCAGTGACACCCCGCGTCCCCCATCCCAATTAATAGCTACTTTTGCAATGCGAGATCGATCGAGGGCTATATAGAGCTGCCTAGCCTTAGAAGACCTTATCAATTACACTATACTATAGTTTTGAGGAAAAAAGTGTTACTTTGTCATCACAGTCTCATACACCTCACAGCCTGAATTAATGAGGGATGATCACAAGATTTTAGTTTCATTTTGACATCGGGATGCCTCTTCTGCTATCACCTTGAGGGCCTTGGATATATACATATGCAAAACAAAAACAAAACTTTATATAACAAAAAGTCACAATGTCCGGCAGAATGAAAATATTGAGGACAATAACAAATATATTGGTGAGATGAAATGGGGAGGGATACCGACATATGAGAATCTAAGGGTGAGATATAATTTCTAAAGAAGAAATTATTATAAAGGTGGTGAATATAGAAAAGGCGAATGGGAGAGGATGTACAGAAAGTGAGAGAGAAGTAAGCAAAATAAAAATAACCAGACAGATCGAATGATCAAGTAAAAAGTATAAGGCAGAATAAGACGAATTCAAGATAATTAATAGCGACTATATGGAAGAAGAAATCAACTTATTTACAACCAAAAAAAAACACTCTCACCTTAAACGCAAACACAATATGGGTACATGCTTTTGTCTATAATACAAGAAATAACAGTTCCATGGATTGGTGATTCTATACTTTACAGTCTGAGATCAGGGGGCTGCAGCCTACCCCCCCCCCCCTCCCTGTTACACCCACAAATGTAATAACGCCCACAAAATGTAATAACACTTTACCCACAAATGTAATAACACCCACAAATGTAATAACACTTTACCCACAAATGTAATAATTTCACCCAAATTAATGTAATAACCACTTTACCCACAAATGTAATAAATTTGAAGGGATATTTTGTTGAATTTGTTCAAAACTAAAACCCTGTAATAAAGCATGGGTATAGCGCGCAGTCTTTACTCCAGACCCGGTTATTTAAAAAAAAAAAAAAAAATCTTCAAAACTAAGACCCCATAATCCTTTTCCTGTGGAAATATTCATTGCCTTACTTCTTGCATTTGCAAGTTTTACATATTATTGTATAATTCACTGTATATTTATTGTTATTTTTATGTATGTGGACCCCTTTGAAAATCAGCTGTGCTGAAAGGGCCATCCACCCTATGAGAGGAAATAAATAAATAAATAAATAAACACGGAAGGGGGAAGGGGTTTGATCAAGTTAGTTATTTTTTTAAAAAGTAGGCCTATACCATTTCTGAGCAACGTTCTATAATAAGGGGAAGAAAGAGAGAGGGGCGAGAGGGAGCGAGAGAGAGAGAGAGAGAGAGAGAGAGAGAGAGGGAGAGGGAGAGAGAGAGAGAGAGAGAGAGAGAGAGAGAGAGAGAGAGAGAGAGAGAGAGAGAGAGAGAGAGAGAGAAGAGAGCTAGAGAGAGAGAGGGGGGGCCGGGGGAGGTTGTACGTGGAATGTGGAATAAAAATAAAGGAAGGGGCTTGAGCCGAGAGAGGTATATATGCACCGGTTGAGACTGATATTGCATGGATGGGGGAGGTAATCAATTTTACATCATGATTATAATCATAATGTGAATATTTAGCGATTATATACAATCATGTGCTTTGCATGATGCATTTTAAGAAAAAAAATATGGAAGTGGACATTGTGAAAATTAGAGTTCCAGGAAAAATAATATATTTGCATTCCTAGCTTATTCATGAAATCGTATCTATTTTGCTCAGTGCGCTTTGCAAACTCATTAAATAAAAAATGTAATCGTTTATTCTATCACTCGGTATAATTTTGGAAGTAATGATTGCATTTCACAAGAAATATACATTCAGTCTGAAAGTAGACTATTCCGCGTAAATGCTGCGTCGCAGACCTAGCTTGTAAGTAGCGAGAAATTTGCTATTTTAACTTAGAAATGTTTAATATAAGTGATTACCAACATTTTTTATATGAAATTGATTACCACATAGTATGGAAGTGTTGTTATAAGTTGAAATGAAATGCGCATGTTTGTGAAAACCTAAAGACAATTTAGCGTGTCGTCCATTGACGTTTTCAGCGGAACACTTCAAGTTATCGAGCCAGAAGTTTAGGGGTAACTTGAGATCGGATACCGATGGTGGGCTTAATTTCTGGTGGCTGAGTGTCGTACCTAGTCTAGGGCTAGGCTCTATGGAGTATGGTGCATGCCCATGTGATTGTGAGTTGTGATGATGAGTATGCCCCTCCCTCTGTCACAATTTCTGTTTTCAGACTCGGTATTACAATATTAGGATAAATGATAGGGGGGATCTAAAATTTCTACATCATATTCTTACTCTAGATCGATCTAGATCTAGTATGATATAGATTCTAGATCTAGGCCTAATTCATACCTTTTGCAGGGCTTAAATTAATCCAACCAAGGGCAAGGCCACCAAGGGCATGGCCCTGGATGCCCCTTTGGTTGGCCTCAATGCCCCTCTCATTGGCCTTGGAGATTTTTTGTGCCCTTTCCAATTCTTCCTATTTGTGCTGTAATATAGGAATGTGCCCTACAGAAAAGTGGCCTTGCCCTAAAAATATTGAAATTTAAGGCCTGCTTTTGTTTTCTTTTAGCATTATGAAGCTGTATTATTCAAAACATTAGACAGTTGACAAATCTGTCATCATTGAGAAAAACTAGATGATAATTTGTTACCGGTAATCTAATTAGTTTTCTCTAACTTACTAGTTTTCTTCACTTTCTTGAGATTGTGACTGAATTTTATTTTACTTCTTTGGATCTACTTGCTCTTTTTCCTTTATTCTGCTTTTTCTTGCTTTTCTAATATCTTTTTAATTTTCTACTCTTCCCTCTGTTTCCTCGCCCTATTCATTTTTCTTGGTCCTGTTGTAAAATTGCCTTTTGTAAGCCAAATTATTGTACCCTATTTCGCGGACGCGTAAGTTCATACATGTCTTGGATGCGCTTACGCGTCCGTCCGTCGCCAACCTCTCAAAGACGGGCCTATAAGAGTCCCGGACACGGGCCGTCACCTCATTCTGGATTCTGATGAGCTGTTGACACACACACTTACTCCAGGATCGCTTAGTTTCCCGAATCATGGACTCCCGGCTCACCTCAAGACCCGGGAGTTAGCATGTTAGCTGAGCATCTTCAGCTATGCTGAGCTTAGCTGAAGGACAATTAGAGATAATATAAGGTTAGTTTAGTGTTTAGTCGGTGTCTTGTCTTTCCTTCTCCATTTCATACATTTCACCGCATCGTAAGTAAAAGTACGGTGGTAACTCCGCCATCATTCATCTATTATATAATAATAACCACTGATTTTACTTCATTGGCGCTGCGACTTTCATTCGAGCCTGCGCTTGGCTATATTTTTCCGTTCTATTGTATTTGTATTTTTCGTGTGTGTATTTCATTGCTGTGCAGTGATTCGTGATTTTACGGAATTTTCCGTCGCACGTGTCACATTTTTGAAGCGTGGGCAGCCATCTTGTTACGAATACATTTTTGGTTCGCCGTGTGTAGCGTGTGCATTGTGTTTACGTTTTCGTGTGAGCTCTTTCGAGTGTTCGCGCTAGCCTGGTATTACCAGGCGTTTGGTGTGTTTTGGATTTATTTTACTGTTGCGTGTGCCTTGCTTTATTTTCCATTCTTATAACTCGGCATAGATTTATTCTACGCCGGTTGTTTTTGTCTGGCATTTCACATATATTGTTCTAGTTTGTTGGATGCTGTCACTTTCGTGTCAGTATCAAATTGCACTTGCATTTCTGTCTCTTTCGAGTCCTCTCCTTTTCGTTGAAAGAAAAGTAGAGAAGGGGACAGAGTAGTTAAGAATAAATTTTAACTAGATAAATTAAATTAAGTTAATGCAAGTGATTGCACTTACTTGCATTTTTCTGTCTCTTTCGGTTCCTCTCCTTTTCGTTGAAAGAAAAGTTGAGAAGGGGACAGAGTAGTTAAGAATAAATTTTAACTAGATAAATTAAATTAAATTAATAATAATAATAATAATACATAACATTTATTAGGCGCTTAATACTGATGTTTCTAAGCGCACAGTGTTCTGATTAAGAGAAGACTATAACCCGTAGAATTAAATTAGAAGAAAAAGCAAAGATACAAAAGTAACATAGATAAGGTAAGAAAAACAGTGGCAATCAACTAAATAAAGATTAAATAAGTGATTGCACTTACTTGCATTTTCCTGTCTCTTTCGAGTCTTCTACTTTTCGCTGTAGAAAAGTAGGGAAGGGGACAGAGTATACTTAAGAATAAGTAACTAATTATTTTTTATTGAAATTAAAAATAATTAAGGTAGTTAAGACTTGGACTAAATTAATTAACTAATAAATGTGCATGTGTGTAGTTTTGCTGCATATGTGTACGTGTCATCGTAGGGAGTATTAATTTAATTTACTGAAATAAGCTTGGTTCCAATTTGGGATTTTATAAAGATCTGGAATTTGATCACTCTTTTTGAATTTCTTAACAAGGAGTTGTTAATTTCCTAACCTTGTAGTACCATAGTGGGGTTTACCAGCACTTTGGAGCAGGTTTTCTCGACTAGGTCTACACTACAGTAGTTTCGAGCTTGAGTAATTTGAATTTATTCAAATCTCTTAGCTCAATTACGGTTGGGGATTATTATATTAAAAGATTAGTCAGATTTCATTTTATATTTTTGAATTGATAATTCTCTAACTGTGTATTACCATAGTCTTGGTCGTCTGCACTTTGTGAGCAGGTTTTCTCGACTCGGTCTACAGTAGTTGGCGCTTGAGTGATTTAAATTTATTCACATCTCTTAGCTCAATTACGGTTGGGAATTATTATTTAAGGATTAGTCAGATTTCTTTTTATATTTTTGCATTGCTAATTCTCTAGCCTTGTAGTACCCGAGTCGTGTTCACCAAGACTTTTGAGCAGGTTTTCTCGACTCGGTCTACAGTAGTTAGAGCGCGAGTGATTTGAACTTAGGTCAATCTCTTGGCTCAAGGGTTGGGAGTTTATAATTGAAGGACTTTTCGGATTTCATTTTGGATTCCGACTCGGACTCTTGCATTGCAAAAATAGAGCTTTGTTAGCTAGATTTCTCACAATTAAAAGTAACAGACTTTAAAGTAACTGATTTAAAAATAAGTAACTGAATTCAAAGTAACTGAATTCAAGGAAACTAAACTCAAGGAAACTAAACTCAAGGAAACTAAACTCAAGCCCACTAAACTCAAGGAAACTGAACTCAAGAAAACTGAATTCAAGAAAATTGAATTCAAGAAATATTTATTCAAGAAAACTGAATTCAAGGAAACTGAATTCAGAGTAACTGAGTTCAAAGTAACTGGATTCCGATTGGCTGGACTCCGATTAGTTGGACTCTGATTAGTTGGACTCTGATTAGTTGGATTCCGAGTAGTTGAATTTAAAGTTGTTAGTTGATTTCAAAGTTGTTAGTTGAATTCAAAGTTGTTAGTTGAATTCAAAGTTGTTAGTTGAATTCAAAGTTGTTAGTTGAATTCAAAGTTGTTAGTTGAACTCAAAGTTAAGTTGAATTCAAGGTTAGTTCAATTCAAAGTTAGATCAATTCAGAGTTGGTTCAATTTAAAGTTGGTTTAATTCAAAGTTGGTTTAATTCAGAGTTGGTTGAATTCAAGTTTGGGTTAATTCAAAGTTGGTTGAATTCAAAGTATATAGTTGAATTCAAAGTAGTTGCATTTAGAGTAATTGAATTTTGAATTCGAATGTCTGTATTAGGTTTATGGAGTCAAGAGAAGCCGATGGCTTCCCAAGCTGGTGGAACTGAGGCAGTCGTTTCCAAAGCTATATCCGAACAAGATGTTGAGCGATTGGTGGAAGCGAAATATAAGGCAGTAATAGAGGCTCTCCAGACCACTCTTCGGAATCAAGGTCAGCAGCGTGTTGCAGCGGAAGCTCCTCCTCCTATGGAGAGGCTTCCAGCTCGACAGAGTTCGCCGCAGTATACCAGATACCAAGATTATCGGCATACTGCCCATCAACGTGATGGTTTTCCTCCTCCACCACATGTGCACCGATCTCAGGATACCCATAGTTCCCACTTATTTCGTGGGGATGGTAACCGTGAGAGGGGCCACAAGTCTGTTTCCTGGCCCAAGTCCATGGTTTTCGATGGCCGCGGGAGTTGGCAAGCGTTCATCGCTAAGTTCAACCTTGACGCTGAGGCGTTTGGATGGACTTTGAGCCAACGAAGGAATCAACTTTGCTGGTGCTTGGGTGGAAGTGCAAGCGAGTATGTCTCATTGCTCGTTAAGCATGAACCTCATCTTGGGTTTGCGGACTTAGTCCGGAAACTGGAGAAGCGGTTTGCATCAAGGGACGAAGTTGCACAATTGCAATTTAATTACGCGAGGCAGCAACCCGAGGAATACCATGTAGATTGGGCGAACCGCCTTATGACATTGGCTGCTCATGCCTTTGCAGATTTACCGGACCACCATGTTGAAAAACAGGTCGTCCATAGATTTTGCCAAGGATGTTTTGATAGAGAGGCTGGGCACTATGCTATTTATTATTGCCCTAGATCTTTGGATGAAGCCATCGACTTAGTGAGATGGTTTCAGCATACCCATAAGGCAATTCATGACAAATCGCGGAAGGAAGTCAGACCAACGTCTGTAGAGGTATCTGCGGAGGAGCCAAGGATTAGCCGTACAGCTACACCTGATCCTCCGCAACAACAACCACAACCCTCCCGATTGGACAGGATTGAAGTTTCGAATCTGGAGAAGAAGGTGGATCAGATCCATGGTTCTGTTTCTTCGATTGAGACTCAAGTGAAGAGTTCATATTCTTCAATTGGATCTCAAATGAAGAACCTTCAATCCACTGTCCAGGGACTCGTTGTTGTGCAGAACTGTTCTCGAGTCGAGTCTGACTTACCTGAACCTGATTTCGGTCAGTCCGGATTGGATTTGCCTGGACCAAATTTAGGTCCGCCGGGATTGGACTTACCTGAACCTGATTTCGGTCAGTCCGGATTGGATTTGCCTGGACCAAATTTAGGTCCGTTGGGATTTGACTTACCTGAACCGGATTTGGGACCGTCGAGAATGGATTTGCTTGTGCCTGATTAAGGTCAGTCCGTAAGAGTGGACCTGCCTGAAGTGGTGTTAGGTCAGTCAAGATTAGACTTACCTCAACTGGATTTAGGTCAGTTGACTGGATTAGAATTACCTGAACCGAATTTCGGTCAGTCAACAAGAGTAGACTTACCTGAACTAGATTTCGGTCAGTCAACAATAGTAGACTTACCTGAGCTGGACTTGGACGTACCTGAATTGAATGTCGGTCAGTCCGCAAGTCTCGAGTCTGAACTTCTTTCCGGAGAAGACCCATTGGACCCATTGGATGAGGAGGTTAATCCGAAACCTGGGTTGTCTCAATTAGGTATGAGTAAGTCAACTCTTCTAGACAAGGGGTGTAGTCAGGTTCCTGGCTTCTCCTGCCATGGCCCCCTCCTTCTGTTGATGAATCAACGGATGTCGATGTGCCTGAATGTCCCTGGGTTCTCCCACCATGGCCACCTCCTCCTGTTGATGAATCAACGGATGTTGATGTGCCTGAATGTCCCTGGTTTCTCCCACCATGGCCACCTCCATTTGATGAATCAACGGATGTGGTTGTGCCTATCGCACAGGATTGGCCAGCGGAAGTGATAGTGTACAAATTATGTAGCACTTTGATTTTTTGTTGGTCAAGGAGAAAGCTGTCATCGTCAAGGTACCTCTCTCTCCATTTCTAGTTTGTATGGGTTTTGTATCTCTCCCTCAATTTCTAGTTGGTATGGGTTTTGTAGACTCTCTCTCAAATTCTTGTTTGTATAGGTTTTGGTGTAATGCTTCCATTACCTGCTCATAGGTAATGAAGTTGGTTCTCAGGGGACTAACTTGGGGCATTGCACTTGTCTTTCTGGGTGATGTTGGGGTACTAGGAATTTCCTTCTCGGATCACATAGAACTTTCGGAAAGTTCTTGAGCGTTTCAAGGTTTTCAAGCTAAAGCTTAAACCGAAGAAATGTTCGGTCTTCCAGAGAAGAGTCGAGTTCCTGGGTAGGGAAGTAGATGCCATTGGTCTTCATCATGTTAGGGATTGGCCCGTACCTACAAATACAATGGAGGTTGAGCGATTCCTGGGCTTGGTTAACGATCGTAGGATCTTTCTCAAGAAATATGCTTGTACGGTGGCACCTCTTTATGGACTCACTGGAAAGCATGCTCCTCGTTGGGAACCTGAATAACATCAGGCTTTCGAAGAGGTGAAAGATCTTACATGACATCTGCCCCTGTTCTGACATTGCCTATAGTAGTAGTAGATTATGTAGTTCTGTTAGCCAAGAAGTCGGATTTGGTCTCGGAACCCAGGTCAGGTCATGTTTATAAAAAGTTAAGTTAGATAATCCAGGAGATTATGATTATAATTTGAGTCATATCAGAAGAAGATCTTGGAAATAAATTCTTATGGAATGAGTAAGAGTTATTTTTTTGTTAAAGGTGACCTGATTTGGAAGAGAGACCAAGAAGATGGCCCAATAAAGTGATTCCTTGTTTATTACAACGGGAAGTGATCCGGTTGAATATGATGTCCCTTCGACTGGTCATGCTGGTGTTAACCCTACCGGGAGTATAATCAGGTCCGGGTATTTCGGGTATGGCATGTCGAGGGATATTAGGGCGTGTGCTCCATGCAAACAGTATAACAAATCTGTTAGATATGGAAAATGCTCCCCGATTGATTATTCTCGATCTGGTCATGCACAGACAACCGTGCTCTTCCGCAGAATGTAATTCAAGGAAAGGAATTATATTGTTTTTTTAATGGCTAAGGCTATCGATAAGTATTGTTCCAGCATCGGTTCCCCAGCTTGAGTTTAGCTGGACCGGGGTTGACCTGAGGCGGAACTTAGCAATGGATAGGCTTCTAGTCCATATGGTATTTCATTTCTGTTGAAGCAATCCAGGTGTCCTTGGAATATTTTTACAGGATTATCCGTTGTATAAATACAGGATTCACCGTTGTATAAATACAGGATTTTCCAAATACTCATTTGTTCTGGAATGTGCATTAGACTCGGTCACTGTACGGTTACCTTGAGTCTAGTGTACTTGCAAATTCATGGATTGTATTAACGGACTGTAACTTTTTTATATATTCTGTAACTCTTTATATATTCTGTAACTCTTTATATATTCTGTAACTCTTTATATATTCTGTAACTCAGTTTCCCCCGGTTTGTTATGCTCTAATAGGAGAGTTTTTGAGATTTTGCAATATCTGAGATATATGCTACAATCTAATTAACCGGGAGGAATGTTGTAAAATTGCCTTTTGTAAGCCAAATTATTGTACCCTATTTCGCGGACGCGTAAGTTCATACATGTCTTGGATGCGCTTACGCGTCCGTCCGTCGCCAACCTCTCAAAGACGGGCCTATAAGAGTCCCGGACACGGGCCGTCACCTCATTCTGGATTCTGATGAGCTGTTGACACACACACTTACTCCAGGATCGCTTAGTTTCCCGAATCATGGACTCCCGGCTCACCTCAAGACCCGGGAGTTAGCATGTTAGCTGAGCATCTTCAGCTATGCTGAGCTTAGCTGAAGGACAATTAGAGATAATATAAGGTTAGTTTAGTGTTTAGTCGGTGTCTTGTCTTTCCTTCTCCATTTCATACATTTCACCGCATCGTAAGTAAAAGTACGGTGGTAACTCCGCCATCATTCATCTATTATATAATAATAACCACTGATTTTACTTCAGTCCTCATCTTTTTTCTTCTTTTCTTCTTTGGATTTTTTTTATTGTTTCTCCCCTTGTTCTCTGTTTTATCTCCTATTTATAGGCCTACTTATTCTGTAAATATGTAACTTGAATGAGAAATATATATATACATATATAACCAGGGATATCCATGATATGACATCGCACTAAAAGTAGCGGTACCGTATTACAATTGTGAATTACATTTGTTAAATACAAAGTGCTTGAACAAAACCTGGAAAGTTTGAAGCAAAATATTATCTCAAAGTGTATGGGTTTAAGTTACTTTGTTACGCTAATGTAGCACAAGTAATAAAGATAAACAAGAACACAACAATATACAGTATAGGCTATATTTATAAATATATTTTGGAGAGTACTGGTTAATGTTGTTTCTCATACTTAGTAAACTTGCATAAAAATTTTGGTTAATTTCATACCATAACCCAAAACCATTTATAGTTTAACTTTGAGATATCTACGGGAGCTTAGCCGCTCACTGCAGTTATTTTTCTCCTTTGCCTTTGTGTTCATAGTACATGCAAATCCTCCCCCATCATACCACTAATTCACACCCATTTAAAATCAGTGTATTTGTCTCATTGTTTTTTGCTAGGTTATCAGGTGACTGAGTTGTTCAACTTTGAGCCTGGGAATTAGAAGACCACGTTTGCTTCAAGCAATGGTTAGGTTGAAGAACAGGTAAGCGCAATATGCTTTTTAGTATTTTTAAATTAACCTCAGCATTTAATTAAGTTAATCTTAGAGGAAGACATACAAAGTGTGGTTTTAAAAGTGAAATTGCATATAAGAATCTCCATATTGGCAAATCGAATGCTTTGATCCAACTTTCCTCCCACCAGTTTGGGTTTTTATCAAGTCTGCAATTTGTGTTTGCCTTGATTTGATTACCGGGTAGTTCCTGTAGTTTGTTAGATAGTAACACTTAGATCAAACTTTTAGAGTTGATGACCTAAGATAAAGGGAAGGCTTCTTTATTCAACTGCACAGTCAAATGTATTTATTTATATTTTCATGATAGTAAAATACATGTAGCCTATATATTGCACACTACCGTATTTGCCGGCCATAAGGCCGCAGCGCCGTATAGGCCGCACCCCCGATTTTGACATTTAAAAAAAAAAAAAAAAACTTTTGTCAAAGTCGGGATTTGATCTCTTGCGTACAAATGTTGATGTGACTAAAATCACTGCCTTAGACCGCTCGGCCATCCCGCACTGATGCTAGCATATGGAGTTTTCTGTGATCAATACATTGCGCCTCTCTCTTGTGTATTGAAATGGATTCAAAATAGCGACTTCGCGTGCTGGATGCTTCGCAGCAGCTTCGTTAAACGGGCCCTTCTTTTACTTTTGCAATGCGTTGGCACGGACTTAGATCAAGATCTATCAGCAGATGTTGTTTTTGGAAGTTTATTTTTGTCTTCATGTCAACAATGCAAGATAAAATTGTCGGTAAGATGTGTGGAAATGTATAGTTATTGTACCGTTCGTAGATCTAGTCCCATATGTGCAAATTCGTGCTGGTTTTGACTTACTTTTTTATATATTTTTTACTCTTTTGCCTCATAGGCCGCACCCCGACTTTTTGATATTTATTCTTCCAAAAATACTGCGGCCTTTACGCCGGCATATATGGTAATTAACACCCTAATCAATTTAAGAAATGGTTTGGCATTTTCATAGTCATGCCTGTTATCTCTTCATCACTTTAGATATGTGCTTGGGGAGCTAATACTGGACGATGGCCGGACAGCGACCGAGGCCAAACTGAATACACGTGTGACACAGCAGGCTATCCATACAGTTATCAAGCAGTTACATGGCGACTTTGGTATTGGGGCTGTTACTGCAGGTTTTGTTGGTAAGCAATCAGTACCTTAGATTGTATTCTATGAAAACATTTTGTCTTTTTTTGTGCAGATGTCTTTCGGAACTGTGTGCAGCCACCTATTGGCAGTCTTTGGCTAAGGACTCATCTATATTTGAGATATGTTTTATCGCCCATTAAGATATAAGATTAAATGGTTCTCAGAATACCACCCCATATTTCTATTGATGCACATTGTACCCGATATGAATCTAAGGATACAAAGTGCTTAATCTTTGTACAAAGAATAAATAACAGACAGGTAGTACATTACACTTGATGAGCTAGATGTATTTAAAGCTGTTGAATATCAACTAGACCTAATATCATTTTTATTAGATTTGCTGGTTATCAATTATTGAATTGTTTATCAGAAGCTTTTGATACACTTGTGCAAAATTAGAAAGCAAAGTAACTTTTGCATTATTTTAGTGCTCTCCAGTATTCTGTTATTTTGAAATGTTAGTCGGGTCTTGATCAGCCATTTACAGACTAACAGTTTTGTAACATTTTCGTTCAAGAAATGAATTCAATTTGTAGACATCTTTCAATGGTAATGAAGAGGTGTACAATACAGAGTGCCATAAGAGAATGTGGCAGAAGAGATACATTGTATGATCTATTTAAAGTAAATATTACTATTATTATTCTTTGTGGATGTTTGTTGTTTGATAGTTAAGTACGTGGGACTGCAGACCAACACTGTACTCATCAAGGTTCGTCACAGGGCCATCAGATATCTCACGTCCTCTCTCCCGTTTGTGATGTCAATCTCCAAAGTCCCTTGCTGCTTCCTAACCCTCCATGTTGCTGGTGAGTTGCACTAGTTTTTTCTGTAACTTTGTGGTAATCTTGAAAACTGGCAGTTAAAATGTAATTTGAGAGAAACTGTTTCATAATCACTCTGAATCATGAAACTAAGAGATTTTCTATTCTTATAGGCCTATCCCTATTGTTGTATTTTGAACAAAATATTTGTAATGGAGAAGGAATACCAGTACTGGTAGCTGGACAATGTCGCGTGGGCTCACAATGCTGTTAATTAGGTTGGCATCTTTTGCTTTTGTCATGTCAATATTTTATGCAAAACTATGATTATTTGTAGGAAAATTACTTAGTTGTAGATATTTATCTTTCGCTTCCTGAGATTGCATAAATATGTGCTTCGGTATACTGAAAGTAACTTATTGGAATATTTGGATATATGTTCTTGTTGGTAATCATAGTTTTCCAAACAGCAAGTATTTTTCTTTTTGTGTTTTTGGATTCCAGGTACCATGAGAGCATGTCAGAAGTTTCTTGTGAAGCATGATAGGAGACAGTTAACAATCCTCTTCAAGAATAGCAAGACACAAAGTGAGCATTGTCTACCGGTACTTCAACTTGCACAGATCCTTGTCAACTTCAGCTTACCTTTCAATGTGGTGGTGGGGATGGGGGGGGGGGGGGGGGGGGTGTTACAAAAATAATGGGGAAAGATAAAGGTTATATGAATACACACCAACCAATTGTAACAATCAACTCTCATATGTAATGACATAGGTACGAAAAATGCAGCTTGGGATTTGGAGGAAACTACATGTAATTTGTGTCTTTTGTTTTCACCTGGGTAAATTCATACAAAGGGTTATCAATTCATGAATTTCTTTGTGGAATCATCCTTATTGTTATTGATAGTGATATATATATATATACATCATTTCTATTACAGTAAAAACCAGAAACTTTCATGACACAAAATGTTCACAAATTATTAAAGATGACAATTGTGAACATTTCTTTCATGTGAAATTTCTGGTTTTACAGCAGAACACTCCTTTTTTTTTTTGGGGGGGGGGGTGTGTTTATATTTAATCATTCATTGCTCTTGTTCTTTATTCCCCACAGCTGAGCGTAACACAGTTCTTGATGCTCTAAAGCGCTGCCAGGCCAAGGAAACGTTATGGGTGGAACCCAAAGATGATTCATTTACAGATGATGATGACAGTGACGAGGGCAGGTGACCCGTGTCGTCATTTAAAAAAGTTTCCTCAGAAACAGGGGATAATGACTATGTTTCTTCATCAACGCAAGGATGATGATACTACGATCAGACTGTGTACTGTATACAGGAGTTCAGTCACTTTTTTGCTTGGTCATGGATGGTGCGACACAGCGTCCAGGATGGAAAAGTGACGCAACATGTACCTACCAATATTGCCAGATTTCTCTTGTGTGGTCAGTCTTCTGAAATTGGACTCCAGCTACTGTGAACTGCACAACCATAAGTTGTCCATACTGTATTTAATAGCCACATAAAAGCCTCAGGGATGCCAATTTTAGGCCCTGGCAAGTTATTTTCAGACCATAGTTTAGGCTTTTTTATGTACAAAATAGCTCATTCTAGGTGATTTTCAGGCCCTCTGATCAATTCTAACTGGCATCCCTGAAACCTACATGATGATATGATTTGTTTGAATTACGTAAATGTATGTAAACTTGATCAAGGCATTAATCTACATTTGCCACTACATACCCAGGAGAGAAATGGGGACCCGTTAAAATGACGAAAGCATTTGTATTAGTAATTGCCATATGCCCTCAATGGTAACCATATAGAATGTACACTTCCCAGGGAGTGGAGATGGTGTACATTGTACGTGTCTGGAATAAATCAGATGACCAGGGAATAATATCCGTGAAACACATAGAGATGGTATTTCGTATTAAGCACTGTATAAATCTGTATTATTATTATTATAATTATTTTCATTATTAAACTAGGGTCATAATTAACAGTGCATTCCTCTGTCCCCTAAAGACATGGGCCGTTATTAAAGAATTTTTGTCATGCAGAAATGGAAAATAAATTATCAATGCGAAACCACACAAACTTGGGAGGATTTGTAAGTAGTCCAGTTTCATGGAAGCTTCGAGCCTCAAAAAATCATATGAGCACAACACTAAAGTTTTGCTATCTTTAATAGTTTCTAGCCTTAAAAATGGCAGTCATTAATGGTATTCTTCTGGGCTCTTTTTGGTATAACTGGTTATCAATAATAAGATACAATGATCGTTATAAGCTACTAAAATTCTTGCATTTGATTGGCTATGAGCAGATTTGTCGTAGATTTGTGGCAGATGTTTTTGACAAGTTTAATGTAACGGGGCCTGGGTTTACAGTATTGTTGTATGGCACTGTGTGTGCGACAAGCTTCATTAATTGTTTCTACAATTCTTTCGCTCATGAACTTTTCGTTGATTTTGTTTCATTTCTATGATTTCATATACATAATTTGAACAAACTGTGCTGGGTGGTTTAGCTAGGAAACTGCTGTTAAACAGGTAAAGTTAGAGATTTTTCTCCAATTTTGTATTTATTTTTCAAATGAAAGAAAATTGACCTTGTGATGTGACTGTAATCATGTTTTGTATTATATAAAACTTTCATTATTTGAAGGTAAACATCTTTTAGTGTTGTGTTTTCTTTTTCTGGATTGTTTGGTGCCTAAGCCTAAAAATATCTAGCTGTGATTTAGGTCATGCCCCAGGAGGAAATAATTTGTATATTTAAACATCAATAGGCCTGCCTTCATCAGCTCGAGATTGCCAAATATCCCGCTATTTGAACTATCCCGATCGCAAATTATCCACTTAATTTGTGTCTTCATCAGCCCAAAGTTGCAATTAGCGGGATATTTGGTCGAGATAATCATCCCAAGATATCTTTGGCTAGTTTACAAAATATCCTGCTATTTGTCCGGTGTGTCTTCACCAGCCCAAAGACTTGCATTTGTAACTTCTCAAATCAGAAATAGCCGGCTATTTTGCAATCTCGAGCTGATGAAGGCAGGCCTATTGATGTTTAAATGTACTCTATATTTATAATCTACAGCACTCATCACTCATTCTTTGGACAAATTGGAGACAAAAAAACATGAAACTCTAAAATATCTGTTGTTGTACACTTCAGATTTATTGATGTTTCTCAATAAATACCTTTCTTCTATAAATGTGTTCTACCCGACATATCTCTCAGAAATCAGAAAATGAAAAAGAAAACAGAAAAAAATTAAACTAAAAATGTGAAAGAAATCTATACAACTACATCCATTCTGACATATATACTCTTTACCTCTGCTTTAAAACGCAGGAGAAAATGATGCCAAGAATTCAAAATGGCTTCTGGTTATTTTTTTCTCCTTGAGAAAAGTGATAAAGAAACTGAGTAACATGCATCACTAAAATTCACATCAAATATCTTTCTGTGAAAACACCCAATAAACTCTGTAGTAGAAGTCGAGTATAAAAATGTGTTTATAAATAAAGAGAAGTTTTTGTAGATTTGCTTTACGACCTATCTACTTGTGCCGATGAACGCTGAATAAAGACAATTGAACTGCAAAAATTCAAAATGATCTAGCATGATAAATAATATCATAAATTTTTCAACTTTCACTAAGCTGAAATTTAATTTTTTCCATGATAACGACTGCCCAAAGTCTTGAACTTAAACAATCCAACATGCCCTCATTGCCTACCCCCACCCCAACAAAAAAGGTTAATTGTAAGACTGATATGATTTAAAAGGTAACCATAGTTTTGCAAATAGGTCTGCAGTTCAAAATCAACTGTCTGGTTATGTAGTGAAAAGAAACAGGTATATTCTGATGATTTTTTAACAGCAAATTTATTGTTGTAGTTCACTGTGAATTAAATTGCTATAATTGCCAAAAAAAAGATAACCTTTTAATGAACTACTCCTGAATAAGGCCTCAGATGGAACTACAAAAGAAATACCAAGTTGACGAGTGAACTACAACCTAACTATTCAACACAAAACGCAGCAACTCTACAATGTCACTTCAGTTGAAATATTTTTTTAGAAGAGAAAAAGACACACTCTTGTATTGTAAGGCAGCATAACCACAAGGTACTCTATAGATCCTAGACTATACATTAGCTCCAATCCTGGTTGGTCTAACTTCTGGTCCAGACCTTAGTCCACATCCTCATCTAGATCTTTGTATAGATCTTGGTCTAGATATTTGTCTGACTCATGGTCTAGATTCTGATCTAGCTGGTGGGCCAGATCTTAAGTCTAGACTCGTCTAGAATATGGTCTACATCCTTGTCTAGATCTTGGTCTAACTCTTAGTCTAGATCCTGGTCTATCAAAGAACAACTCTCATCTCAAAAGACTTTATGTGACACATTCACTGAGAAACGAACATAACAACCATGGAATCAACTCGGTATAGTTAACTTTGTGGACTTGTTAATATCCACGATCAAACTTCACACCTATATACACTGTGCATTGTCTACACTCAAATGTCTGTTTGGCCACCTGTTTTTCAATATACATTGGTCTACAACTTTCTGCTAAATCAGTAATGATCATCCCTCGTGTTTTATTACTTTTCCAGGTTTCTGTGTGTACAAATGCCCTTATTTTTCATATCATAATTCATTTCATTAAGAAACACATTTAATCATCAAGTTTAATCTTCTCTTTAAACTTAAACTTACCGGTACTTGTATATTTTTATTGAAAAAAAAGTTTACATGAAGATATATTGATATGTATTTATTGATATGTCAAAAAATAAAACCTCTCCCCTCTACACCCATTAATTACCAGCTGTTTTTTTTGGATAAGTGCACCGTGTACTATATACCTGTTTAAATATTCGCTAGCTACCAATGTTTACATATATATACTGTCCTCATACCCAAGAAATATCTACAGCACACACACACTGTTCTGAGAGTAAACAAAAGATGTCTTAGCATCTATTCTTAGATTAATTTAATTCAGATTGGTTCAAAGGTACTGTTTAACATTTTCATTAAATGAAAATGATGGAATTCTGCACAAATGTATGATAAAGTCCCATGCAAAATCATTCACCCTTTCGTGTTTTACAAGAGCTTTTAAAATTATGTTTTTAGTTATTTTTCAACAGAAATACATATACATCACCTATTTTAGGTTTGTATAATATGTGTGTATTAAAAAAAAAAATTAAAAAAACGTTGGTTGCTGTTGTTATCTTTCTCCAGTATTTTATAGGATAATTTTGTGTCATATTACGTAAAGTGTTAGACAGTACCTTAAAAATGTAATGATTTAATGATCTTGTTTACTGCTTTACAACATGCTTTGTTACCAGCACCAAGATATCAAAGCTTTGTGCTTCTTTCAATCACCAACAAGTAAAACTTTTTGAATACCTGACCTAAATATTTAATGGCCTCTATCAAACAAAATTAAATGAAAGAATACTTGATTATATGATGATGCGTTGACCCTGGTATATCACAAATCGTAATGTCAAAAATACATTTCAAAATTATATCTAGGAATGTCCTAAAGAGAGGAACGCTATGCTCTGATATTTCATTTTGTTTCGATTCAGGTAATTGTCATTGTCAAAAATGTCATGGTTAGTATCTTCTCGTTTAAAACTCCCCACTGTAATGATTAAATGATCAGTATGACAGTAAATGACAAATTAAAAAAAAAAAGTTAAGTACAGTAAATATATAAATTCATGTTTCTATTCTTTTTCAAATTTCTCCTCATTTTGCTTACCTTCTTGCTTTTAAAAACTTACTGTTTGTATTTTGGGATTGGGGGCTTTTCAAATGGACTGAATATGCAATTTCAGATCAATGGGTGGCTATTTTATATCAAAATGAGTTGCATCACAGTAAATTAAAATAGTTCAGTATTGATAAACTTCCCAAACATCAGTATATCAAAATAGCAAAAGTTCATGAAAAAAAAAATCCCTGAATGTTTTTTTGACACATATCAAATTATCAATACCAAAAGTGAGATTGTTATTTTCTATGGTTTCTACAAAGTCATTTATGACTAAGAAACCAGTTTAACTTGATAAATCCCTGTATTACATATACATCTGATATCTCTATTACAATTAATCAGTGTGCTTTTCTTGCAGTTACCATGCAATCGATGGTGCAAGTTTACCTGAATTTCAAAAATTCCTCTGACTAAGAATAGACTGTACAAGTAGTTGCAGTTCAACTGCGCAGCAACATCTTTGTGTTGCGTTTAGTCTTAATCTCTCTCCCTCTCTCTCTCTCCCCTCTCTCTCTCTCTCTCTCTCTCTCTCTCTCTCTTGCACAATCACACATTTACCTTTATCAAATAGAAAATCACACAATCAAATATATATAGGCAAAATCATCAACTATAATAGATATAACACAATCCACATAGTGGGGCATCCCCGAAATGAGAATTAAGAAAATATTGGGCTATTACAATATGCTGCATCACTGATCAATAAATTAGGCAGTGTATAATGGTGATTTGTAATCAAGGACATCACGTGGGGTTTTTCCCTTATCTTTTCAAATAGGTATTACACATGAATGCATAGGATTATTAAAACATTGCTGAAAATAAGTGGAGAGAGTTATTGAGAGCAGTATCTTATTCACATATTTTTAATATCCCATGACTTTTAATGAAAATTTCCAGTAAAAACGGAGCTACATGTACCATGTAAGCAAAATTATTAGCTCTTTATGATGCTGTTATAAATTTCAAAACTTGGCTTTCTTTTCTTGAAATGGAAATTACAAAATGTTTACTTTACTATGTATTTGATCCCATCTGTGTAGGCACATGTTTATAATTAAAAAGTTTAAAGAAACAAGCACTTTACATTCAACTTGTGTGCTATACCTTTCTAGTAAATATATACACCTTTTTTCTTTTTTCTCTTTTTTCTTTCTCTCACAATAACAGTGAAAAGATATCCTAATATATTGCATTCTTTGGGTGTTTAACTATAATCTCTAATCGAATAACAAATTTGAATAACTTACAGTGATTGCATTCCAATCATGTCATAAATATTGTTTTCATCTTCGGTTGAAAATGCTTGTAGAAAAAAAAATTATCACCATGACAATTTGAAATTTACTGTGCAATGCTGTGGAGATTTAATCAAATAAATGGACTTGGTGCAGTAGAGTTATGCACGTTTAAGAGCTTATCAAATAACCAAAAGAAATTATTCACTGATCATACAATAGTGTGTATGAGAGAGAGATTGAGATGTATTTTTAATAAAAGTGTTCATAATTCAACTAAAAACCTTCACATTTTGCTTACACTGCTCTCAGTAAAATGAACTTGAAGAAAATACAAGTTATGAACTAAGATCAAAAGCAAAGCAAGGAAATACAATTCAAAAAGAGAAAAGCAAAGAAACGACTAGATTTATCATACATGTGCATAAACCACTAGATCCAATGTGAATTTAATGCTTTTGAATAATTAAATGTGAATACATAAACATCTAACTTCTACATTTTTTTCAATATTTTTCTTTATTTGAAAAGGGATCATTATCTGACAACTCCTTTTGTGTATCAAACATCATACCTACACACTATGAAGTTTGTCTTTGTATTGCTAAGTTTAAATACAAATAGTCCTATACAACTCTTCATAATTTCACTATGAAAATTGCATAAAAAGAAAGATATTTCTGCACGCAATCTCCAACTAATAAAACATCAACCTATTTTCAATCCAATCGGGACTGAAAACCCGGATTCTGGCTTGTAAAACAGCCCTGGATTAACTTGAAATCAAACCAATGACTAGGCAATCAATATTCATCTTCAAACTCCATTTCGTAATCCAAAACTCTAATTATCTCCACCAATATGCATTCACGTTCGACCCTTTGATATCCAATAGAATGGTGGTAGTTATATTTCACAGGTGCGGTATCAAAGGCTGTCCAATTCTCATCCGTTTCTTTGTTCCTGTCTCGGTGGAAGAACTCTGTCTTGGGGCGTCAAGACTTCATTTTCTTCCCAAGTAGTTGGAACCTGGTGTTGATTGTCGTGAAGACGGAAGGATGAACCGAACAGCCAACAAAAAACAAAAACAAGTGGAAACAAGGGGAAACAAAGAGACAAAAACACATAATAATGAAACATACAGAGGTGACATGGGACACAGGTCGGGCAGAGTGCAATTTTGATGAAAGGAGAGGAGTTGTAGTTTCATGAATTTTTAAGGGGCAAATTTAGATGGTGAGAAACACAAACAGAAATTTGGAAAACCAATACAAAACGATAAAAAAGGGTGTTTTTTTTTTTAGGGGGGGGGGGGAAGAAAAGGATAAAAACAGAGAAAGAAGAAACAATCATGAATATAAAATAATATGAAAGAAAAATAACAGAAGTGGGGAGAGAATGACATATAAAACATAGTCAATGAATTTTGCATGTTGTGTTTCATGGTAATATGCATTGATATCATAAAGAAACATGACACATTCCTTGTGGGTGCAACTGATATGAACATTACATTCATGAGATCTGACTGACCCAGGGCATCCCTAAGATGACCAGGGACCCATTTCACAAAGCCTTTTTTCAATGACAAATGACAAAAATCAGTGACAAATCTGCTGATAACCAATCAGAAGCAAGGATTTCAGTAGCTTATAACAAAAACTGTCATTTGTCACTGATGACAAGTTTTGTGAAACGGGGCCCTGAACAGACAGGTATGAGGAGGAGATTGCGGTCAAGCAAAATGTGCCACCATGTCTGCCATAGAGGCTTCAGTAATATTTGAAGAAATGCTTTTTTTTTAAAAAGAGTCGTAGGAATTTCAAATATTTCTTCAATTATTGATTCGCTGACATGTTAAAGAGAAGAGGGGGTGGGTATCACGCTCTAGCAATGCTCTATTCATGGTCTTCCACCAATTTCAATCATTTTTTTTTTCAACAGGCAAGTTGAAATTCCATTGTCCATAGTAAATGGGCATATCAATTGGTAAACAAAATTGTGCATGGTAAAATTATGTTCAGCCGTCCCATTTTATCTGCATTCGGTCACATTTAAAAACTAGATGGAATTTTGACTGCGCGCAGTCGAAAATGATGCCTCCGCCATAGAGCAATTTAAACAAGTTTGGAGTTTAAATCTCCAGTGGTTCTTGAGATATCATGATAACAATCTCAATGTATGGAATTTCATAAGTTGACCTCTGTGACCCTTGACCTTTGACCTACGTGCTCCAAAATCTAATCAGATTGTCTTCCTATGGTGATACACACTATCATTAAGTTTGAAGTTTAAATCTCCAGTGGTTCTTGAGATATTATGATATGGTGATACATACTATCATTAAGTTTGAAGTGAAAATTCTCCAGTGGTTCTTGAGATATCGCGATAACGATCTCAATGTATGGAATTTCATAAGTTGACCTCTGTGACACTTGACCTTTGACCTACGTGCTCCAAAATCTAATCAGATTGTCTTCCTATGGTGATACACACTATCATTAAGTTTGAAGTTTAAATCTCCAGTGGTTCTTGAGATATTATGATAACAATCTCAATGTATGGAATTTCATAAGTTGACCTCTGTGACCCTTGACCTTTGACCTATGTGCTCCAAAATCTAATCAGATCGTCTTCCTATGGTGATACATACTATCCTTAAGTTTGAAGTTTTTACATCTCCAGTGGTTCTTGAGATATCATGATAACAATCTCAATGTATGGAATTTCATAAGTTGACCTCTGTGACCCTTGACCTTTGACCTACGTGCTCCAAAATGTAATCAGATTGTTTTCCTATGGTGATACACACTATCATTAAGTTTGAAGTTTAAATCTCCAGTGGTTCTTGAGATATTATGATATGGTGATACATACTATCATTAAGTTTGAAGTGAAAATTCTCCAGTGGTTCTTGAGATATCGCGATAACGATCTCAATGTATGGAATTTCATAAGTTGACCTCTGTGACCCTTGACCTTTGACCTACGTGCTCCAAAATCTAATCAGATTGTCTTCCTATGGTGATACACACTATCATTAAGTTTGAAGTTTAAATCTCCAGTGGTTCTTGAGATATTATGATAACAATCTCAATGTATGGAATTTCATAAGTTGACCTCTGTGACCCTTGACCTTTGACATACGTGCTCCAAAATCTAATCAGATCGTCTTCCTATGGTGATACATACTATCCTTAAGTTTGAAGTTTAAATCTCAAAATGGTTCTTGAGATATCGCGCTAACAAACTCAATACAAGGAATTTCATAAGTTGACCTCTGTGACCTGTGACCTTTGACCTACGTACTCCAAAATCTAATCAGATCGTCTTCCTATGGTGATAAATACTATTCCCGAGTCTTAAGTTTAAATCTTAAATGGTTCTTGAGATATTGTGATAACGGTCAAACGGGACGGACGTACGGACGGACAACCCGAAAACATGATGCCTCCGGCACCACCTTCGGTGGCGGAGGCATAAAAAATTAAAGTTAAGCATAAAGCCTACAGTTGCTCAAATTAAATTATCAATTCAGACACAATTAATAATCATATATAAATACAACTACTGTTTTTCTTGCTTATTTTTTGTCCATACTTAATATTTCTTTATCAGTTTTAAGTTTATGAGGAAAATGGGGTTTTATCTAAAATTATGATGAATAATATCCAGAAAAATAATAAATTTAATATTCATTCTCATTAATAATATAACTGATTACATATACAGTTCATTACTAAATCAAGGCTATTATCTTGAATTAAATACATGAAGTCCGTAATTTAGATTTTAACTATTTTTGTAAAAATTCTTCAAAGTATTATGAGATAAGCTATAACATTGCATATTACAAAAAAAGACTCACTTTAATATTTAAGCATCACAAATGGAAATTCAAGTGATAGCATATATCAGATACAGTCTATACTTTACAATTGATATGATTATATATTAGTTTACCTCCAAAGAATTGACTACAATCTAAAAAGAATTGTGTCTACTTGTGTATTTTCATGGCATGTTAAACTAAAGAATTCTAATATCTAATATTTAATATTGCACTTTGCTAGCAAAGAATATAAGCAAATGCATATATGAACAGGGAGCATGAAATTAGCATTTCTTATGAATTCACCATTGCAAAGATGTCAAAATCTAGGCAAAAAATACATGAAGTGTAAAGTAAAGAGAGGACTGAGAGTAACAAATGCATAAATGCAAGATGATGAAAGAAAGAGCAATAAACAAATATTGTTGCAATGATGTAGACAGGGTTCATTCAAGCTTGATCAAGTAACATTGAAGATTTAAAGGCATTGTTTAACAATGTTAAATCTGAGATGCACGGCCCTACGTGTAATCAGTGTCTGTGATATGGTGTTATATTGAAGCCCTAAAGAAATGATCAAGAAGTGCCTCAAAAAAGTAAAAATATTTGAGTGACCGGTTTTACCATACTCGTTTTCCCCAATAGACTGTAGTGTTATGAAAACCGTTAGGAAAACGCAAAATTTGATTTTGATTTCCAATCATAAATATCTTGATAATCAGACAGGCGATCGGTTTGTAAAAGTCATGGGGTTCCTGACTGACTTAAAGGTTTACAAGGATTTTATTTTAGAATCTGAGACAAAGTTACCCAATCCTGTTAAAAAAGAAAAATCAAATTAAATTTTCCAGTATCTCTTTATTTCATTTAAAAATAGAATACACCTGTATAAATACATTACTAATCACACCCATTTATCAAAGATTTACTTATTTTTCTTCCTTTTAAAGAATTTGGTGGACCTGCATATACAATCAATAAGGCAAAAAAGGGTCTCCAGCAAGAAGTTTAAGATATTTTCTGAGAGAAAGAGAGAGGGGGATCTTGAAATGTACGGAACAAAGGAAAAGTTTGAGCAATTTTCCTATCATGAAAACTCTTCACAAACAAAAATATGAGTTTCTAAGTCTTCCAAGGGAGAGGGTAAAACAAAACCAAAGACATTTACCCCCCCCCCCCCCCCCATTTAACAAAAAACAAAAGACTTTTTCCAAGCTTGAATGAACCCTGTGATGTGAGTTGGTAATTGTGTATCGTAATGAAGAGCTGTATCAAGGGTTAAAGCGGTACTGAACTAATAAACTTTCTGCCCTAGCGTACCATTTATGCGCAGCGCCATCTCATGGTCAAGTTGGCAACAGTACACATCCCAGTACCTAATTCACACTTCACAGAGAGAGGACTGGATCCGAGGATCAACAGCGCAGCTCGGGAAGCAGTGAGTTACAGGACCATACTGCTACAGCTGACCTGAGATGGCGCGAGAGGCGATTTTGCGGTTGTGCTTCTAGTACGGTATGTCTTTAAATTGTGAAATCCAGCACAAATGACTAATTTCACAAATCAGCACACTTATATACACAGTGCCAATTTGTGAAACCAGTCACAATGTACGTCTAAATTTCACAACGAACCTGCCAGTACATCTATCTTTTGGTTGATAACATACAGTGTAGCATTAAACTGCATGTACAAGTATTTCTAGCAAGTGATGAAATAGAATGGAAAAATTCTGATATACATGTACATATATAATTATATATACCATACATAATTATACTAACACTGAAACTGCAAAACTGTCAACAAAAATCATGTAAATATGATATCTCAATCCATGCATCAAAACACACACCAAGCTGGCTGCAGTTATAACCACAAATGCAATGCAAATACATGCAGTGCAAAAAGGGTGATAAATGCATATGATATTGTCGTAGATTTTCACACTGAGATGTTTTTTTTTTTTCTCCTTCTAACATCACTCACAATCCACACTCTGCCTGTTAATTTGTACATGAAACATGCTTTCAGAAAGTGATAAGATTAATTTGCAGGTTTTTCACTTATTTTAGTCAAACATGTTGACAAGAATACTGTTCATTTCATCGAATTCAAATGGGCATTCTGGAAAAGTATTGATTGTTCTTTTGATTTCCGTACAGTTTGAATTTAATGGATAACTCTATAACAAAATTATTTTGTAATATGTAAACACAAATGGGTGGCATAACTGCTAAAGCAGGTAAACCTCTGCCAGAGTTTCAGGACAATGCAATACAATAGAGATCATGTATACATATATAACCATCATCATTATCAATGTTCTTTGTCGTGAAGCAAAATGATACATTATCCCATTCTGAAAGCATAATTTTATTTCAAGATTATTACATGGAGGATACCTTATCCCCTGCCTATATCTCCCAATGAATTTGAGAACAGTCAAAATGATAAAAATAAAAATAAATGAATAAATACATGTGTATGAAGGAACAAAAAGGAATGGAACAGAAACAAGATGGTAACAGAAATAAGGCAGTTTTTATTGACTTGCTAATTTTGGTGACGATTTTCTTTTTCAGGATCTGTTCTATCTTTTGCTGGCAGTTCCACAAATAGAAGACAATGATGGACAACATATATTTGGGTTTTTTAGGTAAGACTTTATCTCCCATTTTATTCCTCAGTGCAAGATAGAAATTGTTTTGGAGACATTTTGTCCAATCTATGTAAGTAACAATAGAATAGTAATATAACTGCCCTTCGCGTCTTCTCACAAAAAGTAAGTTCCCACTGATGGATTACCTTGGTTAAAACATGACAAATTAAAATACCCATGAAACTTTGAATGGTATCAATAATATGACTTCAACACTGAAGGAGATGATTTTGTTAAAGTGTACACATAAATGATTACCTCAACACCATAAGGGTATAGTTGTTCACCGATTCTTAACTGTTTCATCTCAACATAAATAAGTCAATACATCTACAACTCAAAATTAATGACTGAGTAATAAATCAAATATATCAAGACATCACAAAATATGAAATATGTATAAAAATTCATTTGGAAATTCCTTGTAATAAATAATATTTGAAGGATTGACGGTGAGAAGGCTTCGATAAAGGCCAATTAATAAAAGACTTTCAAAGATATAATGATGTTTGATAATGAAGAGTTTGATGACTAAGATCAAACAGAAATATTAGATAACCAGTAGACCACACAATATGAATAAAACTAATAATGAAGATGCTGTATACAAAGGTTTATATGTGAGGATATGAGCATTACAACTTCCCTTTGAGAAAGCGGATGTCAACAACTCTGAAAATTTCACCATGTATTATGAAAACAGAGTATGAAAATGCTCAAAAGTGGAATAAACGGCCTGATAAATGATAATTCTACCACTTCAATTATCTGGGACCTAAGAACACCCTTTCCCTTCGACTAAATATACATACAAAACTAGATTTAAAGTGCTCTACTAACCTTAGTGAAACTATAAACATCTCATATTATCTAGGAATTAATGTAAACTAACATTCCAGTCAGAAGAATATTTCCAAATCAATTTTCATTATTTACAATTTATTCAATTTTTTATTTTTTTCCTTGCATGTTTAATTATTCAATCAATAGACAACTCTCTTTATAATGTCTTTGGTTACCTTTGGCATATAGTAATCAAATATACAATCGTTTCTTTGATTCCTACATATTCCAAACCTAAACAGACACAAAACAAAACCCGATCATTATCAAAACATACTTGGACATTTGCACAGTAAAAACAGAAAACACAAGCATCTTACAACATTCATGTATAAAGTAGTTCTTAAACATATCTAAATCTGAAAGTATTTCACTTTAAGAGACGCTGAAAGAAGTTCTCTTATGCTTCCCGTTTAAGTAACAATGATAATTGATTAATATCTTGAATTTTTTTGTTATTTTTTTTTTCCGTGCAGTAAATGTCAAAATGATTTCTTCCACTAGCTGGACATTTAAAAATGAACTTAGATTTATCTTCTTCTTTTTTTTTCCTTCAAAATAAAGAAATCAATCTGGGTATTTTGCACATTTTACTTTTTCTATTTTTTTCTTCTTTCTGTTTTCCATCTTTTGAGACAATACTAACCAAGTTCCAACCACAATAAAATACAAGATAATAACAAATAATAATTTTCACAATAATTCTAATGATGCAAATAGGTACAGCAAAGCTTTTTAGTTACAAAATGAAATATTGCAGATGTTAATTCAGGCACCAAAAGGTTATATTTCAAAAAGAACAGTTGCTTTAAACATTTGAAATCACTTTCAGTTTGGTACATTGGTTAGTATTATGTGAGGGGCCACATTGGGAAATATGAAATCACTCCAGAAATATTCATTTATATAATAATTTGTTATGGGACGCAGAGAGAAAGAAACAAACGCGCTCATTGCTCATAACGATCATATTCACTATCGTCATAAAAGTCACACAACATATCTTCCTAATGCATAGTTTGGAATAAATCATATTATCAAAGATATTTCAACATATTGCAAAACACATGCTATGATTGGATCAATCCTATTTTATATTTCTAAAGCAGTTGATTGGATGAAATTAACTAAGAATTTGGACAGAATCATTTTCTACATTTCATCCAAAAGCTGATGATCCTCATAAAAATTTGTCTAATAAATTGTTATAGTTTCAGAGCAATAAGAATTTAGTGACCTGTGTGGATATTTTTTCAACCTTTTTTCTAAGCCTGAGAAAAAGTGAAAGTGAACAAACTAATTCTACAATTTTTCAGGTTCACCCACACACAAACACGCAATATACACACTACACATGACTAAGAATCCAGCCTGAATGCCTGAAAGTCATTTTTCACACTAATCTATCTACATCCTCATCAAGAAAGGCTATTTTCTAATTAAATGGATGTAACTGTCAGATAATTTCAACCTAATCTTCACATATATTCACAAAAAAAGATTTCATGTATGTACAAGGCAATATATTAGTATTCTTTCTTCTCCTCTTTTTTAAATTTCATTGCAATAAAAAGCCTTTCATTTGTAGAGAAACAAAGAAAATTATGACAAAAATTCAAGATGCAAGCACTTTCAGCTAATTTTCTTTCACAAGAAAAAGACACTAAATTGAATTTTCCCTCAAAATGTATATAAATATGAGTGTGTAATGTTTATATTTAGCATAGGTTGGCACAGTTAACCTTGTCAATGTACTAAAGGTATATACACCATGTCAAAGTTAATGGCTTGTATAGCCTGCAGTAACAGAAGAGTTAAAAGTGAGGTCATCTGCCAAGAAGCAGAAGGGCATAACTTGTATTATTCGACACAGTTACAGCCCTTTTGTCTCTCAGTAGTGTTCTTGATTCCTAGTGGAAACCAATGATCTATCTACAATGAAACCGAGCGTCTCCTTGCTCTATACCAGTGCTCCCATTGACGGCAGGGTTACGATGCGTTCTACGATAAATCTCTTTATTCCAGATAACCATTCATGATTTAAAAGTCTGCCGGGCAGTAGAAATAAACTAGATGTTTCCATGACTTAAGCAAATGAAGTTTTTAGTCAGTAGTTATTTTGCTCTTTTCGGTCTGTTTTGTAGACCCTGATGTCAATTATTTTGAATTGTCAGCTTTCAATAACCTTGAGACCCAAGTCCTTACCCCTTAAAACAAAAGACGCAAACAAGTGCTTGTGTACAAAAGTAACTGCCAAGGACATTATAAGAAATGCTGGCAACCAGATTTGTTTCCTATTCATATAATATGCTTATAATGTGTCTCTTCAAGACTCAAGTCCATTCTGGGAACAATATAAACATGACAGACAAACTTTCATGGATGGTTATCTGGAAAGAAAAAGAAGGCTGAAATTATCATCAACCATCACCATGTAATTGACTAAATTTATTCAAAATATTTTTCAATAATTTCTTGAGCGAAGAGGTTACAGAACCATGCAAACTACATTAATAACTAGAGATATATAAAAGACAACTTTTCTCAGAAATTTCATAGATTTTGTATTTTTTGCATCCTGGTGAGGAAACTTGAATGATATCAGTAAATTTCAAATGGTGTCTTTCATGGTTTCTAAATGAGAGTAAGATATAACTCAAAGTGAAGTTGCAAAATAATTTTAGCTCTGAAATCCACAGTTGGAAGAATGTAAGAAATATATAGCTGTCATGCAACTTTTGAATCCCACAAGTTTTAGCTAAAATCTCACTTTTCTGCTGTGCAACATTAGTTGGGGGTAAGTTGATAACATAACACAGTTTGGGATAGGTATAGGAAAAATTTGAATAGTAAGGGGAAAAAGTAAATAATTTTCACTTTGAGTAATACACGACACTCCCAGGTAGGAAACACACGAAAAAACACTTTTTGAAATTCAAAAGAGCATGCTGTTATTATATGATGCAAGTCAATATCATCCAAGTTTCCACTCCAACAGAAATAGCAGGAAATCCAAAATGTTGCAAACAATGGTGTCGTTATCATCTGCAATTCTGTAACCTCTTTGTAAACAAATACAAAGAATTAGACTGACTGACATATTAAAGAAACGCAAAAACAAACTCAGACACTAATAATCAAGAAATAGAGAGAGAGAGAGGAGAAAAGTTGTGAGTGTTGTGCAGCACAAAAAAACATCTGATGGTGATTATTCAAAGTGATAAAAGTGATCAAATAATATAAAGAAATGCTTACACATATAAAAATCAACGTGAAATGCAGACGTACACCAAAAAAAAAAGGATGAGTTCTAGTCTACCGTGATTTTTTGTTTTGTTTTTGTTTTTTTGTTTCTTCTGATTTTTAAGTGTTAGATGATGTAAATTATCACAACTAGATAGGCCACTACAGAGCCGATAAGCATGTAGAGACTAGTGTAGGTGGATTGGGTCTTACTCTCTTGACCGGTACTCCTGGCCATAAATTTGAGCATCTCGTCCAGTAAGATGACCGGTAGCGAGATCTTCATTACCGCCATCCATTCCGCCAGGTTGAGGGGAGTGATCTGGAACACAGTCTGTATGGAGGAGAAGGGTTACACGTTTTATCTCAAGTGCCATATAAGATCGAGCATCACTACAGAAAATACAGTTTATGGGACTGCTATAAATACTTACTTCTTGAACTTCTAATTTTCTGTAAGAAATATCCAGTAAATTACATCACAGTATAAGTATTTTTATACTAAAACATTTCATATTTGGGTTTATCATTGATGCAAAATGTTCGGAACAGCAAACATTGAGGAAAAATTCTTTCACTTGCTACTCAGAGTACTCAGTCAAATCAGCCAATCAATTAATCCATCCATCCAACATTCATTGGATCAATCAATAGGCACTAGTACTTACTGCCAAGATGCCAACGTGAAGAATAATACATTGAAGAGTCATAGAAAGAGCGATAGCTCCTAGAAGCCACAAGATGGACCACAGAGACACGTATGTCTAGTAATGGCCCATTACTCAACAGTCCATCTACCCAGCCATCCATCCTCCCACCCACCCACTCACCTATCCATCAATCAATCATCAATGGTCTGTGATACTTACTGCTAGGGTGTCAACAAAAATGTAAGACTCATAGATATTGCAATAACTCTAAGAAGCCACATGTTGGACCACGGAGGCATCACTAATCAATTAATCATTTTATCAATCCATCAATAAATGTGCTAATCATTCAATCAATCAATCAATCAATCAATCCATCCATCCATCCATCAGCTAATAAGCTCTAGTACTTACTGATAGGACGTCAACATAAAGGATAACAAAGTGAAGACTCATAGACAGAGCAATAGCTCCTAGAAGCCACATGTTGGACCATGGAGGCATCACTGTTAGAGACTGGTTTTCACTCAAGCTGCAGCAATGAAAAACAGAGATGACCAAAATGAGATGAAACATTTTACAAAAACATATACTGTCTGTGACAGGAAAAAAATAAGAGTGAAATAGATTGGGGGGAAATTCTGAAAACGGACTTGGAGATTTGTAATTACAACAAACTCAGGACTTATAGCCAATTTAGGAAATCTGTGTCAAAAAAACATTCAACATATCCTTTGCTAGAATACATTTTCAATCGATAAAAAAATATTTGACATAAGAAAATATCGATATAAAATTATTTGAAAGAACTCCTGATTCATAAGGGGGTGATTTCACAATAGACACAGATGACCACTATGCGTTATCCCTTGACCTACCTGTTGAGGGAGTTCAACATCTCGATAGTGACCAGTACAGACAGAGCCATGGTCATGGAATGTGGGTCTTGAAAGACGTCACAGTCAAGCTTCTTGAAGTTCTTGGGTTCCAATGGGCACTGCAAGTGATGAGTCTGTATGGAACAATGGAAAATGCATTCAACATTAGTGTCAAGTTTCAAGTTTTATTTCAATTATTTCACTTCATATCCATAAAAGTATAAAACACAGATTATAAACAATATAGAAACCAGAGAACACACACAAAATGGAAACGTGTCTACAAATATACCGGAATTATACAAAGTTTATCAATAGAAATGAATTGGGGAAACTGCAAATAAAACTGTAAGGTTCTGTTGAGGTGGTCCCTGTTATGAAAATTAACAGCTCTCCTTCTCATTTTCTCCAGGTATCTTTGTGCACTTCATGTTCATGTACTATGTCATTCCTACTTCTGTGCATTACATCGTTTAGAAAAGAAATATACTGATAAACTGCAGGGGGAGGGGGGGGGGGGATGTGTGCGCTTCGTCATCGTTTGTTGTTTGTAGGTAGAGGAATATCATAGGAGCAATGTTTTATGGAAATCCATGCTCCCAAATGCTCTTTAACGAGAGAGTTTAGAACTTGGGACTATCCGTTTACCAAACATCTTTGTGTAGTCCCATATACCCAAATATGTGGGAGGTTTTCACCAATGTAATTTCAAGAAAGATTAAGTTAATTTGATTGATCTGAACTGAATACTCAAATAAAAATTCCAAAGAATGAAGGTGTATCTTGTTCTTCTTTTTTTTCTCTCTATAATAGAATCATTTTTATTCAATATTGCTCTTGACTTTGCAAAAACATAACAAAGGTGTATATTTGAAGGTGTATCTTACCAGCTGCCAAAATGAGAGATGAGGTCCGTCTTCATAGAACATAAACCACCAAGCTGACGCACCTACTGTAGCTGCTCCAACATAAACTACAATGTCACAGGTCAAAGGTCAGAGCAAAAGATTGTTATTGTGAATACAGGGTGATAAAAGTATACATATCAGAGGGTAAATGTTTTTACAATTATTGCTTTTCCCCTTAAATTTGGGTTCAAAGGTTCAGCCAGGCATCACTTCTTGAGTAGCGATGTCAATAAGAATTTTGACTGAGAGAGAAACGAAAATATGGTTTGGACAAAATATAATCCTAGGCTATGCTGGATTATCCTGGCTAGAATATTTTGTTGCTGTTTGAACTGACCTCTTATTACAAAACTAAGAAAAATTGGAAAACTTTTAAGAAACTTTATCAAATCAGGTTATGACTGCAGTACAAAACACAGCCTAATACTGCAGCAGATAGCATAATGTGTCCAAAAGGAATAACATACTTCCAGTGCCCTGTCATGGAAGAAAAAAAGAAGGAAAAGACCTTAATATTATGAGAAGCAATATCACAGAAAGCCGAGATGGTAACATACTTCCGATGGCCATGTAGCGGAAGAAGAGCCAGCCGCTGATGAGGGGTTCCCTAGAGTTACGGGGAGGCTTGGTCATGATATCAATGTCAGGTCCGTTGAAGCCCAGGGCAGTGGCAGGGAGACCGTCAGTCACAAGGTTGACCCACAGAAGCTGGACAGGGATGAGGGCTTCGGGCATTCCAAGGGCAGCGGTCAAGAAGATACTGTGGGTAAGAGGGGTCAGGGTTATTGGTCAGAGAAAGATGTTTACATAAGCCTGTATATAGTATATTACAAAATGACATAGACCTTAAGCAAATGACTGGTTGAGAGCAGACATTTCATGGGCCATTTAGTTATCCTAATTCATAAACAGTCATTAGCAAATGCTAATGACCAGTCGTTAGTATTTTCTGATGACAAGATGGTTAATAGTCCAGATCTAACTTTGTCAGCTAATTGTAGATCTATGGAAATGCAATTAAGTTGATTTATCAAATGACGAAGACCTGTGTAATGATTATATAGAACAAATAATACACATATGTTCAGGCATGGGGATATTTATCCACCCTCGATACCTTTGAAACATTCAAAACACCCTCAGCTACTGCCTCAGGTGTTTGAACTATTTAACAAAAATGGATTCAGAAGATATCTTACCTGACGACTTCTCCAATGTTGGATGAGATGAGGTATCGGATAAACTGCTTCATGTTGTTGTAGATTGCACGTCCCTCTTCCACGGCAGTTACAATGGTAGAGAAGTTATCATCAGCCAACACCATCTGTGCTAAGTGGTCAAGGAATACAAATTTATCACTCTCGACATATTCCTTATGTCTACATTCACAGTGAGGGGAAAATGCAAAACTTAATCACTATAACACTCAGATCACTCCTCCTGGTTTACCCGATGAGGACTCTTTTGAACTCTCTAATGATAACAGAAATAAGTTGTTTTTCTGTGACATTTTACCAAAGAGGATTGCCCTGAAGTCACAACACATCAAATAAAGAGATAATGGGAGCCAACCTCAGCAACGAGGAATTCACAAGTTCAGCAGATGATTGTAGAACAACACTTTGACAGGAATAATCATTATTGGCTGGCTTGCATTTATATCTTTATTGGGATACATGTTTATTACTCTTGACATATTCCTCATGTCTACATTCACATTCTCTGTAGAGGTGTCATAGTCTTGCTGATAAATCACCAGACCGTAGACTACATTAAATAGGCTTTGAACCTCTGTCACATCATATAACATCCATTTGCGAGACACTAATCTGTATTTGCTACTTGAGACCCAGGTGATGTAAATGGGCATCTGGTTGGAGATAATGCACCAGGTCTTGAATACCCAAAGACTTCTCAAGACCTATTACGACAGACTGGTATCCTCAGGTATCTGTATTTACATTTTATTTTTGAAACATCGCTAACTGGCTAACCACAAATGCACTTTGATGTATTATACCATCTTTATGGTTGGCATCCGTCAAACATACTACAGTGGTTGCTTCGTTTGGCGAGATCTGAGAACGATTAGGGACAGGATTGTTACGAATGTGATAAAAAGGATATCTGATGCACTCTTGGCGACAGCTGTTCCTGATCCCATGGCGATACCGATCTCAGCCTTCTTTAGGGCAGGGGCGTCGTTTACACCATCACCGGTCTGTACGAGGAAATACAATGAGCAAGAATATATCAAATCCATGCGAAAATAATCTTCCAATGAATCAAAGCCATTTATTGTTCTCAGAACTTCAAAGGTTGCTCTAATTGAAATAGATCCTTTTTCAAGCAAAATGAGGGGCAAAACATAAAATGATACCCTTTAATAATAATAATACATACATGAGATTTATATAGCGCCATTATCCATTTTAATTAAATGCTTAAGGCAAAGATATGCCTTCATTTTTAGATATTCAAAGAAAGGTCAGGCAACATTCTGAAATGATACATTGTGTACCTTTAATGCAGGTAATATGGCAAACATCCCAGACAAAAAAGGCAATTCTTCTAGTCTTTCTGTCCCATCATATGCGAGTTACCTTTTCCCTTCTTAATTTTTCGGCAACAAATTTGAGGTCAACAGTAAGCGCATCAAGCCGTTAGCTTTTGCTGTACAGTACCCGTTTCATATTTTAGTGTGTCTGCAGTTTATTGAGCATGGTCATTTCAAATCCAATTGTTTGTTTAACATATTCTACAATTATTAAGCGATAAGACAATGCACTTTCAATGTTCAGTGAACTTGATTTACGCCTGGCAAAGATGTGTACCTTTAGGCTAGTCAAAGCTGAGACTTCCTATCATGAAAAGTTACCATACTTTTTGAGGTAATCTATAAAATTGTGTGCATTCAAAGTCAACCTCAGAAACGAGGAATTCATTTGATCAGCAAATACACTCAAATGAAACGTACTCTGAAAGAGAATAATCTTCACAGGCTGACTTATCACACATCCATCACCCATAGACAAGCATGCTGTACTATTTGGTCAATAATTTGCCAATAATTTGCATATTACCCACCAGCTATCATTCACATGCAAATATATGCATTGCGCATAATTTGTTTACTTACCATAGCTGTGATCTCTCCGTCGCTTTGCAGGTAATCAACGATCTTGCTCTTGTGGGAGGGTTCCACACGCGAGAAGAGTCTGGAACGAAGACAGGCAGCTTTCTGTTCAGCGGGACTCAAGTCATCCAGCTCACGACCAGAATACGACAGACCTAACAGAGAGAGAGAGAGAGAGAGAGAGAGATCAGATCAAAGCTAGGGTTAGCAACTACCCAAAATTCAAAGGGATATTATGTCAATGTGTTTTGTACATAAGATTATAGAGGTCATCATCCCCATCAGCATCATCATCATCCGCTTCATCACACCATGTTATTTTTTGGTAATTACTGTGAAGAAATACGACTCCAAAATCAAGAATAGATTTAGCAAGTACATATTACCGTAGGCAGAATTGGCTCAATGTTGGTCAGCAGTCAAGCGATTGGTATGACATCATTAGGTCAATCCAGAAAAATTACATATCCACATTACAAATCTTGAAATCTAATCCTATTACAATATCTTTCAGAATCTAGATGTATCCGAATCTAGATGTATAGTGGTCTGGTTGTAAGCTATTCAGCATTCTTTCAGACAGTTCATACAGTACCTTCAGTGGATTCATCAGGTCCAAACACTCCGATCTTCCTGCAGATGGCTTCAGCTGTAGCCTTGTTGTCACCAGTGATGACGATGACCCTGATACCGGCTAGACGACACTCCTCGATGGAGCTCTTGACCTCGGCACGGGGAGGGTCAAGCATGGCTACACATCCAACAAACGTCATGTTGCTCTGAGTGGGAAACAAATTAAAATCAGGTGAAAAACTTGTGCTATTCAATGTATTCTGAATGCTAAAATGGTGTGTTTTGAACTGAAGATGTTTTTATGAGGTTTTGCTTTAACCCATAACGTGCCTTCAAACATACATCTAAAACCTAATTTTATGAAAAAGGTTTCAATCAATTTCCTGGTTTTCATAATTTGTTGTGATACATACAGTTTTCCATATCTAATTTCAAATCCACTTTTAATATAAAAAACAAAGACTGGCATTTTTTATAAATTATATAAAATATAATGTCAAAACTTAGGAAGTTAAATTTGCCCACAGCGCTGGAAAGATTTGCTGTTGCTTCATCTTTTTTCACAACTCATCTTTTCGTGACAAAGGACAAATAAATAAACAATTTTTATTTGATACACTCAAAATCATAGAAACAAGAGCAGCTAATACCACATGTACCGTCATAATAACAAATCAACAAAAGAGACAGGAAAAGCCAACCTCAGCAACGAGGAATTCACACGTTCAGCAGAAGATTGTAGAACAAACACTCTGTCAGGAATAATCATCATTGGCTGGCTTACTTGCACCTCTTGTTGATAAATTTTCAGTTTATGTTGTTACCATGACGTTTTCAATAAGTCTCACTACTCCAAATACCAGGAGGAAACATATTATATTACCAATTTTGTATAAGAAAGTTAATCTAAAAATGCACCTTCACCTCGAAGCGTGTAATAGCAATTTTGCAGACATACCATTGCATAACCTATTTAATCCAGAAACTGGTGAAAGTACTATTTCATTAAGATGTATACAGATCTATGCATATTTCACATAATCATTGGTATTTCCTAACTGCAGAGACACATATTTTGTAACCGTACCTCATACTTGCCGAAGTTGACAGAATTCTCCAGATCCATCTCCTCCTTCTTGATGGGGTTGTCCACGGTGGCCATACCAAGACAACGAAGGGCATCACGACCTACAAGCATACAAAGACCACATAAAAGATCAACCAATATTCACAAATGACATGTAAAGAAAGTTCATCATTATTACACATGTTGGAGTCAAGCCGCGACACTAACAAGTGCTCCAAGCGTATCAGGTACCCATTTACAACTGGATGGAGAGTGGCAAATGCAGATTAATGCCTTGCCACAGGACATTATAGTCATGCTGGGATTCATATTCTCAACCTTATGATTGAAAGTCAAATGAATGAACCACATTACCTAAACACCTCTCCCCAAAAATAACAATGATCTGTCATGATATCTCTATTTAATAGGTTCTCTTTTTATCTTCAGTTCTATTGTCTGAACTAGATTGCTCATAAAAATAACAAATCGTGATAAGTTACCATACTTTTTGAGATAATCTATAAAATTGTGTGCATTCAAAGTCAACCTCAAAAACGAGGAATTCATTTGATCAGCAAATACACTTAAATGAAGTGTACTCTGAAAGAGAATAATCTTCACAGGCTGACTTATCACACATCCATCACCCAAAGTAGTTTACCTGGGAACAGGGGAACAAGCCTGTATGAGAATCAAACCAATCAAGGGTGACTTACCTGTACCATAGGACTGGATCTTCTCTATGATCTGAGTCTTGACGCTAGGAGTCAGAGGTACCTTGGTAGATCCAATCCTCACGCTGTTACACCTGTCCAGGATTCCCTCAGGTGCACCCTACAAGCAACAAGCAGGCAACATTCATTGATTCGTTCATTGATTGCCTGACTAAATGACTGACCATCAGATTGATTAATTATTTTGTTGATTGATTGATTGATTGATTCATTGACTGATTGACTGATTGGTCTAAGTGACAAAAGTATGAGAGCCAACCTCAGAAACGAGGAATTCAAAAGTTCTGCACATGATGTTGAACAACACTTTGAAATGAATAGTCATCATTGGCTGGCAAGCCTATTTTCCTTTTCTCCTCCCCCCCCCCCCCCCCAACACACAAACCACCCTTCCACAATCATCGCCCCTTCTCACCTTGACAAACATCGTTTCCCTTCTCCTGTGAGGTCTTGGATGGTGAGCAGTAGATGCTTATGGACCTCCCATCTCAGTATCTTTAGGATCACATCCTTAATGAGTTTACAACCTCTCCCCCATGCTGCCCCCCCCCCACACCCTTCCACTGAGGTTGGTAGAAGCTTTAAAAGCTTTAAAAACTACATTTATCAATATAAAATATACTTTTTAAAGCTTCTACCAACCTTCAAGCTTCAAGGTTGGTAGAAGCTTTAAAAACTACATTTTATGATTATCCCTAACCGATGAAAGCTTTCAGTATTTATCAATATATTCTTCAGCCCTTCTCACCTTGACAAACATCTTATTTCCCTTCTCCTGTGAGGTCTTGGATGGTGAGCAGTAGACGCTCATGGACTTCCTATCTCTGCTGAACTCCAAGGTGACGTCCTTGTTGTAGCGTGAAAGCAGAGCCTGGTTGCAAGCGTTGGACAGCTGAGACTTGGACAACCTTGACAGGTCGGTACCCATGATGTTCATCTTCTCCACCAGGACGGTCAGGGCCGTCTCAGTCGCCTCACCGACCTTCTCGTAGAAGCCCTTTGCCTGGCCAAGGAACAAATCAAGATCAATGATGATGACAATGACAAAAATAATCATCAAAATGTTTAACAGCAAAAAAAAAGGTCTTTGGTGGTTTTGGCTCTACTTCTTATGATCATGATTAAATTTGGCATCATCTGTGCCAGGGAGGGGGAAAGCAAACTCAATCACTTTAACACTTGGATCTCTCCTCCTGGTTTACCTGATTGGGACTGTTTTGAACAGAAATAATTTGTTTTTTCCATGACATTTTTTCCAAAGAGGATTGCCCTAGCGTCACAACACATCAAATAAAGAGATAATGAAAGCCAACCTCAGCAACGAGGAATTCACAAGTTCAGCAGATGATTGTAGAACAAACACTTGGACAGGAATAATCATCATTGGCTGGCTTGCATTTATCTCTTTATAGGGAGAATGTCCCCTAAACATTACTACAAAACCATCAATTTCGAGTCGTTTAAATTTGCAAAAGATTCATGCCACAAAATAATTGAATCTTTACAGTAAATTTTTAGCAATTCTTGAGGTTTTGTCAAGAAAATTTCTGTTTCTAACAATCCCTAAAAGTGTCATGTCACAGAAGTTTCTAGTTTTATAGTGCTTTATTTCAACACGTGGTTACAAAATTTGAGAAATTTTCCATTCTTGTTTTGTGTGATAGTGACTATCACATCAAGGTTCAAATCAAGGTTTCTAACTTCAACCTTGCACCTAACACTAAACCTTACCCTATTACTTTGATGAAATACAGTCCATAGCATACGTTCCTTGAGCAAATGGTATATCACCCAGGGCCCCATTCTACAAAACTTGTCATCAGTGATAAATGATAGTTTTTGTTATAAGCTACTGAAATCATTGCTTCTGATTGGTTATTGGCAGATTTGTCATTGATTTTTGTCATTTGTTATTGAAAGAAAGCTTTGTGAAAAGGGTCTCAGGTCTTACGTCATTGTAGTCAATGGACGAGTCATTGCACACAGCACATATAGTAGCTAACTCTGGTAATGCAGCATACGCTCCAAGGTCAGCTCTCCTACCATCAATGAACCTAAAGAAAATAACAATAACATATATTATAAGATGATGAAGCCGATCCTAATCAAATAATTGGTTGAGGGCGTACATGTGACCAGGCATTTATTTTGCCTAACATGTAATTTTACTAATGACCGGTCATTGGTAAAATCATGTTATAAAACATTATTTTATGAAACAAATAAAACATCGTCTAATAAAACAAATAGCACAAATCATTTATTCGGGCATTAGTAAAATTACCCACACTCGGTACCTTCGAAACAGTCCAAACAATGAAATTATGTGCATTCAAAGTCAACCTCAGAAACGAGGAATTCATTTGATCAGCAAATACACTCAATGAAGGTACTCTGAAAAAGAATAATCTTCACAGGCTGACTTTTCACACAGCCATCACCCATAGACAAGCATGCTGTACTATTTGATCCATAATTTGCATATATTCCCCACCAGCTATTATTCACAAACTATCAGTAGTGGGCTCTCATGGGGGATTGAACACCATGCAGGTGTTAACTCAATAACAGGTGTTGTCAATCACCAGGATTTGCCTTTTATTACCGACAGTCCTTATGTAATGCTCTGTATTTTCCTCCCATTCCCAGATATGGCAAAGTCATTATTTTACACTGCCTCACCCGGAGACTCTTCGAGAGACTAAGGGTATTTCTCGATGGGACTAGGGTTTGCTGTGTGCAAGACTTGTACACTCATTAATGGTATTTCCACCAAGTCTGGTGTCAGCCAATTATGACCTTCTACACATGGAAACTGACATCCATCCCCATTTAACTGACATGAATGTTAACGAGGAAAGTCTAGAATGGATAATTATGAGCATAATGACTGGGTCATATTGAGTGAGTATGGCACACAATTACCCTCATTTAAATGATATACGATTCTTCTTGGGCAATATTAGTCTCATATTCCCCTCAACGCTAGTCAATATCATTAAATTCATAATCAGGAATAACCGGAATGTGATGATGAAACTTACACCTCTCCCTTGGGTTCATAGGTTACTCCGCTAACTGAAAATTCATTGAAGTTGGCAGTGTCACCCTGTACATCCTTAAGTAAAAAGAACTGCAACAAAGAAAGAAGGAATCGTTTGACAAAGATTATTACATTTCCTAAAGATAGCATCATAATGGGCAATTTTCTGTATACATCGGCAGCTACCTAGTTGACTCTTAATGTTAATGTCACTGCACTATACACACTCTGGTTTCAGAGCTCCTACATCAACAAATCAAAATTGTGACTCCCTATCATGAAAAGTTACCATACTTTTTTAAGTACTCTTTAAGATTATGTGCATTGAAAGCCAACCTCAGAAACGAGGAATTCATTTGATCAGCAAATACACTCAAATGAAGTGTACTCTGAAAGAGAATAATCTTCACAGGCTGACTTATCACACATCCATCACCCATAGACAAGCATGCTGTACTATTTGGTCCATAATTTGCATAATCCCCACCAGCTATCATTCACAAACTACTAAAAATGCATAGTAGTGGGCTCCCATGAGGAATTTGCTGTGTGCGAAACTTGTACACCCATTAATGGTTTTCCACAAAGTCTGGTGTCAGCGAATTATGACCTTCTGCACATGGAAACTGACATCCATCTCCCTTTAACTGACATGAATGATACTGAAGATAGCACAGCCTAGAGTGGATAACTATGAGGATAACTATGAGCATAACTATGAGCATACCCTAGATGCAGACATCTGGTTGGTGGTTAGAGTACCAGTCTTATCAGAGCAGATGACGGAGGTACATCCCAGAGTCTCAACAGATGGCAGGCTCCTGACGATGGCATTCTTCTTGGCCATTCGACGTGTTCCTGTAAGATCAACAAAATATTTGTTTTTTATTAATTACAGGAAAGCTAAAGGATCACTGGCATATTTCTTAAGCTTTTCTTCCATCTTGATGATGATTACATGTGTAAGACACGGTACAAAGTTGAGTTAACTTCTGAGCTCTAAAAATATTACATTCAATAATTGTAATTTGGATTCCTATATTGTAGTCCCAACCATGCATATTTTTATTAGTGCTTTTCACCTTAAGTGCAGCTTTAAAAACTTGCAATTTTATGTAGACAGGTGGCCTTTCCAAAGGGGTTAAACAACACATATACCCTTTCATATGAGTCACTACTATATACACATGGCCACTAAAACGGGTCATCTTTTACTAAAATATGAAAGAGAATGAAATAAGTTGTTTCTATGACGATCCAAATACATTTAAAAGCAGCTTTTGGGTACATAACGACCTAGGCTCAAGATACCAACCAATGGCAAAGGTAATAATCTATACTTTGGAAGGTCAAAGTTCACAACCAAGGTCAAAGGTTATGAGCTATACTGACCGAGGGCAAGGCAGGTGGTGATGATGGTTGGGAGACCCTCAGGGATGGCAGCTACAGCCAGAGCTACGGCGATCTTGAAGTAGTAGACAGCACCCTTGACCCAGGAACCTCCGTGAGACGGGTCTGAGAAGTGACCGATGTTGATGGCCCATACCGTCACACAGATTACGGAGATGACCTGTCAAAATATCAACAATCGTTTTAAAAAAGAGATACATAGCGAACTTCATCAATTTAACACTCAGATATATCCTCTTGGAGGGTGTTTTACAAAGATCCTAAGTTGAACTTAACTCTAAGTTGGACTTAAAAATTATGGAGAGCCATTTGTAGTCTTAAAATAAAATATATTCAAAAGCGAAAATTCAAGTAGTTTACACTTTTTAAAAATTCCACACCAAGAACATGAAATCTCCATGATAATAGAAAATCTGAATGATTTGAATCAACATTCTATGCTTTTTAAAATAACGTTTACAAAATATTTTCATAGATGCTAATGGTTTTCCATAAATGTTAAGTCCAACTTAGATGTAGGTTCATAATGATGCCATTTATGTCACAACACATCAAATAAAGAGATAATGAGAGCCAACCTCAGCAACGAGGAATTCACAAGTTCAGCAGATGATTGTAGAACAAACACTTTGACAGGAATAATCATCATTGGCTGGCTTGCATTTATCTCTTTATTTGGGAAAGTGGTGTATTTCTATAAGGCATGATCATTTCAGAGAAAGCCTCTTGTTCTTCCCATGTAATATGAATAGACAGATGACTATCTGAAACAAGGAACTATCAAAATTACCTTACTATTTTGTTCTTGCTTCCATTTTGGTTTGTTTGTTAATTTTTTTTTTAAATAGAATATTAACAGGATCACACTCTTATTTCCTTAATGTTATCTTTTTTTTTAATTAACACTTCAAATTAAATTTCCTTACCTTTGAAAGCTGTTCACCGAATTCATCCAGCTTCTGTGCGAGTGGCGTTTTCTCTGTCTCTGTCTCCACCATCTCTGTACGGATCTTGCCTGTACAGAAAAAGAAAACATGAACGGGAAAAAAATATTACTTCTGCTAATCAAATATGAAGGTAGCTGTATGCAAACAGTAATACAGATGCTGTAACTGATGCTAACTAAATATTTAATTTTGACCTGCATCGGGTCAGGGAAAATCCATAACTTCTGATAATTCATAGGGTAAACATCTCTATGGCTAACCTCTTTTATTAATAATTTTAATCAAATTACATTGGCATGTAAGTTTAACTTTGTGTTTTCTTTGTGTGTATGCCAACTTAGATAAAATACAAGATAGAAGAGAAACAGATTTCTTTTCTATATTTAAAAGATGAATTTGCTAGGAAGAAATTCCTCAGTTTTTTTTTAATGTCTCCTTTGAAGTTCATTTGTGTGCAGTTAACAGGAGAAGACTTTGAAAAACAACAAATAACAAATATTGGACCTATAGATTCATCTGAAATAGAGTTTATATTCACATTTAGCCATGTGTAAATCACACCCAAACAATGTACACAATATGTGCAAACAACATCACCTAATCGTACATGTAAATTCAGTTAAGCATGTTGACATTATATTAAGTTATGACCACATCTGAACCAAAGATGTATTTAAAAATAAAATGCTAAATATTTTAGGTGCAGTACTGGATATAACAGAATAATATGTCTGAAAGCTAAGATACTAAAAATGCCCTTTGATTTCATTCATGAAATATCGAATTCATGTCAATCATTCACTTTTCCCCTCCATGTACATCCATAACAACATTGTGATTAACATCAACCACTGCAGAGATTAATTGAGGATGTACGTTCAAAGTCAAACTCAGAAACGAGGAATTCATTAGATCAGCAAATACACTCAAATGAAGTGTACTCTGAAAGAGAATAATCTTCACAGGCTGACTTATCACACATCCATGCAAGCATGCTGCACTATTAAGTGCATAATTTGCTTATTCCCCATCATCTATCATTCACAAACTATTAAGGATGCATAGTAGTGGGCTCGTATGAAAAAATGAAAATGCCCTTTGATTTCATTCATGAAATATATCTCCCCATGAATATATTTCATGTCAATCATTTTTCCTCTCCATTAACATCAATAACCACATTGTGATTAACATCAACCACTAGAGTGAGGATATACACAATGTGACCCTTCCCCCTCCTCATACTGACAGTACATGACCATCTATATTAATCTTACAAGCATCATTACGTACACTAGATCATACATTGCTGCCTGTAGCTGCAATTGCAATGTATAATAAGAACAAACTAGGATGAATTGGTATTGCAGTATGCAGCCATAGAAATGCATGGATCGTTATCCCTGTCTCATTATTTTTCTTCCTCCATTGAAAGCATCATGCCGCGTGGGATGACGATTTTTCAATGATAACTTGTTGCCATAGCAACCTGTAATCAAGTGGCTTTCCACTTTCACTGCGGTCAATTTACTTGTCTTGGCACAATACTTTTTCCCCCTATCACCGGCTGCCACTGCCTGCCTTTTGAATATTTCATGACAAAGAGCAAGCCACGCTCGTCTTATTGCTGTTGCTTTCCTATCTATTCATGTCAAACATCTGAGAAAACACAAACACACAGATATACACATGTGGGACTGCCCAATGCCCATGGAATTCCAATGCAGTTCAGATTGCATGGCAAAAGACAGCAACCAGGGGAGAGATCTTGTTAATATTGCAAAACCTATCAGCCACAAATGCAATACTATTTTCCTCTTCCCAGACTCAGAAAGGCGTGAAATCACATCCATATTTAATGCCCTTCTGGCTCACAACTGACAATCTATTTGTTACGCACTGTGGTTTGGTGTGATGATAATTGCACATTTGCACTAAATAGACCATTAACAGTCAAATACATCATTTAGAATTTTGATTGTATCAGATCTATTGCATTGCTCACAGGAATTAAATGTGAGAACAACCATGTGTTGAATTAGAATGAACCTTTACCCAAAAATGATGGTCCCTAAAAAGTATTTTGTCGTCGTTATGGTTGGTTTTTTTGTTTTTTGACCTGGTACAGACAAATTATAAAGAACATGCCTTTCAATAAGATTGATTTTGTTACACAATGACTCACCGATCTCTGTAGACAAACCAGTGCCGATGACTACTCCACTGCATTTTCCAGCAGCAATATTTGTACCCTAGATAGAGAGAAAAGGAGATACATGTTTGGAAAAAGACTCATCTCACTTAGAACAGGAATTTTTAAGGGGAAAATTGACCAGCTTTCAATTTTTTCAAATTTGCAACACTGGTATTTTTCATCCATCGCTACATACTTACAAAAAGAAAAAGAAACTTACAAAAAGAAATGATTTTGAACTTCCAATATGTTGCCAATTTAATGATTTCAATGCATATTTCCTTATAAAAACACCATAGATACCCCTTTTGCTGTCTGGTACATTTTTCAGGGCTATCAATAAAAAGTAAAAAAATCAAGAAATAATGGAGTTCAAAATTGAAAGTTGAAATACTTACCGAGAAGAGGATGTTTTTCTTGTCTTGGTTGACGGCCCTTGGGTCTGGGATTTCTTCAACCTGTTTCATGACAGACACTGACTCACCTGCAAGAGATACAAATAAAGAAGAAAATTTTAAAATCTGACAAAGACTGATACAGTCAAACCTGCTTTAGCAACCACCTTTGTAGAAAGACTATCTCTATAGGAAGATAATCAGTATAAATGCATTTGGTCTTGTTATTTTTGTTTTCATTGAATAGAGTCTCTTGTTATTTTTGTTTTCATTGAATAGAGTCTCTTGTTATTTTTGTTTTCATTGAATAGAGTCTCTTGTTTAAAACCCGCAATTCAATAACCTGTTGATAAAGACCATCTGCTTATAAAGACATTTTTCTTATCTTTACACACAAGTTAGCTGTATATTCCTCTTTTTCTGTAGAGATGAGTTTGTGTTCCGGTACATGTTTTTCTTTTATTTCAGAGTCTGATACTGCTTTCTAACTGGCTTCTATCGGAGTCACACCGATGAAAATGCCGATTGAATTTTCCTTATGTAAACAAAGGTAAAACTGCAGTTTTCCCCCTGTCGCTTTCTAACTGCTGGTGAAATTTACTCGCTGTGGCGAGCCCTTGCCGGAAGTGAAGAATTATTAAGCCCGCGCTCCATCTAGCTAGCATGCAGCATGTTCGACCATAAGTCAACAAACACAGCTGATTACGATAAAGCGCGCATATACTGCGACCTTTGACCATTTTAATCGCTGTTTTAATCGCCTTTTTCTCCCGAACGCTTTCTAACTGGCCGTTTCATCGGTGTCACACCGATAGAATGAGAATTTAATCGCCTATTTCTCTTCTTTTCATGGGCTATTTAATCGCCTTTTTCTCCTCTGTTGCTTTCTAACTGGCCGTTCATCGGATGCGTCCGGATGCATCCGATGAAAATCAGTGCAGTTAGAAAAGGGTATTATCTAATCCCTGGATGGGGGTTGGCAAGTGTATGTAATGTGTATGTAATGTGTATTTGACAAAAATGCATAGTTTTAAATATGTATAACTTCAATTCCACTTATTGCACCAGAGCACACCAGAGCACAATGGAGTGGCCTCAGAACTTCAAAAATACAATGTGGCCAATCTCACATCTAGCCAATTCCAATAATACTCTATGACTTGAAGTGCCATACAGATACAGCTAATGAAATACACTGTATGTGGTATTAGATTGGCTTCTAGTATTGCAAATTAAAAAATCAAATATATGTATTTACTAAAACTCTATCACAAAAGTGAATGTGAACACGTACATCAATTATTAAAATTGTATCTGAAAATGATTATTCTGTATTCTGTTTTTTATCATTAATTCAGAGTTATGATCCAACCCACGCCTATTTTCCATGAACCTGATCAAACTACTGTTTTTCATTTTCGTAACATCTTTTGATGACATAATGCAGATCGGCATAATTTATTGCTCTGTTTTGCAGCGGAATCTAGGCCATCTGATGGTTCGGAAAGGAGATGCTATCTACATGACAAAACTAAGGTTATAAATAGACCTGTGTTTGAGATTAGAAGACCTCGTAACAATATGTTCAAGAAAAATAATTTGATTCTGTCTAACATGTCATAATAGTTGCATGATTTTGTGTGGGGGGGGGGGGATAGGGGGTCACCATTTATCTCTTGAGGTCATAGATATTGTTGTAGGGTAGAATCTAAGGCTCATATGGAAACAAAATATTCTACAAATGATTTATTCCCGTTTTGTGTAATTGCAGTTTTTTCTAATACCGAATAACAAATTTTTTAACGTGGCAATTTGGCGCAATGTGTCCCATATGAAATTTTTCTATTTTAATTTCATTAAAACATATTAAAAATCTCTTCATATGACCCTCAACTTTTGTAGTATCACTAACACAAAATTGTCATTTCAGGATATTTTTCATTTTGCAATAAAAAATAATTGGAAAAAAAAAGATTTTGTAGAGGGCACATTGCACAAAAGCACCCAGCATATACGATCAGCTACTCATAAATGCAATTTTGGCCTTGTGTGCTTTGATACTACATATTTGCTTGCAATCCAATCGCGTATCATAATACCTCTTTCAGAGAAGCGCTCATTCCGCATGCTTACTCCTATTACTGCCTAGTGGGTGTAACCTCACCACTAGGTATATGAAGCCCTTGACAATACCTGAGCAAGATACTGCTATTGATGATTATGACCTCTATTCATTATTCCTGCCACATGACGTAGGCATAATTCAATCTGTGAGCTTTTAATAGTGCATTGGCTATGACTGATTGGTGTGGAAATGCTAGAATTATTTCTACTTATTATTGCTAGCCACATGGTGGCTGAATTTCTGCACAGAACCTCAGAAAGAAGCTCAGTCATGAGTCTATTTTATTCATTCTATTCTGTTCATTAAATTTTAGATTAATCCCATTTGTTTAAAATCCTCCTCAATGCCACTTAACTATGTATTTCAAAGAGTATTTGAATTAAATTGTAATATGTTCCTTCTACATACTTAAATGTATATTCCCTGCTAGATTCTACCGCATTAACATTTTATAATGTCAATGAGTAGTTGAAATGCACTTGGCAGTGAGATGTACATGTATAACAACTGGTCGTATTTGTGAATGAAACACTGCCTTCTAACCACATTATTCAAAAACTATAAGTTGCTGAAATTAACTCGTGAATATATTTCACTGATTCGCATATAAAACCATGTGTACATATGATGGTGTTCAAAACTTCACACACTGCACTTCTTCATAAATATTGCCTACCGACTTGTAATAGCTAGCCTCAGTGAGTGGCTGAAACATACTCAGGGGTCCATTTTTTATATGTACATTTCACACCTTGAATTTACATCTGATGGTGTTTAGATACTGGAATTTATTCCTCTTGATAAATGCTAACTGACTGGATGCACCTAGCCTCAGTGAGTAAGTGAAATTTATTGAAGCCAAGGGTCCATTTCGTTCAAGGAATTTCAAGCTGATGTCACTGACTTACAGAGTACATTCACGTCATCAAAGTTGTTTTTTAAATATTTTTATATAGGATATGTACACACAACCATAGTGTGTTAACAATTGTATATTCTATTCTTGATATCATGAATACTACCCGGTATGTAATAATTGATAACAGAACTTGAAGTTTATGATTTTCAATCTGATGTCACTGACTTTGTAGAGAGTACATTCACACAGCACAACCGTTTGATAAGGACCTTGGGAGTAGAATGTGTTGCAGTATTATCAAATTACATGAATGCAAGGTGATATCTGCTCCTGATATGAAAACAATCTGATCTGCGATAAAAGAATTCAGGTTATCAGTTTCCAGTCACTGTTCTACTAAAGAACCTTGCGATATGCCGCAAATAATTTATTTGCCTGACAATTTACATGCAAAGAGAGGGGAGAGAGAGGGGGAGAGAGAGGGGGAGAGAGAGGGGGGGGGGGAGAGAGAGAGAGAGAGAGAAACAAGAGACAGCGAAATAGATACAAGAGACAGAGAGAAAGACAGACAGTTAGAGAGATAGAGAAAAGAGAGAGAGAATCAGACATAGAGATATAGAAGGCAGAGGGAGGGAGAGAGAGAGCGAGAGAGAGAGAGAGAGAGCAAGAGACAGCGAAATAGATACAACAAGAGACAGAGATATTAAAGTGATAATAAATCTGCACTGCAACAATTTCTTTTGCCCCCGTTTTATTCTTAAATTCAAAGAAGACGTGCCCTAGTGTAGCTGAATGAACCTTTAATCATAGTACAATTGGCACCTGTAAAATTACATTATCAAAAGTACCTATTTGCGGTTTATTTCATCGTACTAGAAATTGCAAGATTGTTTTGGTGTTGGGAATTATCCTTCCTAAAGCACTTTTTAGAGTTGTTAATTGGAGATTTACACTTGTTCTATACCTCATAAACCCTTCATTGCTTTATTGAGGGGTTGGGTAGGAATAAACCGTTTCTTAGCAACATGATGCCAGCTGTGACCTTCTCATCATCTCTTTTTCCTATATACAGGATCACTACTCACTCAGAGATTAGTAATATTTTTTTTGAGGTGGTATTAGCATGGAATCCCTTGAAACCCAAACAAATTACTTCAACAATTTTTTTTTTAGGCTGTGAATGGATGATCTGTTATTCATGTAATAAATCTCTTCTCTCCCCCCCCCCCTTCTTATTCTTCTGTGTCTGTTTGTGCTTATGGTTGGAAATTGGTGAGTGGGTGAGTGGGGAAGAGGGAAGAGAGGGGAAGAGAGGGGAAGAGAGGGGAAGAGAGGGGAAGAGAGGGGGAGATGGAAGAGAGGGCAGGAGGGAGAGTGGGGAGGGTGGAGGAGGGGGAGAGTAGAGGAGGGTGGAGGAGGGGAGTGGGGAGTGGAAGGGAAGTGGAAGGAGGGTGGAGAGGGTGGAGAGGAGAGAGTGGGGAGGGGGAGGAGGGAGGAGGGAGGAGGGGGGGAGGGGAAGGGGGAATTGGGGACGGGGAGGGGGACTGGGAAAAGTTGAATGACTTACCAGTGAGAAGAGCCTGGTCTACCCTCAGTGTAGTGGACTTGATGATAGTGATACGAACATCAGCAGGAATCTTGTCACCAACTGCACAAAATAGAAAGAAATATAGTTTCTCATGAATATGCATGATCATAGTGATGACACTCCAATAACAATAATTTGAATCAGACAAATATAGAAAAATGCCTCGTCTGTGAACATAAACATGACACAAGAATTTAAGCCCTATCTTCTCAAACAAAAAATCAATTAAAGGACCACATCACTGAGCTGCTGATTAAATACACGTTTAATTTAATAGGCAGACACTAATTACATACAATCAATTCTGCACACCGTGGAATATTCATTCACGGAACCCATTTTCCTGATGACCAAACAAATTGCTCATTCATCCAAAAAAATTGTTCAGTTGTCAGTAAAATCACACCTTAGAAATTTAAGTGATGCAGCATGTGATAGGTTTGTCAACGGTTTTCAGTGACTTCCAATATAAAATAAGAAATTAAACACTGGCAAAGAAAATAATAAAACCTCTTAAAGCCCGTCTGCACTAGTTTCGCCAGGGGGGTTAAACCTCCCTGCAAGGTCACTGACAGGTGTTTATCTCATCAAATCAGCTCTCAATTAACATAAGAAAAAGGGGATCATGGGGGACCAACAGGCACCGATTATGCATTGTTTGCAGTATAGAGGGCGCAAGTAGCTATAAGTAGTGCAGTGGGGCTTTAATATTCCAGGTTGAGTGGAACTTATCATTCTTATAATATACGTGCACAATCGCACATTTCAAGGTTTCTATCTGCTACCACCTCTGAAATAATCATTTCGATCTGCAGTTGTAGATAACAATTCTATTTGTAGAAATTGTATAATTCAGTGGAGTAAAGAGCAAATATATGAGAAAAAATTGAGCCTGCACTCCAAAAAACATAACACATGGTCACACATGTGCACAAATGTTGAGATTCAAGCTTTTCTGAGAATGTGATTTTGGATCAATATTGATCGTTCAGTTTGTTTTATTAATCCATACAACCTATATGTACAGTATCTACTACACATGGTCACACATGTGCACAAATGTTGAGTTGAGCTTTTCTTAGAACGTGATTTTGGGTCAATATTTAACGTTCTGTTCGTTTTGTGAATCCATACAACCTAAATGTACAGTATCTACTACACATTGTCACACATAAGCACAAATGTTGAGTTGAGCTTTTCTTAGAATGTGATTTTGGGTCAATATTGAACGTTCTGTTCGTTTTGTGAATCCATAAAATCTAAATGTACAGTATGAATAACTCAAATTAATTTCAACAAAACACAAGATTAGATATGATGTAATCAAAGCAAACATGCAACTCCTGTTTTTACTCCAGCTGACTTGTGTTTGCTATGTCTGCCACCCCTCCACTCCACATTATCATACAGTAATAACAAATACAAAAGAAAATGAAGATTACGTTCCCTTGCACATATGTGAACTAATCTACTACAGGTACCTAATTTAACTATACTATACAAGTTACCAATCTAGTGAATGCAAATCAATTAAATATTTTCATAGGTATAACGCTTTGATAGAGTAGTTTTCATACAGTAGGATTTTATGTATAGTGAAGCCATTTTCTTCTTCTTAGCTGTGTCTCCCTTTACTGAAAACCCCCATATACATGTAGTATGAAATAATTTAAAGAACAAGTCAACTAAAAAAATAACTTACTTTCAATAAAAGCAGAAAATACTTTTTTTGATTGGTTAGTCTGATTTTTCTGCTTCTATTGAAAGTAATTTATTTTTGGAGTGGACTTGGGCTTTAAAGCCTTCGTTATGTAGAATAAATGCTCGAACTCTTTTAAGTAGTATCACATTTTCCTCAGATCACTTCTTTCACTTTACTGCATTTCTTGCATTCTTACCCCAATTTATGCCTTTGGTACATCTACTTTATATCATGCCGAGACCCCGTTCTCACTCACTTCGTTGGAGCGCTCTGGAGCACTCTAACTAAGACCCGTTCCTCAGGAGCGGTTCTTAGGTGAGTGAGAACGGTCAAAGTGGTCCAGGAAGTGAACTTCTGGACCGCTCCAGAAGACCCCCTTCCGAGGTAGTCTTGAGGAGCAGGTCTTATTAAGAGCAGCTTGGAGCGCTCTAACGTGCAATGTGAACGGAAAGCGTACTTTGAACGGAAGTGAGCTAGTGACCTTCGGTGCGAAACATGTAGTACGGTACATACGGTTTGTATTCCGCGCGCGAAAAAATTGATCTGCTGACCTGAGCTGCCATAGCAACAAGACCACTTTGACTCGTGGAGCGGTTTGAGCCATTAAAAACTGCTCGGAGTGTGTACGCTCGCAAACTGTTCCTCAAGACCCGTTCCTCTGGAGCGGTCTAACTAAGACCACTTTCAAAGTGAGTGATAACGGGGTCTAAGACTTGGATTTCATTTTGGGTTCAAATTTCCCAAACTACATGCTTTTCAAGACTAACAAATGAGATTTCAAAAATGATAGTGATCGTCAAGGGTTTCTACCCCCATCTGATATTCCTCATCATTACGCGGAAAACTCCCCCTAAATAGAGCATTTTGGACGTAACGTGACGCAGCCACAGCAGCGGCTAGCGCCTCGATAATCATTATCTCATGAACTCATCTCAATCTGTGCATTCTTCTGTCTGGCAATACAACCCAGCTGCAGAAATGTCCAACACCATCAAGTTTCAGAGTCAACAACAAGAGAGACCACATTCTTGGCATACTGAATCTACTAGGGGGGTTCACATGCACAAGGGACATGTCTTCTTTCAAAATGTCTGAACCGGAGTGCATCTTCACCACATGGAGTCGACTACGATCTGTCGCACGCATCCGCAGCCAGCGTGGCTCGCGATCTCAATCTCAGAACTGATTCAGACTAGAAATTAACATTGATGCCTTCTACACGAGGTTGGCCTACATTCTATACAATGCAAAATATGTGTACTTCTGCCTTTTTATTGGATTAATCCAGTTTCAATATAAAGGAAAGAAAAATAATTCAACACAGAAATTCTTTAAAAGAGCTCTATGAAAGTCATAAGAACATTGTGCTGGAAAAAACAGGAAAAAACTCAAAATCTAACAACAAATCTAAAAGTATTCCCTTCAACAAAAACTGTTTGTTAATTTCACTGATGGCATACTGTTGTGATGGTTCTTTAGCAATGCTACAAAAAAACAATGGACCAATACTTAAAGAGTACTTCTCCCATCAATGAGGACATTATACATTCATATCATTCCTAATGTACATATACAGCGTACATAACATGTAGGCCAACCATTTGTAAATATTATCATGCACACGAATGCAAGTCTCATTGATCGATGCAAAACCAACAAAGGACCCTAAAAACTTGTGCCATGAATATCCATTGAGCAAATAGTATGCATTTTTGACAGGGAGATTACCAAGAAATTTACCAAGAAATTACATTTTTCCTCCAAGTTGACTGGCCTTATCTAGGACAAAGGTACAATGGAAAATAGAAGGAAGGAAGGAACATGACATAAAGTAACGACCAGCACCCTACCCTCTAAAACCAACACTTAGACCTTTAGAACACCCTGGGAACTGATGCACCTTGGCAACACAAAAGGCTCGGTCCTCCTGATGACATCAATGCTACCATGGCAACCATTCCTACCCAAGTGGTAGTGCTGGTGGTGGTAGGTTACAACAATGCTTGTCTATTTTTAGACCTGGTCTTATTTTTCTCTCTGGTTTTATGGAGTCTAGTTTCCTTGTGAAGTTGAATGGTAGTTGAAAAGAAATAGGATGTCTGCTGGGGCAAGATTAAGTACATTGTGCTACATGTACATACCAATCTATACTTGAAAGACTTGATGCATGGCGATGTCAGTATTTCAGTAAATTGCGGTATTGCATAAACCAGCACACATGCATGTAATAAGAAAACTACTCTACTTTACATTTTTTCACCCAATGCAACAGTAAAAACTTGTGGAATTCATTGTATACTCACAAACCAATTCAAAAGTATCAACTTTATGTTGGTATAGAATGCATTTACATTTATGTACAGAGTTCTTCTTTTAAAGCAACTCTTTTTACAACAGCCATGCTAGTACTAGGCAAACTGAAGGCTTATGGATTACATGAAAAATGAGTCTATGCTTGCAGACTAGTCTGTATGCATACAATGTATATTAAACTTGATCCCTACAATATATTGCTGGGTACCATACATGTACACATACTTAATATTCAGATGTATCGTAAATGCACTGAGAGTTTGTAATGGGTTTTCAACCCGAGCTGCGTTACCATGGCAATCAGTTTGTATACAGAGCCGAGGCAAGCATTGAAGAAGTCCAACACGAATCTGAATTAGCCACCAACATGTCCTGCAACAATCTATTTACTTTCAAATGGCTCTCACTCTCTCCTTATTCCTTCATTGTATCATTCATCTGTTTAGCTCTCTCTTCCAATTCCTGCCTTCTCCCTCTTTCAATAGCTCTCCCACTCTCTCTTTTCTCAATGCAGAAGAGAACTCTGATATTGCATGTATCACAAGAATTCCAAAGGGTCTGATTATGTACAGACTACATTCATTGCAAGACATAAAATGCTTTAATTATTGTTTCATAAGCACAGTCGGATGTTTCAGGACTTTCATTCACTGATTCAGCAAGATAACAATCTACAATGCTAAATTGTAACGGTTATTATTACCAATTTTTTTTTCTAGTGTATTGCTCTGCATAGAGCATTTTTCTTCCTCACTAGGCAAACATATGCATAGGCTGACATGTATGTAGATGTACATGTGAAACCCATGCATCTGTTCAGTTGGGATGATAGCTTTATCTTTGTTTGATAAACAAGTAACCTTATCTCATATCTATATTTCACTGCTGACATTACTTGTTAGCCTATCAGATATACCAATACACAACACATCACCAATGTAATACAAATATGAACTCATATTCAAACAAATTTCCTTGTTCCGACACCCGCCACACCTTAAGCTACAACTTCCCTTTAAATGAACGTTTACAAATCGGCCATCGC